TCGTTTATATTTTAAAAATTATCTGCTGTTCCACACTTAAGTGTATGACCACAAAAATACGTTGCTGGTTCTAAAGCAAGGAAAGGTGCTTCGCTCGTTCACCATGACCGAGCGCGTAATTCTTCGCAGATCAGGCACTGGTACTGTGCTTTAAATATCTTTAAGACTGACATCAAGAAAGCTTATCAAGAAACCGGTACTCTGAAATTATCGCTCATCCATTTATTTGATGCTGGAAATTTCGAAGTGAATAATGAATAAAAAATATCAATATTTTTTATAGGCAAATTCCCTAGGCTAATTCTTTCTACACTGTAAATATTTCTATCAAGAATTAGGATAAATCATTCTTGGAAAACGTCAAAGGAAGCTGTGGTCAGTACTTATCTGTGCAACTTAATGTGCCGAGCTTAGGAAGAAAAAGTTATTAAAAATTCATGCAATTCTTGTCTAACATTTTCAAAACGGGTTTCAAACTTTTCGGTCTTTGCCCATTTTCAAAAGGAGACTAAGTATCTAAGAACAGGAACTGGCCAACAATATTTATGTTGATGAAAATGGCGCGCAGTGAATGCTCTGTCTATTTTAGAGAGTGTAACTAATTCCTGAATGTCTTCTGCTATTTCCTCTATCAATTAAAACGAGTTTTTTTTTTTTATTGTTATTTAAAAAATAAATCTTCATTACCACTTAATCAGGTAAAACTGCTTAACTTGTAAAACTCAATATATCGTGATATAGACTTTTTGCTCATGAGAGCCAAAGCAGTTTTTGTTAAATAATTTATATATAATTGACAACTATCGGGTAGAGTTGGTTACTATTTCAATTTGCATTCACTTTCTTTCTAACAGCACGGTGTTCCCCGCCCGGCTGCTTCCCTTATCATACTGAATACTCTGGACAGTTTAAGGAACAACAGATTTGATCCACGTCTATGTTCAGTATGTTCGGGTTCTTCAGATTGGCACTTGGAATCCTCATAACTGACCTTTGCTGCAGAGATGTATTAGCAGGTAACCAATCTAAAAATGTTGGTCCGTACGTGACTCATTTCGCTTAAAACGTCCGTGCAAAGTTTGCACTTTCTACACCCAATGATTTTCGTCGCTGACTTCTGGTTTAGATATTCATTCCAAAAGAACTTTACCCTTTTATTTCTATACCTCTCATCGGTTAAACGGTTTTATACAAAAATTAATGTAGTTCTCTATTTATTATTTTCATATTTTTCTCTTAATGAGCCTCCATGACGTTTGTTATGTTTGTTTACGGACCTGTAGAAAACCAAAAAAAGACACTCTGATATCAGCCTTCTTTAATAATTAGCAAACGCTACAAGTATCTCTCAGTACATGCACCTGTTAAAGGCGGGCGTACAATCTTAAGCTATCTTACGCTGCAGTTTAAGCTGTTTCGATACAGTTTTTCGAAGACCATGCCAAGATTTTTCAAAAGCCTTAAAAGTAATTTTATCATCACTTGTCCGATCACTATGAAATTATCACCACGGACTGATTTTGGATTGAAGTTTCTTAAAATTTAGTTTGATAAATAAAATCGATATCACTATGACAAAAACAAACAATTAAAACGTTGAAATCGGTAAAAGCCGAATTTTGCGCGATCTAAACTAGTCCTGCTACTGAAAATCCCACATCAGGAACTTAAAGTGTGCTGTTATATAGCAAAAAACCTCCGTGAGAAGTAAAAAAATCTGTATGTTTGATTGAATTAAAACGTAAAATTAATTCAAACCTTATATTTTCAAAAGCCGTTATAAATTATGTAGTAAAAAAGTTCTGAATTACTCAAACTAATCTTAAATAACGTCAGAATTTAATACCATATTTCGATGCTAGGAAATTTTGGCGTATTTTCCATATTTTCTTTCTTGCTAATTTAAAAGCTAACCTTTTTTGTCACCACCTGTGTAAGTCAGCAACTTCATTGTTCTAAATGTCGACTTATATTGCTTTTTTATATGTAGAACGGCTCGATAGAATTCTTTTTAAACCTTATCAAAAGATGTGCACGATGTACTAAGTCTGAAACTTTCATGAAGATTGATTCACTGCAATAACTTTAAATTTCAAGACGATTACCTAACCTACAAACCGGCCAAAAATCCGCGTTACAACATTCACTCTTTCGACGTTATGCTAATGTTTCCAAATTAATGCCCACCATACATACCTCCATGATTAGTACATTTCAGTGAGGGGACTTTAGGGAGTTAAAATCCAACAATTTTTCCGGAAAAGCATGCCCCTTTGGCGCTCGTTTAGGAAATCGGTCAGTCAACCTAGTTCCGCGCCTGCATCCAATGATCTTTTTTTATTAAACACACTTTGTGATGCTGTTTTGTTTTGTCAACTTTAGTAACTGGCTTAAAGAATTCTGTCATTGTGGGAAATAATTCTGAATACTTGTCTAACTTGACCAACTGGATAAAACCCATTAAGAGTGACAGTGATTGGAAACTCTGCTGGAGAGCATCACGTGATGGCTGGCATAGCAGTCGATTCCATTCCCTATGTGACGAGAAAGGACCAACAGTTACTATTGTAAAGGTGGGAAAGTACATCTTTGGAGGCTACACCAGTTTATCATGGAGTAAGTATTCTAGTCTTAGTTTGCGTGTTTAAAAGTGTCTGGATTGTCACATTTCAGTTGTACTATTTATTTGACGTTTCATTTTTCTTTTTCCTAGAGTTATAATTTGTTGAAACTGGCACATGCATTTTTATTCGTTTGTGGCCTTAGTCCAAGTTGAACGATCAAAAATAGAAGTTTTATTAGTTGAAGGCATTCGAAACCCGATTCTCGAATGTATTCTCGAATCCTTGGGTAACGAATTAGGTTTAACGCGTTATTGTGGAAAGCCATCAAAGATTTTCGAAAACGCTGACGGCATATAGCTGTCGGTTATCATACATGACCTGGCTGCATGCATTACCAAACAACAACACGGTAATATTAACAACAACACTTCCAAGATTTGGCCAGCTGGAAACGAAAATTTACCACCAGACATGCGTTGTCGATGGCTGAGACGGTGGAAGCTTAAAATGGTGAATGTGTGGACCCTGAGCTTTTGATGAGTTTATATTAACCCGAAAACGCCTAAGGTTTTGGGAAACGCATTAGTGAACATGCTGGCCTTACAGAGACGATTTGTTGGATTCTTTCTATTCTTCATTTAGCTTCTAATTGCTTTGGCTATCAGTACGATCCACAAGCCTTTTTGTTCTCGCTGGTAAACAAGCCAGGATGGGCACCTGTAAAATTGAATCAGAGAGGATTCTATGGCTATCTCCAAGCGCATTCCCTATACACCTGTTACTTTAATGGTCCTACGTTTGGAGGAGGTCATGACTTAAAAGTCTCTACAAACAGTTATTATTCAAATCTCGGCCACACGTACAGTCCACCGAGCGGCTACAGCTATGGAAGCGTTTTTGCCCAAAGATTCCTGGCAGGAAGGTATCAATTCAATCCGGATGAAATAGAAACGTTTTACGACGCAGCCTTTACAACACAAGGTGGGTTCGAGGATAAGCTAGAGTCACTATATATTATAAATAATTTTCCAGGAATTTTAAAAAATCAAGCCAATCTAGCCATTTTAAAAAGTTGCAAGGATTGATCAAAACCCTAATTTCAACAACAAATTTTCAACGTATATCTTCTTCAGAACTTTTGCTTTCATGTCAAAAACGCCTAAAAATTGGTTACCGTTCTTGCTTGGGACGCGTAAAACCAACTTAAGGCCGTTAATACACCCTTGTAAATGTTTCTGGCCTCCGTCATGCCAGGCATTAAACCTCGATATAACCCTTATAAGGAAGGGTCAAGGGACTGGCAAAATTCTTCGCTGTAACGAGGTTTCGTTATACATCAAGGTTCTTTTCCATATATTTTACTATTACTGGGTTAAAGAAATTCTTTCTTTCTTTCGGACTTCGGTATATAGAGGTTCATTATACGGAGGTACCCACTTTTACTAATTGCAATCAGGCAGATTTCTAAAACAAATATTGATAGATGAAAACAGCAGACTTCACGGCTAACAGGTTACACGTAGCTACGGTTGATCTAAAAAAGATGTCATAAATTCGTTGGAAAATTTCATGCCAGGCTCATGACATTCATTGAAACGATTTTGAAATTCAAATCTTCTAGAAGGAAACATAAGCGCGCTATTAGTTGAGGAGACAATATAAAAACCTCAAGTACTGACCACGCTATCTAAAAAACGTCCACAACTTCAGCAAGAACAATCAGTCCAAGTTACACAGCTTCAACGACGGTGTCGCCAAGTTTATCGCCATTCCAAAAGAACTTTACCCTTTTATTTCTATACATCTCGTCGGTTAAACGGGTTTATACAAAAATTGATGTAGTTCTCCATTTATTATTTTCATATTTTTCTCTTAATGAGCCTCCATGACGTTTGTTATGTTTGTTTACAGACCTGTAGAAAACCAAAAAAAGACACTCTGATATCAGCCTTCTTTAATAATTAGCAAACGCTATAAGTATCTCTGTACATGCACCTGTTAAAGGCGGGCGTACAATCTTAAGCTATCTTACGCTGAAGTTTAAAGTGTTTCGATACAGTTTTTCGAAGACCATGCCAAGATTTTTCAAACGCCTTAAAAGTAATTTTATCCTCACTTGTCCGATCGCTATGAAATTATCACCACGGACTGATTTTGGATTGAAGTTTCTTAAAATTTAGTTTGATAAATAAAATCGATATCACTATGACAAAAACAAACAATTAAAACGTTGAAATCGGTAAAAGCCGAATTATGCGCGATCTAGGCTAGTCCTGCTACTGAAAATCCCACATCAGGAACTTAAAGTTTGCTTTTTAGCAAACAACCTCCGAGAGAAGTAAAAAAATCTGTATGTTTGAATTGCAATAAAACGTAAATTTAATTTAAACCTTATATTTTCAATAGCCGTTATAAATTATGTAGTAAAAAAGTTCTGAATTACTCAAACTAATCTTATTAAATAGCGTCAGAATTTATTATCTTATTTCAATGCTACGAAATTTTGGTGTATTTTCCAGATTTTCTTTTGCGTATTTGAAAACTAACCTTTTTTGTCACCACCTGTGTAAGTCAGCAACTTTATTGTTCTAAATGTTGACTTTTATCTCTTTTCTATATATTGAACGGCTCAACAGAATTCTTTTTAAACCTCATCACCAAATCTTCACGATGTATATAATAATGTTTGAAACTTTCACGAGGTTTCATTGATTCACTTCAACACCTTTAAATTTTAAGACGAACCTAACATACAAACATGTCAAAAATCCGCGTTACAACGTTCACTGCTTTGATGTTACGCTAGTGTTTCCAACGGCCCACCGTACATTTCAGCGAGGGGACTTTAGGGAGTTAAAATCCAAATTTTTTCCGGAAAAGCATGCCCCCTCGGCCGAAATCGGTCAGTCAACCTCGATCCGCGCCTGCATCCAATGATCTTTCTTTATTAAACACATTTTTATGGTATCGTTTTTGTTTTGTCCACTTTAGAGATTGGCTTAAATAGTTCTGTCATCGTGGGAAATAATTCTGAATACTTGTCTAACTTGACCAACTGGATAAAACCCAGAAATGAAAATGATTGGAAACTCTGCTGGAGAGCATCACGTGATGGTTGGCGAAACAATAAATTCCATTACTTATGTGACGAAAAAGGACCAACAATTACTATTGTAAAGGTTGGAAAGTATATCTTTGGAGGTTACACCAGTTTATCATGGAGTAAGTATCTCAGTTAACTTATTTAAGTAACTGTTTTCTGGCCTTGGTCCCAGTTCCAACGATCCAAAATAGAACTTTAAATGAAGGTATTCGAAACCATTCTTGAGTGTAGGATCTTTGGGAAACGATGGTTTATCGCGTTATTGTGAAAGGCCATAATCAAAGATTTTCGAAAACGCTGACGGCATATAGCAGCGAGGTAGGAAAGAAAATTTACCACCAGACAGACATGAGTTTTCGATAGCTCGGTGAGGACGCTTAAAATGACTGATCTGAGGACCTCGAGCTTTTGATGAGTTTATATTAACACGAAAACGCCGAAAGTTTTGGGAAACGCTATTAGTGAACATGCTGGCCTTAATTTACAGAGACGTTGTGTTGGATTCTTTCTATTCGTTATTTAGGTTCTCGTTGCGTTGGCTATCAGTACGATCCACAAGCCTTTTTGTTCTCGTTGGTAAACATGCCAGGATGGGCACCTGTAAAGTTGAATCAGACAAGATTGTATGGCCATTACCAATCGCATTCCATATACAACTGTTACACGACGTTTGGCCCTATTTTTGGAGGAGGTCATGATTTGTATATTTATTCCCACAATTCTTATTCCAATCTCGGCTACACGTACAGTCCGCCGAGCGGCTACATCTTTGGAAACACCTTTGTTCATTCATTCCTGGCAGGATCGTATCATTTCAATCCGGATGAAGTAGAAACGTTTTACGACGTAGCGTTTACTTCACAAGGTAAAGGTTCGAGGATGAGCTAGAGTCACTATATATTATATATAATTTTCCAGGAATTTTAAAAAATGATATATAATCTACCCATTTTAAAAAGTTGCAGGGATTAATTAAAAACAAATTAAAGATTAATAAAGACGCCCGCGACAACAAATTTTCAACGTATATCTTCTTGTGAACTTTTGCTTTCATGTTAAAAACGCCTAAAAATTGGTTACCGTTCTTGCTTGGGACGCGCTGTAAAACCAAGGTCGTCTGAATACACCTTGCTAAGTGTTTCTGGCATCTGCCATGCCAGGAATTTTTAAATTCAAAACCTAAAATTTAAAAACCTCGATATGACGAAGGGCCGAGGGACTGGCAAAATTTGTTCACTGTATCGAAATTTCGTTATGTATCAAGGTTCTTTTTGATATATTTTACTGTTACTGGGGCACAGAAATTCGTTTGTTATAGCGAGGACTTCGCTATATAGAGGCTCGTCGGTTAAATCGAGGTTCCACTGTATACCTACTTTTACTAATTGCAATCAGGGAGATGTCTAAAACAAATATCGATAGATGAAAACGGCTGACTTCACGGCTAACAGGTGACAGGTAGCTACGGTTGATCTAAAAAAGATGTCATGAATTCGTTGGAAAATTTCGCGCCAGGCTCATGATCATGATATTCTTTGTACCGATACTGAATTTCAAATCTTTTAGAAGAAAACATAAGCGCGCCGCGGTTGAGGAGACAATAGTGAGCTAAGCAACAACGACGGCGACGGCTACGAAAACGTCACTTAAAAAGTGAATTCGCACCGCTTCAAACTTTATCGCGCTTATTCCATCTCGTGTTACTTCGTCAAATGTTGGCAAATGTTTTTGGAGTTGAATTCTAAAGGACTGTATCAACGTTCAGGAAAAGAAAAGAAAGTTGTTGTCTTGTGTTCCCGTCCTCGACAAAACATGAATTCAGGCACTTTCACGTTGTATTCGGGCAACGACGGCAAAGAAATGTACAAAAAAAGCGTGATGCACGTGCAAAGTTGTTGTTTTGCTAATCAAACCTATTGCTTTTTTGCCGTTTTCGTTGCCTTCCGCGTCGTCGTTGCTTAAGCTCCCTAATATAAACCTCAACTACTGACCACGCTATCTAAAAAAATTCCACAGCAGCAACAAGAAAAATCATTCCAAGTTACACGGCTTCAGCTAGTGCGTCACCAAGTTTATCACCATTGGTTGTTTTCACAGATATTAAACTTTAGAGTTTTATAGTATAGACTGGGACAACTTTTGGTAAAAAGCCGCTAATAAAACGTCTGTCGGCAAACTCGAGGAAAAGTTGGTAAATACTTTTTTCTAGATGAAAATTACGTGCTGAACACGAAAAATTTGTTTACCAAGCTTGATTTTGAGTTTTTAACCACAAAATCTGACCTCGAAAAAAATGAGCTTATTTCTGGTATTTCTGGACATGGAAACGAGGCTAAAATTTTCCCCGCTTTTCAAAACCACATTTGACTCAAATTATTGCCCCAAATTAGCTAACTGTAATTTTTTTTGTTATGAAATAAACTAATAGACGGTTGAAGCCTGAAAAAAAGTTATTTGGAAATTCAGAGACGCTAGTGAAAGAAGTTGACGAGTGTGTTCGTCGTATAACTATCTGAAGGAAACATTTTCTTTTAAATAAAACCAGTTTTGATTAAGGATGAACTATGCCAAGGGTATTTTTAATAAGGAATATATTTCAGTTAGTACAAAAGGTCTTCATCAGGACTAGTGACATCTGGTGCGAGCATTAAAACAAAAATAGATCTGGCAGCAAAAAGGTTGCGCCAAGTTTTATCCTGCGTTGTGTTTCCCTCATTCAACGATTTTATATCGTCCATCTTCTTACCAATGTATAGCTTAAAACAAATCACTACCCCAACGTTAATGGATGGAAAACTTGTAAAAAATGTTCTTTTGCTACGAAGATTATCAAATAAGTAAACCCATTTTAATGCTTGAAGCTTTGACTTTGCCTAGGAAACGAAAGTCAGTGCAGCGTGTCATATGTTTGTTTCAACAGAAAGGTAGCCGCTGAATTTTATTTTTCGTTTTCCTCCATTTAATTAATGATTTTATGTAGTCGATCTTTTAAGTACTTTTTAACAGTAAAGCTTTAAGCAAGTCACTTCTCCAGCACTGTGATTTTTGATGGATGGATAACTTGTTTTTAAAAACCCTTTTTGCTGGCCCGAAAAAAACCAAACAAACCCATATAAATGCATGAAGCGTTGGCCCTGGCTAGAAAACGAAAGTCAGGCTCTACGTTTCATTCCAAAAACCATTCTGCTCATTCGAGTTACTTTTATTATGGAGAGTTGCATGGAAAGATTGTTTTCGTGGATTACATGATTTTTAATGTTGGAGAAGCAGCTAAGTTGGAAGAGATCTGCCCTTACACCCTCCTTCAGTAAATGCATTATATGCCAGGAAACGAAAAAAGATATCTTCTTTAACGCAATACAGCAAGGCCTGCGTTACTGAAAGAGTCCTCTGAAGAACAAAGAAAATTAGGAGACACAAACAATACAGATGTAACAGACGCGATATTGGAGGCAATCGAAGCAAAACAAAGCTGACGATTTAAGCTTGCACAAGAGCTGCTATGCAAAGTAGACTGATAAGGGTAAGATATAATTAAGTAGATTAAGGAAATCGCTTGATTCGTCGAAGGATACCCATCCACTGCCAGAAATGGCTGCAAGTTCAGCTCTCAGCAGCAAAAACTCTTCTATCGAATGGGAACTGTGTATTTTTTGTTAAGACGGGTCAATGCTTAAAAAGCAAATACTGTTCTCAGTGACAACGTTTAAAATGAGTCAGCGGATACTTGTTGGAGCAAAGTGTGACCACGACCTTTCATTGCGTTTGTCAGGTGTGAATGACCTAATTGTGGCTGAGGGCAAGTATCATTCCGTGAAATTGCTAATTTTAACGAAGTATATCTCGATCAATAGATATAGCTAAAGATGACCGTGCCGCAGTGTTGTTGTGGCTTGTTGCTGCATCAGGCAAACTGACATCTTCAACGTCAATCAACAAGCAGAAACGGTTCTTGAGAGATTAAAGAACATGGTTACTAAGGACGTGGCAACCACACAGATAGATGAGAATCTCTGTTGAAAGCAGGCAGCCTCGGCCAGAAACAACTGGACACTTTTGTTAAAGAAAGGCTTATGATCCCAAACGAAGATGAGAATTGTAAGAAGCTTAGGGATCCTCTTCCCAAAAGTAAAGCCGTGACATTTGTTTCTCCTTATGAGGCTGAAAAGAAAGAAAGAGAAAAGTCTGCCGCTATCGAAACTGACAGAATGGTCCTCCAGGGCATCATTACAGCGTACGATGCTGGTAGAAGAGTAGATTTGCTTCAGCTACGAGTTAGTCTCTGTTTCGCTTGCTATCGCAGATACCAATGGTCAGCCACAATCTGGAAATCAATCCGTGATAATAGAGCTGCTGTCTTGGGTGGGATGGAACATCCTCGGGTCACACCAGTCCCAGGACGTTCGACAATAGTAATTGCCGGTCAAGAATTAGTCATGGCTCTAGGAAGACCATCAGAGTGTAACAAATTCGACGATCTCGTAGATAGATTTTTGAAAGCTGCCCTTGTCTGTGGAAAGGACTATGACCGGATAGATGTTGCATTTGATGGGTACAGGGAAGCCATCTTTCCTTTTCATGCGCTAACAGGCTGTGATACGGTCTCTTTCTTTGCTAAGCATAGCAAGAAAACTGCCTGGAAGGCATTTGCTCATCACCTCATCACCAAACGCTATTGGAAAGTTTTGCAGATGGAGACCTGGATGACACGACTGTGAAGTCCGTAGAAAAATTCATTTGCAGTGTACAATGCTGCTAATGCAGAGGGATGTGATAAAGCACGTGCGACGTTGTTTGGTTGGTGCAGATTCCCAGAGGCACTTCCCCACACAAGTGATGCAGCATGATGGCATATTACTAGCGCACGCTTTCAAGCAATGTTATGGAGACAAGCCCATAAAACGAACCCCACCCTCCCACTTCCAGAAACCATGGGATGGACTAATTCTGATGACGGAAAGCTCGTGCCTAAGTTAATGACTCTTGCCCCTAGCCTGTACCCGAAAGCTGTACCGAGATGATTACCTGTAGCTGCAAATCAGGATGTTCAACAAATAGGTTCAGCTGCCGGAATGTTAGACTGCCGTGTACAGGAGCATGAAAATGCAGAAGCACTGAAGATCTCAATTGCAGAAATGAAGTTGATGGTAATGTCATTGCAAACCAAGGACAGTAAATGGTACAGTTTAGCAGAACAAAGCGTTTAGCTTCTCTAACAAATTTTTATTCTTGTTTTATAATTGTCTATGGACTAATAACGGTTTTTTTTTAATTTTCGTCCTGTAGGATGTCTGATGTTTACAATATCAATTTAGGTCTTAAATATGTTTCAGAAGCTGACATCAGACGCATCTAAAATGGCTGCAATCAATCGAATGTTATGACCTTCCTTCTTAGTTATAAGTACAGCATGTATCCAGAATGGTTAGGGCGTGAAAGTTAAAAGTAGTTTTAAGAAAATGCAGTTTTTGTTAATTATTTCAAGGATTTTGCAAACATCTAGAAATTCAATACTTGAAAATGGAAGTAAGGTGTCTGCAATATATAGATCGCAAACTTACTGTAAATATCTTAGGAAATAGCTGAAAATTAAATTTCTATAGCTGCTGTAACTATTGGAGCGAATTGCTGGATTGGTAATTTTTTTCTTTTTTGACTGTGCCGTCAAATTTGTCAAAATTCTGAATAGCCTATAACCCCGTTTTCAATGGTCACGTGACTAGAAAAATCACGTGATTTTCAGACGGTTTCTGCGAGGTACTGTAAGTAATAAGTTGTATCAGTTACCTGTTGATCTGAACGAATTTTATCCGTTAGAGAGTACTCTGCATCCTCATACAACATGCAGCCTCGTTTTCATGTCACAATTTATTAATACTAACCTTAACGGCTGATTTCAAGGTCTAAATGGTGGAACCAACCTTGGTAAACAAAATTTTCGTGTTCAGCGCATAATTCGCATCTAGAAAAGTGTGTTTACCAACTTTTCCTCAAATTTGCCGACAGAAGTTCTCTTTTGCGAAAGTTACCCCAGTCTAGTAGAAGTCTACTCTGTGTCAATTCAGTTCGAGGATTATCTATCGCCACTATATGTTATATCAGTATAGTTTTCAGGAATTTTAGGAAATAATAAGTGATCTAGCCATTTTAAAAGTTGCAAATTCTCAACGTATATCTTAATTTTCTTCTGAACTTTTCCTTTGGTGTCGAAAACGCCTTAACATAGAGTTATCATTCTTGCTTTGGACGCGTTAAACCAAGGGCGTTATAAAATACACCTTAGTAAGTGTTTCTGGCATCCGCCATTAGGCATCAAACCTCGATATAACGAAGGCGGGGCCAAGGGACTGGCCAAATTTGTTCGCTGTAACGAGGTTTCGCTATATCAAATAAAGAAATTCGTTCGTTATACCGACGCGAGGACTTTGCTATTATAGAGCTTCGTTATAGCGAGGTTCCACTGTACTGACGTTTGCTCAGAATTGCAATCAGTGAGATGACTAAAAAAATATCAATATATGACAACGGCTGGAAGGCTAACAGGTGACAGGTAGCTACGGTTAATCTAAAAAAGATGTTATAAATTCGTTGGCAAATTTCCCTCCGGGCTGATGATGTTCATTGTAACGATTCAGAATATGGAATCTTTTAGACGAAAACATAAGAGCGCCCGTTAGTTGAGGAGACAATACAAACCTCAACTACTGACCACACTATCTAAAAAAATTCCACAGCTGCAACAAGAAAAATCATTCCAAGTTACACGGCTTCAGCTAGTGCGTCACCAAGTTTATCGCCATCAGTTAGTGTCAGTGCATCGGTTTCACCAAGCACTTCACCGTCAGTCAGAGCAAGCGTCCCACTCCTTTCATCAGGTGAGTTTGAGGAGTTAAACACCCTGCCTTTTGTGGAAGTTCGTTTAATTGAGCGAGTTACTATAAGATACCATTTTTATCAGCGTTGTTGCAAATGAAGTAAAGTAGTTCAGTTAAACGTTATTTTTAGTTCATAATGAGCTATCTGTGGTAATCAGTTGGTCAGTGATGTTAAGTATGAAAGCACTTAAAGTAAGTTTGAGCGAGGTTTCCGTCAGACTTACAGAAAGGGGGCAGCAGGAGTGATAAGGCTGGATTCAACCCTTAAGGTTATTCTCAGATATATTTTGAAAAGATTTTGAGACAAAACCTCTTATTCTAAGTAGCTGTTCATTTTAATGTTAAGGGTTATATTTTATAATAACGTAAAGTTTATTTATTTGATAACCGTCTCGTTTCCTATCTTCAAAATTTGCAAAATGGCTGCTGTTTCAACTAAACTTTAAGTTTTCATAATGGAAGTCTACTCTGTGTCAATTCAGGTTCGAGGATTAGCTAGCGTCACTATATATCATATCAGTATTAGTTTCCAGGAATAATTCTTGCTTGGGACACGTTAAACCAAGGGTGTTATAAAATACACCTCAGTAAGTGTTTCTGGCATCCGCCATTAGGCATTAAACCTCGATGTAACGAGCGGCCAAGAGACTGGTCAAATTTGTTCGCTGTAACGAGGTCTCGCTATATCAAGGTACCGACAGGAGGACTTTGCTAAATAGAGGTTCGTTATATCGAGGTTCCACAGTACTGACTTCTACTAGCTGCAATCAGGGGAATGACTAAAAAAATATCAATAGATGAACACGGCTGACTTCAAGGCTAACAGGTGACAGGTAGCTACGGTTGATCGAAAAAATATGTTATAAATTCGTTGGCAAATTTCCCGCCAGGCTGATGATGTTCATTGTAACGATTTTGAATATCAAATCTTCTAGAAGAAAACATAAGAGTGCCGTTAGTTGAGGAGACAATATAAACCTCAACTACTCACCACGCTATCTAAAAAAAATCCCACAGCAGCAACAAGAAAAATCATTCCAAGTTACACGGCTTCAGCTAGTGCGTCACCAAGTTTATCGCCATCAGAGAGTGTCAGTGCATCGGTTTCACCAAGCACTTCACCGTCAGTCAGAGCAAGCGTGCCACTCCTTTCATCAGGTGAGTTTGAGGAGTTAGACACCTGGCCTTCTGTAAAAGTTCGTTCACCTTGAGCTACTAAACATTATTTTCATTAGCGTTGTTGCAAATGAAGTAGAATAGTTCAGTGAAAGGCTATTTTTAGTTGATAATGAGCGATCTGAGGTAACCAGTTGTTCAATTATATTAAATATAACAGCACAAGATTGAGCAGGGGGGGGGGGCGGGGCTGGAGGAGTGGGGAGGCTAGATTCAACCAAAGGTTATTCTCAGATATTTTGAAAAGATTTGGAACAAAATCTCTTATTCTCAGTAGCTGTTCATTTTAATGTTAGGCGTATTTTATGATAATGTAAAGTTCATATATTTAAACTGCAGGAGAGATATTTAACAAGATAACCGTCCCGTTTCCTAACTTCAAAATTTGCAAAATGGATTGCTGTTTCTGTAGATATTAAACTTTACAGGTTCACAGTGGAAGTCTACTCTGTGTCAATTCTAGCGCCATAAAATCGCGTTAACTAATTACTGACAATTTATTTGGTTGGTTATGTTTGAAGATAATCCTGTTAGTCAACAATGCTGACTATAGTGGGCGAATTTGTGGGCAGAGAAGGTACACCAATACTTTGTACACTTTGTTTGTGTCTCGCACTTTGCGTTCTACATTTTGCGACTGTTAAAAATACCTGTTGTTAAGGGTAGGTTATTTATTTTATTTCTTTTTTCTATAAATCTCCGATTCCATGAAAACTTAATTTGTGTTATTTTTCAGATCCCTGCATAGTAACAATTCACACAAATCCGTTTATTAATAACATGGTAGCTCCACGAAGAGTGGCATGCTTTAGACGTGCTCATAATCTCGAGGAGGTACTGGGTGATTTTGCAGGAAACACTTATAATGCAGTGCAAAAGTGCGCTGCATTGGCTCGCGACAAACATTACATAATGTTCGCGTTGGGGGAGAATAGTGTGTGCCTATCCGGAGCAGACGTTTATAACAGATACTATAGCAGTGGTACAAATAATGCGACATGTATAGACGGCATTGGCAAGGGAGATAGTATGTTCGTGTATTCCTTAGGTTAGTAGTGTTTCTTTAACTACATCGTTTGATCGTCTAAAAGCCAATGCAGAACTAGAGCTGCTGCAAAAACACGCGACCACAAGTCTTTCAAACAGATCGAAACCGTGACTTCAGTGGTTACAAAATTTTGATTACTTTAATATGATCTTACTACCAATAAGAGAAATGACTTGTTTAATTGTCATGCTTTTCCTTTGTTTTATGGTCGAACTGTTTTTTATGAGTAGGTTCTGCCCCGAAGTCTAACTCCAGTTACCCTTTTTAATATCATTTTTGCTGACGGAAAACAAGAAACCCCTTATTGACAAATGGTGCCCCTTTCACATACCTAGTCATTTTGAGTCCCTTTTAATTTTAATATATGAATAAATCACATAATTCATTAGAGCGTTTTCTCTACTTTTGATCATTTTTTTTTTCTCGTCTTATTTTTTTTCTTTTTAATTTCTTATGCAGACCACTTGCCTGATCTACAGCAAATTGGATGTTACAATGACGACAAAAACCAGCGCGCCTTACGGGTTATTTACGCAAATTTCAGTGGTCAGATTAACTGGACACAAGTGGAGACAGTGCAACAGTGCGCACAAGTGGCCTTCAACAGAGGTTTCGAATACTTCGCCGTTCAGGATTATGGAGAATGCTACACTGGAGACGATGCTTCGGAAAGAAATACCAAATATGACAAGAGTGACGATTGTGTGGAGACTGACAAAAAGTCAGGATATAAAGTGGGCAAAGAGAACACTTTTTTTCTTTATCGGATACACTAGTCTATTAACATTTAAAACCCAAAACAAATACAAAACTTAAGGTTGAGCGGCGGTCCTGTTCTCTGCTTTGAATACGATCGAGTTTGTTGGGTGACAACAAACTTTTCTTCTTTAAAACAACGATCGAGTTGTTTGACTTAGAGAAAGAGAACCTGGAGTGCCATATTTACTACTACTAAGTAATAATTTAAGTAAAATAGGGTGATCTCTGCACAATTTTCGGTGCTAAGTAGAAATTTCTCATAGCTATAAAATGTCGGTTGCAACAAGGCCGCCGTTGTTTTCCCTCACTACCGACAGCCTACTGGCATGCCATGTAGATCATGAATAATGTGTCGGCCGATATAGCGGAGGATATATTGTCCACTATGTATCACCTCAGGGTCAATAAAATCGATCAATATCGGCCAAAATGACTAGCGATACAGTCAGGCTGAATTTTCCTAAGATAAACAGTGTGTTATTTCAACACGTTACTTATAGAAGAGCCTGATGAGCAACCTGTAACAACGAATAAAATAAGGAGAAAATCGGCATGTCACCGGATGCAAGAAAAGCTTTGTAATAATCACGTTGTTTTTCTCTTAAGTATAGACCTGACTAAAAGATGTAATAATGATGTAGTCCTAACGTTAACCACTAACTCAAGGTATGTACTGTATTTAGAGAAAGGTTGTCGGAAAATTGAAATGTGCACGCGATAATCCCGAAATTGGTGATATAGGATATAATCAATACACTGTTGCTGACACTGTAGCTGTCGAACCTACTTTTGTTGCTTTCCTTTAGCACTCGCAAATATACGTCAATGGCCTCTCGTGGCCATCATTCTTTCAAATTTCTTTGAAGAACAGTGAACTCAAAACAAGGCGTTAGCTCCTCTAAAAAACCTGCGTGGGAGGCTGTAAGCACCATGACGATGATGGTTGGTATTGTAAACAGCGCCTGATTAGCTGTCATTTAGCTGAACTGGGAAATTAAACCCGACAACAAAAATTCTGATCCATGGCTGTTTTAAGGTGCTTTTGTTCGCTCTTGGAGTCTTCGTAAAAGTTGTCCTTTACAGAAGTGTCATGGGGGGTACGTGATCTTGCAATTGTCATTTTCACACAATCATTTATAATTTCTTTTCTTAGTTTGTGTCAGAAAGGAGGTAGCGTGGCCGAGCAGTTAAAGCGCTAAAATTGTAATCCAGAGTCTCCTAGTTCAAGCCTTGCCCTTAAGCCTAGGTGATTCGGTTTTTGGTTGTCCCAAGGTTCAAATATCCCTGGCTACGCTTGTAAAATAGCTAATATAACTGCTTCTCTATTTTAACAGTTGAGTTCTTAACTATGTTACGTTCTATTTAGATTATCTGATTCGTTATCTCTGAAAATACTTATAAGGAGAGAGAGTAATAAATTATTTACCTTTGGCAACTTAATTTTCACCCTCTTGTGCTGTTCTCATTGAGTTTCCTGTAAAAATATTTCCAGAAAAAAAAAGAGTGGATTTCCTTTTGACCTTCCTTCACTTTTGTTAAAAAGTGAAAACAAGTCTACTTGAGCGATACGTTCGCGATATGCTTAGCCGCGTAAAATTAAAGCATATTAATTACATTCGTATTGATATCTGTGTTTTCAAGTTGTCTGAAAATGTAAAAAATATGTATTTTTTCGGTCTTCATTTCTTATCATGACTAATTAATGTATTTCAGGAGAAGGCAAAAATTGTGCCAGTATAGTAGTAAGTAACAGACTGAGACCTTCAGATTCGAGGACGAGGACGAGATTTGACGCGTATTTTTCGCGTATCCTCGAAAAAAAGATACCCCGGAAAACTTCATTAAACTTTTTTCGCCAGGAAAGTTGTCCCCGTTACGTTTATTGAATAATAAACACTCGTCCATTCCGAAAACGATAAACTTCCCTTTTTAAGCAAAGCTGTAAGCCCTTTACCCTGCGAGCAGAGTCTTCTTCGAGATCGAAGGAGACTCTGCTCGCAGGGGATAAGCCCTTCTTCTCCCTTTAGAATCCCGCATAGTCAGGATTAATAATGCAAATCCATTCTTCAAAAAGGCGGCAGCTCCACATGCAACCCCAGTGGCATGTTTTATTGGTGCTAGTAATCTCGAGGAGAAACTTGGCGATTTTACCGATGAGATTCGAGCTGGCGAACACCGATTACGTGAAGGAACTGTGCGCTCTGTTGGCCCAAGCCAAAGCATACGAGCTCTTTGCGTTCAAGGCATGGATGGTTTGTGTTTATCGGCAGTTGACATTGAAAACAAATAGAGGAACTAATGGAGCAAATTGTAAAGAAGGCCTTGGCAAAGGAGATAGCATGTTTGTTTATTCCTTAGGTAAGTAGCCCTTTTCTTTCATGCAAGCAAATTCAAAATTCTTTTCTCCCAAGACCTTTAGAAAATTCAAAAAACGAAGCAAAACAATAAAACACCTGCGTATGACAACGTAAAGGCTAAAATTTCGAGATTGGACCCCATGGATTGCATTAAAACCCATTTTCAATTGAAAAAAAGTTGAATAAGTTCTTATTTGTACTTTAGCATAACTTCTTCATCCACGTAGTTACAAATGAATTAATCTCCTGAAACAAAAACAAAACAACCGATAAATCGTAAGAAACTATTTAAGCTGACTTGTAAAAATGTGGGGCCTCATTGACAGCTCCTGAGTAACGGAGGCATAAAATAACGTTATTTTCACAAGAGGGAGGAGCATTGAAGCTATAAGCAACGTATCTTGTGCAAATTGCTTTACTTCGTCTAGTCACAGACTTCATCACGGAGCTTAATAGACTTAAGGAATTAACCGTGTACTTCATTTAGTAGCGGGTAAAAACTAAGTTTCCAGTTTATGGTATGAAGAGTTAAAAAACACCCGCAAAAAATATACGCGGAAGGGTATGAATTCAATCCTGCAAAACAAAATGCGAGTTGTTAAGTTTTTGCGTTCATATAGAAATTAATACAAATTTTATTTAGAGCCCTTACCATTACTCCAACCACTTGGATGCTTTACTGACACTGAAAGCGAGCGAGCTCTATCAGAAAAATACGCTAACTTTCACAATCAGATCGAAGATCAAAAAAGGGAATTGACCATATACCAGTGCGCGTGGATAGCGCATCACAAAGGCTACAAATACTAGTTCACCGTTTAGAATTATGGAGAGTGCTGGGCTGGAAATGCTACAGGAAACCATTATGACAAATACGGTAATAGCTCCAACTGCTTAGAAATTAACACAATTACTGTAAATGTCTTGATTTGGAGTTGGAAAGGCATGGGCTAATTTTGTTCATCGAATAAAATAATAAAAATAATTTTTTCAGACGATGCTGTGAAGGAAGTTTTGAAAATCAAATGCTAAAACTAACTTTTTACAAACTTCTGTCCTGTTTATCAAAATTCAGCTATCCTGAAGTCAGTTAAAAAAAACCAAAACATTTCCACCTCTTATATACCTTGCATTTTACTCATTTTATTTGCAGGTTTGGACTGTAATTCCCATCCGTGACATTCCAAACATATTTTAGACCTTTTCTTTAAATTAGTTGCGTAAAAAAGAAAATAGTCTTATTGTTTCTTCACAGCGATAAGCATTACTTAGGACTTATGAACGAGTTCTACATAAAAGGACCCTCATTTGACAGGGAAGTTATATGTGCAATATGTCCCAGTTGGGTGTTCTGGAGTCAGTCATTGGTGGTAGCTATCACATATGGTTGACAAAAATCCCTGCTTTAAAGTTTTATAGCCCCTAGTCAAACGATCGAGAGCTACTGGGGCGAGGCAGTGTCCCTAAAGCTAAAAGAAAAGCTCGTTTCCGAGTTCTAATAACTCTCATTTTCAAAACGAGGCTGTCAACGGCTTCGCACTTACCCTCGCTTTGAAACAGAGGTTATTAGTGTAAGCTGGAAATAGCCTATCATGAGAGCACTTAATCAATAAATTGAAACTCGTACTTGGCTCCGAGGCTCAGTGGGGAATAAAACAAACTAAATAAAAACCGTTGGGCGGTTTATAATACATTTCTTGTTGTTCTTCTTTTGTGTTACTCCACAAGCCTTGGAGGCAACTATGAATTTTTTACTTATCGAAAATGGTCTATTTTAGTACAAGTTTTAACTTTGTTTAAATTGTTTTGCTCAGCTTGTCCAAAACTAGCCAATATTACACGGCAGCACATTTCTATAACAACCTATCATAATTAGTTTCTGATGCAGCATTATAATAAATATTAAGCTACAGCTGTAAGTTAAAGAATTACTGACAGAACTTATTACCTGACGATAAACCCTTACGTAGGAGTCTTGTCGAGAATACTGACAAACTCCATTCATGTCCATCTTCTTTTGCTCTTGGATTCTTCGTTAAAAGCTTTATTTTTAGACGGTATACGGATGGCATCTATCTAGAATTAAATTCCTTCCTCTTTGAATATAACATTCTTAAAACTTCTTCCCATTGTTTTAAGAGACAATTTTCAATAATTAAAATGGACTTGTAGGTCATAATATTGGAAATGGGTGTCATTTATGTTTTATAAATGACCTGCTGTTCCACACTTTGATGACTTCAAAAATTCGTTGCTGGTTCTCAAACAACGACAAGATGCTGGGATAAAGCCCTGGCTCCTCGACCATCTTAAAAGCGAGGAGCGAGTGCCTAAGATCTCGCAGATCAGCCGATTTATTATGCTTTACACGTCTTCCAGACTAGTTTATCAAGCAATCTTCGAGAAGTAATTAATGAACAATTGTTTTGTCCAGGGTACTAAATTTCAGGAATCATCCATCCATTTACTTGATGTTGGAGATGAATAAATGAATAAAAATTTAATAGGCAAATCTCCTTACCTCTGTCAATACAGTTAATACTTAAGAATCTGGTTGAATTATTTGTGAAAAACGGCAAAGAAAGCCCTGGTCATTACTCATTCTTGCTACTCAATGAACAGAACTTAGGAGAAACAAAGAGCATCTAGTTTTAGCAATGATTACTGGTACACATTTACATGGGCTTCTAAATCCTAACGTTGTCATTTTCTCTCAGTCTATGTTTTTTGCGAACTTTAAAATTCGCATTTTCTATCCAGTACTCGTTTCGGTCTTGAAACCTATCTCTTCGATTTCAATAGCATCAAATGAGTTATTAAAATTTCATACAATTCTTGACTAACACTTTGACCGGTTTCAAAATATCATTTTTCTGTTGCCCATTTTCAAGAAAACTTACTAGTATCTTTTTAGCACGGGAACTGGAGATTATGTTGGTATATACATGGCGTTTCCGGCTTATACATGTGTCTGCTTTTAAAAAATATATTTAGACACCACGGTGTAATATGTATAATTAGTAAAATCCAACTAGTGGTCCATTATCAATGCTGCATTCTGATTGGTTGAGCTACTACTAGGCTATATGTTATAGCCCACTAGTAGCGACAAGCGCGCGCTTTTTGGCGGCAAAAAGGATTTAAGTCTACCTTTAACTAGCTAAACTTTTTTTATTCTCGATATTTTTGACCAACTTCGGCCTCATGGGCTATTGACTCAAAGCACATTCGGGCTCGAGGAATAATTGTTCATTATATTGCTTCTTCTTTCCTTTTTGCTGAATAATTTATAGATAATTGACAACCATCGAGTAGAGTCGGTTGAACTATTTCAATTTGCATTCATTTTCGATCTAACCGGCTGCTTCCCTTACCATACTTAGGAATACTCTGGTCTTTTAAGGAAAAACAGAATTGACCCATGTCTTATCTGTTCGAGTTCTTCAGACTGGCACTTGGAATCCTCATAACTGGCCTTTGCTGCAGAATTGTATTAGCAGGTAACCAATCTAGAAATTTTTGTCCGTAAGTGACTCAAAGTTTGCACCTTCTACACCCAAACAATATTGATTTTCGTAACTGACTTCTGGTTTAGATATTCATTCCAAAAAAACTTTTGTTTCTTAAATTCTCATCAGGTTAGGCCTGTTTCAAACCTCGTGCTACTGCCGTGCTAAGCTGGCTCGACTGTAGCTCGACTGGAGCACGACACTAGTACGACTTGGTTTCAGACGTCGAATTTAATTCAGTCGAATAGAACGGCTGTTGCCGAAAACAAAACGCAAAAATAAAGAAAAGGTTTAGCAAATTTTTAAATGTATTCTAAAATGAATTTATAATTTATGAATTGAGTTCGGCATGGCAGTAGACGACGTTTGAAACGGGCCTTAAAACGTTTTACATAAAACCTTTATGTTGTTCTGCACTTAAAATTTCTTTTTTCATATGTTTGTCTTAATTATGAAGGAATATTGTCATGAATAGCTTAGCCAGAGGTCGTTTCTTCAAAACTGTCTTCGCTACAGAGCTCACAGTTGAAATGAAGAGTTTGTTCGCAGTCCTGAGCCCCCATAACGTTTGTTATGTTTGTTTGCAGCCCTGTAGAAAACCCATAAAAACACTCTCAGCCTGATAGCAGCGCTCAAAGCATGGTTAGCTTTAACCATTGGTTAAGCAGTATCAAAACCAATACGTTGTCAAGGTATTAAACGCTGGTTAACGCTAACCATGCTTCGAGCAACTGGGTCCTGGCCTTCTGTGCATCGTAATTTTTAGGGAGTTATTATAACTCCAAAAATGGAGTGAAAATTTTAGGTACAGGATAACCCCTTTTTTGGGGTTATTTTAACTCCTAATTTAACTCCGAATTTGGGGTCATTTTTACTCCTGAAAAAGAGTTCTTTTTACTCCCAGTCTTGGAGTTAAAATTACTCCGAAATGGGGTTACTTGCACTCCTTACAGGGGTTGTTTTTACTCTTTTTGGAGTTAATTTAACTCTGAAAGTGGAGTAAAAATTTTAGGTACAGGATAACTCCTTTTTTGGGGTTATTTTAACTCCTCAATATCTGGGGTCACTTTTACTCCTGAAAAAGAGTTCTTTAAACTCCTTTTTGGAGTTAAAATAACTCCACGAAAATAACTCCACTGTAAGGAGTTAAATTAGCCCCACTAGAGGAGTTATTATAACTCCCTGAAAATTACAGTGTGGAAGCTCGTTTAATTGAGGCGAGTTACTAGAAACTATTTTTATAAGCTTTGTTGCAAATGAAGTAGAGAAGTTCAGTGAAACGCTATTTTTAGTTCATAATGGGCGATCTGAGGTAACCAGTTGTTTAATGAGGGTCGGGGGCGGCGGAGGGAGGGGGGTGGGGAGAGCCAAAGAAGAGAGGAGGCTAGATTCAACTCAAGGATATGTTCATATATTTTGAAACGATTTAGTGACAATGAATCCTCTTATTCTCAGTAGTTGTTTATTTTAATGTTAGGCGTATTTTATGATAATATAAAGTTCATATATTTAAACTACAGGAGAGATATGATTTAACAAGATAACCGTCTCGTTCCCTAACTTCAAAATGTGCAAAATGGATTGCTGTTTCTGTAGATATTAAACTTTACCGGTTCAAATTGAAAATCTTCCGGCTATGTATCAATCAAGCGCCATAAAAGCGCGTTAATTACTTAAGATTTATTTGGTCGGTTAATTTGGGGATAATCCTGTTAGTCAACAATACTGGCTATGGTGAGCGAATTGGTGGGCAAAAAAGGTACACCAATACTTTGTACACCTTGTTTGTGTCTCGCACTTTGTGCCCTACATTTTGCGCCTGCTAAAAATACCTGTTGTTAAGACTAGGTTATTTATTTTATTTCTTTTTTCTATAAATCTCCGAATTCATGACAGCTTGTGTTTGTCTGTTATTTTTCAGATCCCTGCATAGTAACAATTCGTACAAATTCGTATATTAATAACATGGTAGCCCCAAGAAAAGTGGCATGCTTTAGAGGTGCTCGTAATCTCGAGGAGGTACTGGGTGATTTTGCAGGAAACACTTCTAATGCAGTGGAAAAGTGCGCTGCGTTGGCTCGCGACAAACATTACATAATGTTCGCGTTGGGGGAGAATAGTGTGTGCCTATCCGGAGCAGACGTTTATAACAGATACTATAGCAGTGGTACTAATAATGCGAAATGTATAGACGGCATTGGCAAGGGAGATAGTATGTTCGTGTATTCCTTAGGTTAGTAGTGTTGCTTTAACTACATCGTTTGATCGTCTAAAAGCCAATGCAGAACTAGAGCTGCTGCAAAAACACGCGACCACAAGTCTTTCAAATAGATCGAAACCGTGACTTCAGTGGTTACAAAATTTTGATTACTTTAATATGATCTTACTACCAATAAGAGAAATGACTCTTGTTCAATTGTCATGCTTTTTCTTTGTTTTATGGTCTAACTGTTTTTTACGGGGAGGTTTTGCCCTGAAGTCTAACCCCAGTTACCCTTTTTAGCATCATTTTTGTCTGACGGAAAACAAGATACCCCTTATTGACAAATGGTGCCTCTTTCACATACCTAGTCATTTTGCGTCCCTTTTAACTGTCATAAATGCCAGTCTTAAATATATGAATAAATCTCATAATTCATTAGAGCGTTTTCTCTACTTTTAATCATTTTTTTTTCTCGTCTTAATTTTTTGTTTTTTAATTTCTTATGCAGATCGCTTGCCTGATCTACAGCCAATTGGATGTTACAATGGTGACAAAAACCAGGGCGCCTTACCGGTTATTTACGCAAATTTCAGTGGTCAGATTAACTGGACACAAGTGGAGACAGTGCAACAGTGCGCACAAGTGGCCTTCAACAGAGGTTTCGAATACTTCGCCGTTCAGGATTATGGAGAATGCTACACTGGAGACGATGCTTCGGAAAGAAATACCAAATATGACAAGAGTGACGATTGTGTGGAGACTGACAAAAAGTCAGGATATAAAGTGGGCAAAGAGAACACTTATTTTGTTTATCGGATACACTAGTCTATTAACATTTAAAACCCAAAACAAATACAAAACTTAAGGTTGAGCGGCGGTCCTGTTCTCTGCTTTGAATACGATCGAGTTTGTTGGGTGACGACAAACTTTTCTTCTTTAAAACAACGAGTTGTTTGACTTAGAGAAAGAGAACCTGGAGTGCCATATTTACTACTACTAAGTAATAATTTAAGTAAAATAGGGTGATCTCTGCACAATTTTCGGTGCTAAGTAGAAATTTCTCATAGCTATAAAATGTCCGATGCAACAAGGCCGCCTTTGTTTTCCCTCACTACCGACAGCCTACTGGCATGCCATGTAGATCATGAATAATGTGTCGGCCGATATAGCGGAGGATATATTGTCCACTATGTATCACCTCAGGGTCAATAAAATCGATCAATGTCGGCCAAAATGACTAGCGATACAGTCAGGCTGAATTTTCCTAAGATAAACAGTGTGTTATTTCAACACGTTAATAATAGAAGAGCCTGATGAGCAACCTGTAACAACGGATAAAATAAGGAGGAAATCGGCATGTCACCGGATGCAAGAAAAGCTTTGTAATAATCACGTTGTTTTTCTCTTAAGTATAGACCTGACTAAAAGATGTAATAATGATGTAGTCCTAACGTTAACCACTAACTCAAGGTATGTACTGTATTTAGAGAAAGGTTGTCGGAAAATTGAAATGTGCACGCGATAATCCCGAAATTGGTGATATAGGATATGATCAATACACTGTTCCTGACACTGTAGCTGTCGAACCTACTTTTGTTGCTTTCCTTTAGCACTCGCAAATATACGTCAATGGCCTCTCGTGGCCATCATTCTTTCAAATTTCTTTGAAGAACAGTGAACTCAAAACAAGGCGTTAGCTCCTCTAAAAACACCTGCGTGGGAGGCTGTAAGCACCATGACGATGATGGTTGGTATTGTAAACAGCGCCTGATTAGCTGTCATTTAGCTGAACTGGGAAATTAAACCCGACAACAAAAATTCTGATCCATGGCTGTTTTAAGGTGCTTTTGTTCGCTCTTGGAGTCTTCGTAAAAGTTGTCCTTTACAGAAGTGTTACCCCGGAAGTTACCCCGGAAAACTTCATTAAACTTTTTTCGCCAGGAAAGTTGTCCCCGTTACGTTTATTGAATAATAAACACTCGTCCATTCCGAAAACGATAAACTTCCCTTTTTAAGCAAAGCTGTAAGCCCTTTACCCTGCGAGCAGAGTCTTCTTCGAGACCGAAGGAGACTCTGCTCGCAGAGGATAAGCCCTTCTTCTCCCTTTAGAATCCCGCATAGTCAGGATTAATAATGCAAATCCATTCTTCAAAAAGGCGGCAGCTCCACATGCAACCCCAGTGGCATGTTTTATTGGTGCTAGTAATCTCGAGGAGAAACTTGGCGATTTTACCGATGAGATTCGAGCTGGCGAACACCGATTACGTGAAGGAACTGTGCGCTTTGTTGGCCCAAGCCAAAGCATACGAGCTCTTTGCGTTCAAGGCATGGATGGTTTGTGTTTATCGGCAGTTGACATTGAAAACAAATAGAGGAACTAATGGAGCAAATTGTAAAGAAGGCCTTGGCAAAGGAGATAGCATGTTTGTTTATTCCTTAGGTAAGTAGCCCTTTTCTTTCATGCAAGCAAATTCAAAATTCTTTTCTCCCAAGACCTTTAGAAAATTCAAAAAACGAAGCAAAACAATAAAACACCTGCGTATGACAACGTAAAGGCTAAAATTTCGAGATTGGACCCCATGGATTGCATTAAAACCCATTTTCAATTGAAAAAAAGTTGAATAAGTTCTTATTTGTACTTTAGCATAACTTCTTCATCCACGTAGTTACAAATGAATTAATCTCCTGAAACAAAAACAAAACAACCGATAAATCGTAAGAAACTATTTAAGCTGACTTGTAAAAATGTGGGGCCTCATTGACAGCTCCTGAGTAACGGAGGCATAAAATAACGTTATTTTCACAAGAGGGAGGAGCATTGAAGCTATAAGCAACGTATCTTGTGCAAATTGCTTTACTTCGTCTAGTCACAGACTTCATCACGGAGCTTAATAGACTTAAGGAATTAACCGTGTACTTCATTTAGTAGCGGGTAAAAACTAAGTTTCCAGTTTATGGTATGAAGAGTTAAAAAACACCCGCAAAAAATATACGCGGAAGGGTATGAATTCAATCCTGCAAAACAAAATGCGAGTTGTTAAGTTTTTGCGTTCATATAGAAATTAATACAAATTTTATTTAGAGCCCTTACCATTACTCCAACCACTTGGATGCTTTACTGACACTGAAAGCGAGCGAGCTTTACCAGAAAAGTACGCTAACTTTCGCAATCAGATCGACGATCAAAAAAGGGAATTGACCATATACCAGTGCGCGTGGATAGCGCATCACAAAGGCTACAAATACTAATTCACCGTTTAGAATTATGAAGAGTGCTGGGCTGGAAATGCTACAGGAAACCATTATGACAAATACGGTAATAGCTCCAACTGCTTAGAAATTAACACAACTACTGTAAATGCCTCGATTTGGAGTTGGAAAGGCATGGGCTAATTTTGCTTATCGAATAAAATAATAAAAATAATTTTTTCAGATGATGCTGTGAAGGAAGTTTTGAAAATCAAATGCTAAAACTAACTTTTTACAAACTTCTGTCCTGTTTATCAAAATTCAGCTATCCCGAAGTCAGTTAAAAAAAAACAAAACATTTCCACCTCTTATATACCTTGCATTTTACTCATTTTATTTGCAGGTTTGGACTGTAATTCCCATCCGTGACATTCCAAACATATTTTAGACCTTTTCTTTAAATTAGTTGCGTAAAAAAGAAAATAGTCTTATTGTTTCTTCACAGCGATAAGCATTACTTAGGACTTATAGGCAAGTTCTACATAAAAGGACCCTCATTTGACAGGGAAGTTATATGTGCAATATGTCCCAGTTGGGTGTCCTGGAGTCAGTCATTGGTGGTAGCTATCACATATGGTCGACAAAAATCCCTGCTTTAAAGTTTTATAGCCCCTAGTCAAACGATCGAGAGCTACTGGGGCGAGGCAGTGTCCCTAAAGCTAAAAGAAAAGCTCGTTACCGAGTTCTAATAACTCTTATTTCAAAACGAGGCTATTAACGGCTTCACACTTACCTTCGCTTTGAAACAGAGGCCTAGTGCAAGCTGGAAATAGCCTGATAGAGAACTCAGTCAATAAATTGAAACTCGTACTTGGCTCCGAGGCTCAGTGGGGAATGAAACAAAATAAATAAAAACCCTTGGGCGGTTTATAATACATTTCTTATTGTTCTTCTTGTGTGTTACTCCACAGCCTTGGAGCCAACTATGAATTTTTTATTTATCGAAAATGGTCTATTTTAGTACAAGTTAAATTGTTTTGATCAGCTTGTCCACAACTAGCTAATATTACACGGCAGCAGATTTCTATAACAATCAATCATAATTAGTTTCTGATGCAGCATTAATGTCAAGCTGTAGCTGTTAAAGAATTACTGAACTACTTATCACCTACCGATAAACCCTACCTAGGAGTCTTGTCGAGAATACTGACAAACTCCATTGATGTCCATCTTCGTTTGCTCTCGGATTCTTCGTTAAAAGCTATTTTTTTAGACGGTATACGGATGGCATCTATCTAGAATTAAATTCCTTTCTCTTTGAATATAACATTCTTAAAATTTCTTCCCATTGTTTTAAGCGGGTGACAATTTTCAATAATATACCTTTTTACCAATATTGAATCACTTGGATTTAAGGAGTATTATGGTATGCCCAGGGGGCATGAGCACGATCCGATGTACTCGCATCAGTATTCACGCGCGCTTTTCGGGGCAAATTTTTCTTTAAGTTTCCCTAAAAAAAGATTGTAATGGGAAAAAAAGATCGTTGTGCCGTGTTTGGATGTAATAATGATCGCGTTTTTGCTAGCCTGCGTAGCATGGCGGTTTTGGTTGCTAAGTAATAAAGGCGGGCGAGGTCCGGCTTGACAAAACCGCCATGCTACGCAGGCTACATTTTTGCCGATAAACAATCATTACCCGTTCTCATTTTGCCCAAAACGCCTGCGTAAATACTGAGCGAGTGCTCCCTGAGCATCCCATAATACTCCTTAAATCTAATAAACTCAATATAGCCGCCGTGTCGGTGAAAAGGTCTATTAAAACGGAATAGCAGGTCATAATATTGGAACAAGGAGTCATTTATGTTTTACAAATGACCTGCTGTTCCATAATAATACGCTGCTGGTTCTAAAACAATGACAAGATGCAGGGATAAAGTCCTCGCTCCTCGACCATATAAAAAGCGATGACTGAGCGCATAAGACCTCGCCGATCAGCCGATTTATTATCCTTTACATGTCTTTCAGACTGGTTCATCAAGAAATCTTCGAGCAGTAATTAAATGTACAATTGTTTTGACCAGGAGACTAAATTTTAGGAATCATCCATTCATTTATTTGGTGCTGAAAATGAAGAAATGAATAAAAGTTTAATAGGCAAATCTTCTTACCTCCGTCAATCATAGGCGTACAGGCCGGGGGGGGGGGGGCGGGGGGGGCTGCAGCCCCCCCAAATTTTTGGCAACTCAGATTTTTTGGGCAGCAAGAGAAAATTTGGGCAAAGCCAGTTTTCAAAGACGTTTCCATGTTTTTTTTATTATTCTAAAGAGACAAATATTTTCTATTTTAAACTGAAAAAATCCTGAAGTCAGCGTAATAATCCAGTTACTTTCTTTCGAGACACTCAGAGTGGTTTCCTAGCACGTGATGAGTTTCTGGTTATAGGGAAGGGTATCATTTGTTGATTTACATATTTATAGTTTTATATGTTGAGCACTGTGCTGCACTGCTCTGATTGGAATGGGCTCTTTCCAGTCGTGAATTGATTAGAATAAACTTCCGCATATCTTTCTAGAATCATCTCCGTTCGTAGAATAGTGTATGGCAGATAGCATCAGCAACAGTGGGTGTGAAAATGAAGAAGTGGCTGACTAGTACTCAGCTCGAATTACGAGAAGAATATTAAATTTGTTTAAAAATCTATTAAGCAATAATTTATTAAAGTAGACCGAAATGTTTACAAAACCGCTAACAAGAGCGCCTCGATACTAATGAAATCCTTGTCTCTAGCAATCGGCCGGAGCTATCTCGATGATCATATCTTTTACACACATTTTTAAAAAGATTGAAGCTACCATGAGGTGAAATTGCATGTCAAAAGAGCTTCGTTTTCTACAAATAACGGCCAAACATCAAGATTTTTTTTACCATATTTATAACGATAAAAACTTCATCCCAAAATATCCCAATAACACTCCTATAGATTCCTTTTTAACTTCACGAACATCGAGGCTACTATTGGAGAAAAAAGCTCCCGCGAACAATTTTGTCGGAACAGTTCCCAGTGCCGAGAAATATTGCTGCAAGTAAAATAGACAATGGCGTCATTTCGTTGCTATGACAATTCCGACGTCATTAAAACCCTGCTCATGATAAATTTTCATCTTTATCTAATAAAACTATGGTAGCAATTTTTCCAAATGTTTGTCTATGGCGACGTAGTTATTCTCAAAATTGGGAGGTATTGACCCTGAAAAACATAGCATCGAGCCACCTTCATATGCCAGTACGGCCTACATTATTGCATCGTATGGCCCTCGTTTCTTTTCTACTGTTTCGTAAAAATTTGGGCAACTTGCGAGAATTTTTTGGGCAAATGGTTTACCGTCCCCCCCTGGCAAAAAATTGCCCGTACGCCTATGCTGTCAATACAGTTAATACTTATTAATAAGAATCTGGTTGAATTATTCTAGAAAAACGGCAAAGAAGGCTCTGCTCATTACTCATTCGTGCTACTCGAACAGGTTTTAGGAAAAACAAAGAGCATCTAGTTTTAGAAATGATTACACAATGACATAGGCTTCTAAATACAAACGTTATCATTATCTCTTCTATCTTTTTAGTGTACTTTAAAATTCGCATTTTCTATCTAGGACTCGTTTCGGTCTTGAAACCTATCTCTTCGATTTCAGTTATATCAAATAAGTTATTAAAATTTCATACAATTCTTGAATAACATTTTGACAGGTTTCAAACTATTATTTTTCAGTTACCCATTTTCAAGAAAACTTAGGATCTTTTTTGCACAGGAACTGGACATTATATTGGGATTAACATGACGTTTTGGGCTTATACATGTGTCTGCTTTTAAAATATAAATTTTGACACCACGGTGTACAGTATGTAAAATTAAAATTGCTACTTCCTTAGTAGGAATAGAATATCGATGTGCCACGTATGAAATTATATATAATCCTTCAAAACTCGGTATATGTCGTCACTGAAATGTATCACTTATGCAAAGTGTTAGCCTTCACATTTTTTGCAGATTAGAAAAAAGATTTGCCAATATTTTCCGTTTCAAAGAAAAGAATACAAACCAGTGCCTTTTACGTTTTGTAGTCTAACTAGTGTATGAACGTCCTCTTCTATTTCCTCCATTAATTGTGACGGATTCTTTTTAAGCCTTCATTTAGTTGCTGAATAATTTATGGCATAATTGACAAACATCGTGTAGAGTCGGTTGAACTATTTCAATTTGCATTCATTTTCGATCTAACGGGCTGCTTCCCTTACCATACTCAGGAATACTCTGGTCTTTTAGGGAACAACAGATTTGATCCATGTCTATGTTCGGGTTCTTCAGCGGATTGTCACTTGGAGTCTTCATAACTGGCCTTTGCTACAGAGTTGTTATGGCAGGTAACCAATCTATACTAATTAAAAAGTTTGCTTCTGTGTCTCATTTCGCGCAAAAAGTCCAACATGCTGGTTAAACATTTACTTCAAAGAACTTACCCTTTTGTTTCTTCAATTCACATCGGTTGAACGGTTTTACATATGAATTTTATGTAGTTCTCAATTGATTATTTTCATAATTTCCTCTTAATTATGAAGTTATAATCTTTTCATGAATGGCCTAGCCACAGGTCGGTTCTTCCAAACTGTCTTCACTCTACAGGGCTCTTGACCGCTCAAATGAAGATCTTGCTCGCACACCAGCCTCCACATTTCTTATGTTTGTTTGCAGGCCTGTAGAAAACCCAAAAATACCCAGATAGCAGCCGCTTAGCTATAGCGCCATAAGTCTCTCTGTACATGCACCTTTTAGGCTTTTAAAGGGTCGCCATACTCTTACGCTGTTTATTAACAAGTACTTTCTCCAAATTGAATACATTAACGGATGGACCTTATCGTTTTCTGGCTTCAAAATTTGCAAAATGGATTGCTGTTTTTGAAGAATTAAACTTTAGGAGCCAGTTATTTAATTAAATGGAGTTTGGCCCGTGTTTTGAACAAAACTCTGAAAACCGCGTTCTTAGCCATTTTCAGTTTGCTCAACGCTTTTATCTAAACATTATTTACCGTGAACAATTTCAATAAAGTATTTAGGGTAGACTGAAAAAGCACTTATTTTCGTAAATTAAACCACTAAGAAGGAAATTTAGAGCTCCAATGATGTTTTAAACCGTGGCCTTTAAGTTAGACTCCGTTTAAATAACAGACCCTAGGGTTCACAATGAAAGTCTACTCTGTGTCAATTCAAAAGCCATAAAATCGCATTTATTAATTACTGAAAATTTATTTGGTCGGTTAATTTGAGGATAATCTGCTGACTATGGTGAGCGAATTGGTGGGCAAAAAGGTACACCCATACTTTGTACACCTTGTTTGTGTCTCGAATTTTGTACTCTATATTTCGCGCCTTCTACAAATGCCTGTTGTTTAGGGTAGGTAATTTTCATTTTTTTATATATATAAAATAAATCTCCGAATTCATGACAGCTTTTGAGTTTAATTTGTCTGTTATTTTTCAGATCCCTGTATAGTAACAATTTACACGAATCCTTTTATTAAGAGGCTGGTAGCTCCAAGAAGAGTGGCATGCTTTAGAGGTGCTTCAAATCTCGAGGAGGAACTCGGTGATTTTAGAAGTAAAATCAAGTTAGCAAGTGACACTTATGATGTAGTGGAAAAGTGCGCTCAGTTGGCTCGCGCCAAACAATACAAGATGTTCGCTTTGGGCAAGGATGGTCTGTGCTTGTCTGGAGCTGACACAGAAAACAAATACCATATCAGTGGTACGGCGAAAAAGGCGGACTGTAAAGACGGTATCGGCAAGGGAGATAGTATGTTCGTTTATTCTTGGGGTAAGTGTTGAGTGTTGTTCATACTTGTTCAAGATCTAGAGAGTTCAGACGTGGACTGTGCCGCTGCAACAAGACAAGCACATGTCTTAAAAGTATATAGAAATGTGTTTGCTAACAATTTTCTTGTACCACGATGTCTTTTAAGATATCTGTGATCAGATTGATATATATTCACGTTATTAAAAGAGAAATGACTTGTTGTGCTATGCTTTTTCTGGAGGCCAATATGCGAAGCTTTATTCATTGTTGACGTTAGAGGGACACGTTGATGCTTAGAAAGCATACATAGTCATGCGGAGGCCGGAGAGCTTACAACTTGAGTAATATTTAGCAATTAATGAATGAGGCCGAGTAGCATATGAAGAATTAGGCAGATCGAGGAGGGTGTAGCCGAGGTGGATAACACCCTCCGAGATCTGGGCCTAATTCTTTAAATCCTACGAAAGCCGAATTCATTAATTGCTTTATTATTCATTCAAAATAATTCCTAGTTAAAAAACAAGCAAAAACATGATTACCTTCGTCGATGTCATGATAGTGGAAGTTTAGAAGACAAAGGGCTGTTCAGGTCTGCAATTATATCCAAATAGCAGATGTTGTCCATCGAGTTGTCTTCTTGCTATGTTTTTAGACAATAGTCCGTCGTCAAACGAGTAAAATGTTTCGCAGAATGTTCCGCCATTTTTGTTTTCACAACCAAAATAACTCAGCCTCCTCCCCAGGTCTTCTCGGTTAACAGCAACTGTGCTGCACTTTTGACGTCATCGGCTGATTAATCGCAAAGTTCTTCCAAATTGACCACTCCAGAAAATACTATACCATGATGCTCTTTGTTTGTCACCCCAAAATTTTGCATAAGCATTGTCTTCAATTTCTCTTGGGAGTTAAAATGGCCCCAAGAGAAACTGAAAACAATGCTTATGCAAAATTTTGGGGTGACAAAGAAAGAGCATCATGGTATGTTATGGTATTTTCTGGAGTGGTCAATTTGGTCAACAGTAGCTGGTTATGGTGAATTATGCGTGTTCTTTTATCCAATCAGAAACGGGGAAATAGTTTGAAAGAATAATAATTATTTCTATTAAAAACTGAATCATTGGATGACGCAATTCTAGAACTCTGATTGGCTTAGCTATCATGGTATAAGAGCCATTAATTCATGCTCTCCAAATATGGTAACTGTACGCGTCTGCTCAAAATTAAAGACAAGTTGAAAATCGGTTGTTTTTACAAATGAAGCCGGGAATAATTCTAGATATTTCGTAGGCGTTTTTAATAAAACAATTATTTCACTCGCTCTTGTTGGATATGAGATGATTATAGCCAACTCGGCGATACGCACCTCGTTGGCTATTTACCATCTCATATCCAACGCACACTTGTGAAATAACAGCTGTTAATTATATAGATGGAGAATAGCGCAATACAAGGCAAATTGTACTACCGGAAGTACGCTACTGAATCTCTGACGAAGCCACTTGCAATTGAAGGTTCAATCACCATGTTTCTCTTCTCCTCTTAATTAATTTTCCTTCTTAATTCATTTCTTGCCAGACCCCTTACCTGATCTTCAGCCACTTGGATGTTATAAGGACAATCGCGGAGATCGCGCCTTACCAAATGAATACGCTAACTTTCGAAGTCAGATGAACTGGAAGCAACTGGAGACCGTGCAACAGTGCGCACAAGTGGCCTTCAACAAAGGTTACGAATACTTTGCTGTTCAGTTTTACGGCGTGTGTTATACTGGAAATGACACTTCGCAAACTAAATATGACAAGCATGGCAAGAGTCACAAATGTGTGGAAATTGACAAAACCTTAGGATTTCGAGTGGGAAAGGGGAACACTAATTTTGTTTATCGGATAAACTATGCCAAATAAAATTGATGCAACTCATGAACAAAGCCGAGCTACTTTCCATACTCTGCCTTGAATTAGGTCTGTTTGTTGAGTTAAAACCGCGATAACTTTTCCTCTTTAACTACCACTCGACACATCGATCTTCGATACCACTAAATGAATGAATAAAGCTTTTAAAGTGTACACGACTACGACTAGCTTGTAAACAACCCTGAAGTAGTCTTACTGCTACTTTCTACTGCTATGTAAGTAATAATTTAAGTCAAACAGGGTGAAAAGGGTATCATAGCATTCATGTAAAATATACCTTTTGCATACCTTACTCAGGACAAGAAGTTCTTTTATGCGTGGGAAAATAACTTATCAACTGCAAATTCATGAGGTTGGGAGTATTATGGTGTTGACTAAACAAGTAGAATATCCGTAGCAACACAAGATAAAAATATAAAGAAATAAAAGAGATTTGACAATGTCTTAATAGTAAGAGAAAAACATAATGCAAGTTGTACAATAAAAATGATGTTGTGTTTAGACATGCTCATGTATTATTTAAATGAGGTGAAGTGAAGGTCGCAAATTTAAAAGTGATTCAAGGTGAAACGACTATTCAATTCTTTTTAAATAATTGCATCACGAAGCGTACAACTCCTCAATTGCTTGTACCAATTTAAAAGTTCATGTTCATGACGACTAGCATCAGTCTCTAGAGCTCCTATATTACTTCTTCGATAGTGCACGATACCTGCTCGTAGGAACTGAAAGAATAACAAGAACATCATAGTAATAGAACGTCTGGTCAATGTCAGCTTTACAATACATAAGCGTTGTACTTGGAATCTTCATAACGGAGCTTTGTCATCTCATTCATACAGAAGGTATTTGATCTTTCTTAAACACGAATTGGTCTCTACTTTCGAACCGGAAAATATATTAGAGCGGTTTTCACTCGACTGTCGTAAAACCAAAACCAAAGTAAACACACTAGCCACCCAAAGGGCGTAGTAAAACCAAAACCAAAACCAAAACCAATCCCTTTCGACAGTCAAGTGAAAACCGCTCTAATGCATTTTAAGGATAAAACTATAATACATGACTCTGAGATTCCACTCTAGTCGTTCTCCATTGCAACGTTTCTTCTGAAATTTTTTTCTTTTTCTTTTCTTTTTTCTATTTTATTAATTCAAGTAATGAAAATGCATAAAAGAGAAATTTTCAAGAATCCCAACTTTCTCTATACCTATGATTTTACGTCAGCAATCAAAATTACGAGCCCTAAAACAAACCGTTTCCCTGAATACAGTCAGTCTAATTAGTTATTCTAACGAGCTTCAACCTTACATAAAACAAAATAATTTGAACTGAACTAAATTGTACACAAAAGGCTGGCTTAGGTTTAAACTCAGATGAACATAACAAGTTTCATTCCTCCTGACTAGAAATAAAACTTGGATTTCTTTTGCACTTTTTTATTACACTCCATGTAAGTACCCAGTCATAAATCGAATCCAAATGGATTACATCTCAATAAAGAAAAATTTAACATAACATTCACAGCCGTGAATTTGCGCAGCTAATGATTTATTTACAAAATTGAAAAAAATTAAACAATAGAGTAAAACCAGGTTGGCTTTCCTTTCAATCACACAACTTCTGTTGTGTTTGTTTGCATCTCCATAGAAACCTGCATAACAAAAGTTTTTTTCAATCCTGTCGCCAACAAAGCATTAACAAATCACGTGATAACTTCTCGGAAGGTGACATCAGCAGAAAATTGTGAGATCGAATGCTTCTTAGAAATGAAATGTGAGTCATACAACTTAGGGCCACAACTGGAGAACGGAAATCACGTGTGCGAGCTTAGCAACTCAGATGCGTTAAGAGATCCTCTAGACCTGATGACAAACCATGGATTCATTTATCGTGGAACCAAGGTAGAGGTGAACGAGTTAAGTCAAGAAAACCGAAAGAGTGGATCCTCTTTTGGTTAACGGTACATTATTCTAACTGACTGACTGACTGAATGAATGAATGAATGAATGAATAGAGCTGAATTACAGGTACTGGTCAGTTACAAAAACAATACATAATTAGGACACTAAACATATTTTACGGTTACAAACTCGCAAACGATCAGTATTGGATGGTAGGGTGGTCATGATCTATTTGAACGTGTACAGTGTTCCGAAGATGAGTGAACAAATCTGCATTGAATTAAAGGAAAAGCTTGGAAAAATTGGGTTGTCAGGACAAACTCTTTTTACAAAATTGACACAAGCATCTTCGCGACCTTTCTTTTAGAACGTTTTTCCATTTTATAGGTTTATATATATATATTTTTAAATTGATGATTGATTTTAAGTTTAGAAAACATACTAGACTACAACTTAGTCAAAAGACAGCAAAGTTCTTCTAAAGATTTAACTGAGTCTTTGGCGTGTTACCGTAGCATGCCGCGTAGATACAAGCACTTTAATACTGGGTAAAAATGTTCAGTATATAATATCTTATTTGAATGTTAGAATCCCTGTGCAAATGTACAGTGCCCTGTGGATACTCGTTGCTACTCGGACTTTGAAAATGATACACACGAATGCTTATGTCTATCAGGATCCAGTGGAGACAACTGCGACCTCGGTATGTTTGAATAACCTCAGAATTTGTAGTTTTCCTCACGATCAAGTCCAGAAATATTAGTGGTATAAACAAAGAATTAAGTGAGTGGGCTGCTATCTTCAGGGCTAACGTTCTCTGAGATCGATTGAGAGAAACGAGGTTTTTCATGTAGCCGATTGAGGAAAAACAGATCTTTATTGGTGATGCGAATGGCAATAGTAGTGGTTACACACACCTTGGGTTTGGGGTCTTCCAGAGGGTAAATGGCTTGGGTTTGGTTTAGCTCAGGTTTCACTTTACCCTTGGGGATGCGGTTACACAGTAAAAGACACCCCTCAGGGTAAAATATAATTAGATATGAGCTAACTGACCTTGTGAATTGGCGGGAAAAGTGGAGATCAACATGGATGACACGAATCGAGATCTAGTAAGCTTAATTTCAGTGATTCTCCTGCTTATTATTCGACAGTCTTCCATAAACATAACAGTCCAGCAGTTTTTTGCGAGAAGACACCGAAGAAGGCGCTTTCGATTACGCTACCTGCAAGGTTTGTCGGCATTGTATTTAAATTTACGAGCTCGTCGCCAATTTGCTCGCCGGCCTAGAAGAGCTTGGGTATTTCCACGGCCACAGAACTGGTTTCAGGAACTTCTAAATAACAATGCACTGGATCACTGGTGGAAAGAAAACTTTAGAGTTTCGCGCGATACCTTTGAATATATATGCCAGCTCGTTGGACCGGCGCTCCAGCGGCAAAACACTAGGATGCGAGATGCCATTCCAGTTCCAAAGCGCGTCGGTGCAAGCCTCTGGCGACTAGCTACTGGAGAGTGCTACCGCTCGTGTGGACTGATGGTTGGGTTGGCAAAACCGACTGTTGTAAAGTGTTGCCATGAATTTGTTCAAGAAATATGCCGACTTCAAGATGAGTTTATCAAATTTCCTTCTACTGCAGCAGAGATAGCTAAAAAAATTAAAGGCTTCGACAATAAAAGTAAATTACCTAATGTACTTGGAGCAATAGATGGAAGCCATGTACCTATTAAGGCCCCGAAAATTAACCATGAAGACTACTTTAACCGGAAACATTTCTACAGTTTTTTAGTACAGGGAATAGTTGATGCCTCTGGCCTCTATTTATCCGTGGCCACTGGTTTTCCTGGAAGTCTACATGATGCTCGGATGCTGCGTTTAACTGACGTTTATTGGGCTGCTGAAGATGAGAACATCCTAATGGAACCTACATTTGACTTAGGCGGAACTGTAGTGCGCCCACTTATCGTGGGAGACACTGCTTATCCAAACAAAACCTGGCTCATCCGACCATTTAAGGATAACGGTGGGCTTACGCGCGACCAGAGGAATTTCAACCGAGAGGTATCCAAGGCGAGAATAGTATCCGAACATGCATTTGGTATGACCAAAGGAAGGTGGAGGGTATTACTTAAGCGCCTAGACGAAGACAGTGACAGAATACCTGACACTATCATCGCCTGCTGCGTGCTACATAACATTTGTGTTTTACGAGGAGATGAACTCGACATAGATGATAGTGATGATGATGATAGCGATGATGATGATGATGACGACGGCGGCCCCCCCTCCCAGGCTGCAGCTGCGGTTCTACAAGCCCTTGTTCAATACGTTGCAAATCAATAGACATATATCCCCTTGATTTTGTCCTCTTTGCGTCCTAATTATAGAAGGTTACGAAATAATTATATTTTGCTTTGCAATTTATTTAAGCAATCATATATCTGATCCCATTGATCCAAACCTGAAAGTAACAGCAGATTGAATAAATATGTATATATATATAGTAATATAAAATCAATCAAAAATGGTGTAGAATTTTACACGGGATAATTACAGGAAATATAAAAATTCTGTTTGCTAAACAACTGTAACGTCTATTATACTTAAGAAACAGCGGTTGTAACCATTTTACAGCACTGTGTATTTTAGTGTCCAAAATACTATTCAAGATCAATTAAAATTTCTTTTTGCAGTTTTGCAACAATCATGTAAACAGTTCCTTTTTTCTTTGGAATAAAAGCGTTGAGTTAAACCTATTTTTTGGAAGCAAATATGTCTCCGAGTTTTCCTAACACAGACACAACAAATTCTTGGTGTTGTCGCTGCGCTTCTGCCTGAGATTTGAGGAGAGCTTCAAAACTCTCTCGTCATTCTCTTCGGATCTTTGGATGGCTTCTTGCTGTGACTTCATCATGTCAAGGATTGCTAGCTCCATGTCATCGCCGCTAAGCCTTTTCTTCTTCTTTTTTGGTCCTTTTTCATCCTTTTGCCCAGTTTTTCCAGTTTTCTCTGCATCCGCACTATCTCCTCCAGCAGAGCTGGGCGGCCGTTTCTCTGTTTTCTTACTGCAATCTTGATTTCCGGTCGATAAAATATCGTCGGTATCATCAGAGCTACAATCCTGTCGGTGGGCTTTCGTTTCCTTGACAAATCTTGGATTCACTTTGTCTGATGAAGCCATAAATTCGTCGATGTCTTCATAGTGCTTGAACGTTTTCCGTTCCCTTCCCGTGCGATTGTTGTTATCACATACGCTTTTGTATTTATCCAAGAGCGCCCGCCACTTCTCCTTTAACTGCGCTAATGACTTTTCAGATTCCACGCCATTGTCAAAGCACATACTTTGAAACTGCTTCAAAATATCTTCCCATATGTGTTTTTTGGCTTGACTGCTTTTTGTCGACTTAAGTCTATCGTAGTACTCCTTAAAAGCGGCAATTAAGCATCTCTCTTCGGTCAACGACCAGCTACTGCGCTTGTTACGATCGTCGCTTCGGTTCGAGGATTCACTTGGAGTTGGACTAGCGCTGTCCCTGTCTGGTTCAAACTGAAGGTGATTGCTAGTACCGGGTACAGGGTTCTGGTAAATCGGGTAGGGATTTAACATCGCTGGATAATGCAGTGGAGGCTGATTTTGAGCCATGCTAACACATAACAGGGTATTACCGGTGTTGTTGATTCCCTGCGGCCTTGTTTGATTTCGTGCCGCAAATAAATATCCGTTGTAATAGGGATCTTCATTTTGACTAGCGTTCCTATAAACAGATAAACAGAAAGATTATAATTTAATCAACTTCGTAACTGGCAGTCTGAAGGGCAAACTCATGAAAATAAAGAAAGAAAGAAATACTCACAGTGATGCACGAAACCCTGCCATGTTACCTCGTGCTAGAAGTAGGCGCGAAATTAGCCAAGTGCTTCAGAGGTCACCTCAGAGCGCCTCACGCGATTTCCTGTATTAGCTGCGTTCTGCTTTATGATTGGCCAAGCCACCTCAGGGAGCAGATAAACCGTACTTTTCAGTTCAGGAACTGTCATGGGAAGTTCTTTTGTTCTTTTTGATGTATCCATGGAAATAACCCTAGGGCAGTTTCGGTCTGGGAAAAGCGGTTACACACAAAAAAGTCTTTTCCCGTGGGCAAACGCTATTTACCCATGGGTAAAAGGGCTAGTATAACCACGACTAATGAATCTGTTAGTTTTGAATCATTATAAATGGCAGGTGACGTTGTAAAAACAACATTTAAGGGACGTAGCGATAAAGTATGGTAATGACTACGATAACGGACATTAAAAATTACATTATAAGTCGCTTTAAGCGCCGTATCAATAATTAGATTATTTGCAATATACTGTAGAGCTCATTACGATCTATTTATTTAAGATTTAATCTCTCTAATCTCTCTAATACATCATAAACACAACAACAATAGGGAAAAGGGGACTGCACCCTCTTCCTACCCCCCTCTTCCTACCCCCCTCTTCTTTCCCCTCTTTCTACCATAGTAGAGTTGCTTGTACGTAAGATGATCAAAGTAACATATGCCTGACGAATACTAAACTAAATTAAGTGTGTTCTACAGTGGGAAACACTGTAACATAGCAAGGTAAAAACAATTACTACAAAATGTTCCGTCTCTTATTAGTCGTCTCTGCAACCCCACCCGAAATTCCATTGGCATGTTTTTATGGTGCTGACGATCTCAAAGGCAGAGTTGTCGACTTAACCAACCAAATGATGTGGAACAACAAACATGAGGTCGTGAAAAAGTGCGCCGAGCTGGCGTACGCAAACGGTTACCAGCGGTTCGCTTTGGGCAAGAATGGTCTCTGTCTATCTGGAATTAATATGAAGGACAAATATTACCTCAATGGTGTTGAAAATGCGGCGTGTATAGACAGGATTGGAGCGGGCAACAGTATTTTTGTATATTCTTCTGGTAAGCTTATGTCCCTGCCCATTCCAAGCGTATCTCCATCACAAAATGTTTTGCAAATCATGACAGGCACTCGATCTACAGAAAGGAAATAGAACCACAGACTAACCAAATTCATATCCTGACAACTTCGCGAGACAAATAATTCCTTTTCAGGGACTGGTTATTACTTAAGGCCAGGTTTGGGTCGGATGATTTTGTAGGGTAACATAATTTAGGTCAGAAATTAAAGGGGTAAATATCCAGTGATATGGCTGATGAGTGATGTTTTCAGCCAGTTTCTGAAGGACTCAAATTGTACAATGCCAAGTATTTGATCAAATTAAATAATCTCCCGACTACATTCGTCTATATAGATCCAGCACCGAACCTTCAGCCCATTGGCTGTTATAACGATAGTGCAAAAGAACGAGCCTTGCCAGTGTTCTACGCTAACGCCCGAGGTAACATCGACTGGTTTAACATGGAATTAACAGTTAATCAGTGCGCACAAGTGGCCAGTGATATGGGTTACGAATACTTTGGCGTCCACTTTTACGGCGAGTGCTACAGTGGCAGAAATGCTAAGGAAAGTTATGCCAAATATGGAAACATTACTGAGGGACGCTGGGAGTTTGATAATCAAACTGGATTTGCAGTAGGAAAAGAGGGGGCTAATTTCGTGTACCAGATCCGGAAGTAGCTGAGGTATTTAAGGAAATCATGATTTTGGCAGCAACAGCCTCCTAGATTTTTAATTTCACCTCATTTTGCTGTAGAGAGATAAAGGAAGCGAAAATCACCATAGCCTGCCAAAACATCCGTTTCTCCACGCTCTTCGCCGCTGGGGACGTTTCGCGCGGAGGAACGCGAAACGTCCCTATTGGCGAAGAGCGAGGAGAAAAGGATGTTTTCGCAGGCTAAAATCACCAAGGCCATCAAAGATACAAGCCTCGACTTTGGACATACGAACTGCTTTCCATTTTCGGTTTCTACCTGTGCGTACGCCTTCAAGGCTGTTGCGGTCGACTTACGGCCAGTCTATTCTAACTTGTCATTTACATGCAGTGAACCCTTTATTAAAAGGACCCCCAATTAGGTGGACACCCTCTATCAGGCGGACACTAAGCCTGGTCCCGAAATTAACGTCTGATATTTCCCTTTATAACGTACACCTATTCAGCGGACACCTCTATTAAGCGGACGCGGACACTAAAATAAATTGTATTAAGCTAATTTCTAATTGTTAAAAACCTTTATTAAGTGGACGCCAGATTGAATAGAAAATAGTAGCATTGGATTACGTGGTTGAAACTGACGTACTGTAGTCGATTAATGAAGATAAATCAATACATTTAGCTGTCAAAAGTTCACTTAAAAGTCTTGCACAAAGTACAGCACAGCTTCCTTAGCTTCCTCAACAACCTGGAACACACACAGTATCACAGTACAGAGTAACCGTTGAATGTTAAGCGTTAACAAACATTGCGCAATTTTTACAAACGGCCTCTATTAAGCGGACACTTGGGAAGGTCCTGAAGGTGTCCGCTAAATAGAGGTTTCACTGTATTTCTAGATTTTGTATCGTAGTCCCCTCGAGTACCTGTTCGTGAAAAATGGTTAATACTTTCAGTTTATCCGGTCCCAGTTGTTCAAAAGGTGAATAATAACAACAACAACTTCATTGACTTTATCTTCGACATGAAAATTTCAGTACCAAAACAGTCAATACAATGACAAATGAAACGAAGTAAAATAAAAGTTAGTAAAAAAGAAAGGAACAACAACTATATATATATATATATTGAATACTATCATAAAAGAAAACTTGCTTGTACGCTAATAACGCTATCTGAAAAGGGCAATTGGTGTCGCCCCGAATTATCTGCTAGATGGTGGTTTTCAAAATCACTATTTAGCAGATAAGTATTCGGGACACCAGTGGATGACAGAGCGCAAAAACCGCTGATTGGCTAGTGGATAATGACGTAATTTGGCCTGTTTTGCGTAACTGCGCCTGCGCAAACCAGACAAAATTGAAGATCGATTAAATGAAGATCGATAAGAAGATTAGCATGGCGGCAGAGCGTGAAAGAGAGATGCTAAACTACAAGGACCTACAAGACTGCTGTTCGTAGAAAAAGAAATAATCAAATTTAGCAAGAAACCTTGAATGAAACTTATGCAACCTACTGTTTAATTGCCTTCAAAACTCTGTGCGTGAAGTTACTGAAAGCGCCGTTTGGGATGTCCACCGTATCATGTAAACACCGAGTGTTTATATTACACATCCTTCAAGCATATTTCAGCTTTCAGCAAACTGACATCGGATTACTCCTTTGCCCACGGGAACAGCTACAGGGAACTTGCTATTGATTGTACTCAAAGGCTTTCAGCTTTGATTGTCCATATTTTGAAAATGCGTTTGGCTGGCCAGAATCGACTTGTTTCCTGAACTTCGTGTGGTCGAACAGCTTTCATAGCTTTGATTTCAAATTAAAGCGTACACTTTGCCTCCTTTTAATTCTGATTCATATTCGAGTCGTAGAGATCCAAAAGTTACATATCGGGGTCATCATCATCGTCCTCATCGTACACAGGCAAACAGGTGAGAATCCAAACTCTTCAGGTTGTTTGTTTGTCATGATGATAACCTGCTATCAGGTGTTTGTTGGACATTTTACAGCATGCTACAAATAATGTTTTAGCATATGGATGATTGTCTACATGTATGAAGCTCATTTCTTTTGCTGTTTGTTATTTGTAGGTACTAATTTTTATTTTTGTTCTGTTATTGTAGATTTTTCTTTTTTTTTTCCTTTCAAGTGTTTGTTTGAAAAATAATTTCTTATGAAACAAGCTGTACATCTACCATAATCATTTTCTTACTTCTTTTGTTGTAGGAAACGGAAACCATTAACCTGATTTCTTGAAAGAGCTGAGGTTGTATAGAAGGGCAACTACCCCAATTCTCTTCAAATTAGATTTCTTGATTGATGAAAATTATTTTTCACTGTTCTAAATGGAATTTAACAATATATCTTCATTCACGCCAGGATCGTGCTCACTGGAGAGTTGTTCTATTTCACTGGGATAAAATTAATGCTTTTCTCCTTTTGTACAATGATAGACCAATGACTTGTATTATTGAGATGTACAAGAGTGCTGAATATTGTCTCCTTTTGCACTGAGATGATTGCTTGTCATGATGATAACCTGCGATCAGGAGTTTGTATTTGCACTGGACAGTCTTTCTGCCAATCAAACATCACCCGGGAATGTGTATATTACTTACTTAGCACATAATTATAAGCATTGCTTTCAAGTTCATTTCTCAAAGTATGCTACACTAACTAAATGTGCTCCCTTGTCTCAAACAGATATGACATAATGAAAACACATTCATGAAATGAACATCAGATGTAAATACCGTAAATCCTCTTTTAACCTCCCCCCCCCCTCAAATAAGTTCCCCTTCCCCTTTATATTCTTTGCTCATTAATGAATGGTAGACTGTGAAACACAACTGTGAAACTTCGTGTGGACCGATCGAGGATGGTTCATTCACCAACTGGAAGTTCGCATTTGTTTATGATCCTCGGCTTTTCCACTATGTATTCTAGTTCTTTGTGGAGAACTGATACCATCGTCTTTGCTAAATTAAATAAGCTTCCCCCCCCCCTCAAGTGTGTTTGAAACAGATAAGCCCCCCTGGGTGCTTAATAGAGGATTTCAATAAACAAAACTGTTTGCCAGTCAATGAGTTAAATATTAATGGTGTTACAAAGAAAAATCTAAGATTTTGAACAAAAATTTCTTTCCTGGAAAGAGTTTCAATACCTTCCGCCTGAAGCTATATTTGACATATATGTTGCAGTTTATTTTTTATCTCAGGTAATTTTTATTTTCTCTTTTGTTTCAACTTTATTAGCATACATTACCTGAGTTAAAAAAATTAACTACAACAAATACAAGCTTCACGTTTATTAACATGATATTGGCTTTCAGTCCAGGCCAAAGAATATTTTGGTCAAGCATGCAGTAAATGCCTACATTAGTGCACATGGGGTAGTCAACCTCATTACTCTTATACACAATTTACTTTGCACTTTCTTGTAAAGCATGTTTGCTGAATTTAGTTGGGATTAGCGATAACCTCGGGCAGGTAACTACATGGAACATAATCCCTCTGAAGTTATTATTGTCAACTAATGGTCCGGTGCAGGTCCTACTGTAGGCTACTCTGAAAGATGGTGAACAGTGCAACTCCATGAGAAATTCATTGGTTTAGTTATTTTTTGTCATGGGGTCAATACAATGAAACTTTCAGAAGTGAAAATATCTACCAGTGAAGTTATTATTTTGGGCTCTGAAAACAGTAGCCACACTTGTGTATTTTTCACACTTTTTAATGAATTTATCACTGGTTGCATTCCCCAAGTAATAGGAACACAACAAGTTTGCAATGTCACTTACTGTAACCAACCCATCACAACATTTAATGCTTAACTATAAACCCATTTCCCTTGAAATCTTGTTCCACTACTCACTTACACATCTTTCTATCTAATCCTATGATCCTACAAGTTTCCCCAAAACATTTCCTATCAATGGGAGGAGAGGAAGCGAAAAATAAACATCAAGACTGCTGTGTCACTTTTAAACCTAAAAACTAGCTTGAAAATTTTGCTTTCTGAGCATGATCAACTGTTGGAAGCTGATACATTGCATCTGGAACAGAAGGCTCTGTGAAGTTCCCAACTCACAAACGGCATTTTGGCTTTTTGTAGCCAGGCAGTGACCAGAAAACAGCTTTATTAGCTTCAAAAAACAATTTTCTGCAACATTTCCAGGAGTAAATGGGTTAAAAATAAAGACTGAGCAAGCAACATATTTTGAGAAGGCTGATCACAGCACTTTTCCATTGTTTGAGAAACAGCAGATCATTATTGTGGCCAGTGAAATGAAAAAGGTTATTATATGTATTAATGACTTCCTGTTCCACCTCTGTGACTTAGTTTTCCACTAAACTTAGGTTGAGAAAGTGAACTTTCATTTGGAGGAGGGGGAAGGGTGGATGATGAAATGTGTTTTAAGAGATAGTCTGGATCATAATAATAAAGGTTAAAACCACAAGCACCCACCTTCAAGTTTCTTGTGGACTCTTTTATTTTGGTCTTTGATTTCTTTGAACTTCTTTTTAAAAATTGTTTTGGAAGGACCCCCCCACATGCTTTCTTTCATCGCATAGCAATATAATTTTACCTCCCTCCCCCCATCAATTTTAAGTTGTCATAATAATTTAAATTTTTCGATATATTTTATTTGTAACAGAAATACAGATTTACATGGCATTTTCTAGAACCTTAAAAAATTTCCCCAAGCCCCCCCACCCCCTATAATCCGTAAATCTTGACCGGCTCCTTCGTTCTCGTGGCCCCTTTTAAACATAGAACATGTCATGAGAAAAATGCCTTTACTGCTGTTTGAAACTAGAAGAATGACTTTTCCAGCTGCACTGTAGCCGTGATTTCGCTGAGGAAACAACGTGAGCAATCGCAACGATTCAGTGTCACCAAGGGGTATTTATATTTAGCGCGTCAAAAACACAATGTACATCACCCGAACTTTACTGCTTAAAAAAAAATCTGCAAATAACCACTTTTATAGGTAAGATAACAAAGTTCTAGATTTCAATTTTCGTGAAAATCAGTTGCAAATCGAGTTCCTTTCACTGTCAGTAGAAACAAAAATTGCGAAGCAACGCGGTAAACGACGTAAATATTCTTGTAGTTCTTCCAACTTCGCCTTGAACAAGCCTTTCTTGTAATTCTTAAGTCATGAAACAATAGTCCACTTTTAAAGAGCTCTAAAAAATTTTCATAGAAACGAAAAAAAAGTCATATTTGATATGTTTCACAGAAACTATTTACCTCCAACATTTCTCTTTCCTGACCTTAAAGAGTAAGCGACCACCTTAAGAAACGCAAAAAACCTGCCCTTCTTCGAAACAACAAGCTTCAAAATAGGCTCCGAAGCTGGTCACAAACATCGCTGCTTTAGAGAAGCTGTTTAAGCCCGATCTTTTCGCTAGCGTCGCCAAGACATGGCTGAATGCTGACAGATTCCGTTTAACGATTTTGAAAAATTCTCAGAGCGAGGACAGCGGCTTGGCAGCGTCCGTAGTGACGTGTTAGATTCTGATTAGTCCTCCGCCATTTTGAAAACCGAAAGGCGGGAATACAAGAAACAGAGTCGAGAGCTCTAGTGCGCATGTCTTGCGGTTTTTGCGCTCTGTCCCAGTGGATAGCGCTAATCAATTAACGTTTGAACAACCGGGGCCAGGTGCAATAGCTCATGCATGATTGATTTCTACCGCATCCTATGAAAACGAGGCTGTCAGTAACGAGTTTACCTCACTGTTATCCATGGGCTGTCGTTTCCACTACGTATATTCGACATAGAATGAAGAATGTGGGAATGATATGGGTTTCGCAACGTGGCATATGTGTAAACAGTACGTGTAGCGTTAAGAGAGAACAAACAAGTAAAATTTCTATGTGACAGCCGGGTTCACCGTAACGTTTTGCTATACATCATCTGTTTGTTTGCAAAGATAACATGGAACTATCACAAACAGAGAGAGAGAGAGAAAGTACATGTACTAAAGAAACCCATACAACGTTGTTTAATTACCAAAGGACGTAATAACAGGATAAAGAATATTGTGACGGAGGGGTTTTCCACTTTGAAACGAATTTAAGGCTCGACGGGAACTCGGTGCTTGGCTCAGGATAAAACTGGGGGAAACTAGACTCAATTGCAACTCGCTTGAGGGAAAGAGCCGTCACTTCTCTTGAGGTCCGGGATCAAACCACTAACAGGTACAGCAAAGGCAAACTGAACTTTGGTTCCAACAGCGTTTATTCTTGTACACATAGCGTAAATTAGCACACAAATGTAACCGGCGATGTAATCAGCTCTGAAATCCTCGATGTAATGAGTAATGTAATCAAAAAATCAGTTCAAAGCAACCTACTTGTATATGATTTGAATAACCATTGAAAACAAAAGAGTTCAATACATATGTAAACAGAAATCATTTACAAGTAAATACAAATCAAATAAGAGATAGTTTTCGCTCGTTATTGTTGCTATTTTTACAAAGTAACAGTACTGGAACAAAAGCTAGCTACGTTTGCTAGGTCAACGAAACAGCATTTATGTACAATATTTTACAATATGAATCAAATTGTAAGGCCAGCTAGCGTCTGTTCAAACTTTCTAGCTTTAAAGCAAAGCAAATATTTCGAATTTCCAAGTCAGCAAAACCTTTCATATTTCAAACTCAGCTGTTGCCACTATTTAACCAACAAACTACTAGGCCCAGTTGTTCGAAGGCCGATTAGCGCTTAACCTGGGGTTTAATTTAAACCTGGTTTCTTTTTCTTGTGCTCAAAAGCATTTTCTCGGACAATTTTCTCTGTTATTTTTAGAGCTTCCAATCATCAACCTGTTGACAAAAAGAATTAACACTGAAAAGCTTTTTATGCTTTCAAATCTGAATTCAAATCTCGCACTAAGCCACTAACCCTGGGTTATCTTAACCCAGCTTTGAACAACTCGGCCCTGAACGTTATATTCGCAAATACCTATAGGTAAAATGCAATTAAAAGGAGGTACATCTGGAAAAAGGTGCTAGTGTGAACGGATGTCGTGCAGAATTTAAAAAAAGCTTAAATTAAAAGATAAACTAAAGTTGATAGCCATTATTCTGAAAACTAATGATTCTTCTAAAAGTCAACAATTGAAGTTAAACGTGTCCAGTTAAAAAGAGTCAGTGGCAAATAGTTTTGACAGCTGTAAACACTGTTGGCTTTTTCTAGAATTATTGCGTTAACAAACACTAAGTAATCAAACAAGTACTAACAATAAAATGGCCTTTTTGCGGAGCTAAAACCTATTTATGCGAATTCAGTAGGAATCACTGAAAACAACGTCAAAGCAAACATCTGAAAGTTATATACGAAATTCGAGGCAAAAAAGAATTCATGGAAAATCTGTCCTTACCCCGCGTCGTTTCAGGCCATACTAACAAATTTAATTTGATCAAAAAGCGTCGAGCCACCAACGCCTGCACAAGACGGAAGGTAAGCCTACCGAGAAGACTTTCAGATGAAAGTAAAGCTCGGAAATAAGTAACTCTACGCCATGCCTGTCTTACAAAATTACACTTATTATAATATAGTCTTTTTTTGTTTTTTTTTTTTAATTTTTAATTTTAAATTTTTAAATTTTTAAAATTTTTAAGTATTTTTTTAATTTTTAAAATTTTTAAATTTTTTTCACTAAAACCGTGGCCCCAAAGTATTCTTACGCCTTGCGTAAAAAATTTCACAGCTGCGCCTGTTCCTTTTCGTAAATCCGGCCAAACCTTCAATGTTTGCGACCATCATCATTTTTAGTCATATTATGGCTTAAATACAGGCGTTTAGTATTTGATTGTAAAACTCCCTGAAGAAGTCTACGTTATTTAGACGAAACGCGTAGGAGAATAAACAAGTTTACAGCAAAAGTTCGCAGAGTGCTGATCACTAGTTTAGTTTTAAAATTGCCATGCCTGTCTTACAAAATTACACTTCTTATAATATAGTGTAAATATACTTAAACAGTCCAGATTTCACTGACTATTGATCTTAGCTTAGTAATCTTAGGTTCTTCAGGCATATCTTGTGACTTTCGTGGACTTATAATATCTGTAAGATCCAAGTGTAACATTTTTTCGATTATTCGTTCTTGCGTAATTTGTTTTTCCTTTGCGTACGCAAATTAGTTTATACTTCTTTTCGTCCTTTTGTTGAGTCTTTTTTTGCGTTAATTTAGGTGTTTGTTCCTTTCTGTCAGTTTTCGCGCCCTCGTTAGCGTTTATTTGCTGTTTCATCTTCATTAGCGCCTTTCTAAGTTTTTATAGTTTTATTTTCCGCATGTTCTAGCGTATTTTTCATATCGTAGTTTTGCAGTTCAGTTTGGTCCGCGCTTAGCGCAGTTCTGTTTAGTTTCTTGCAAGTCTCTTCGCGTTATTCGCAGTCCGCTTCACAGCAGTTTTCTCTGGCCGAAACAATGTAAGTGTACTTCACAGTCCTCGTTTTGCAGTTTTGTTATTTCCTTACTCTAATTTACCTTAGTCGCAACTTGTAACTTTTTTGCTCTTTTACCGTTTTAGTTTCAACCCACGCTGTTTGTATGCACACTCTTAGTACCAAGCACGTCGGCTACAATAAATCTTCATTCGAATTTGGTTTGTGGTGTTGTTAGTAAAGGCCAAGAGACTTTTACGCTTATTGCAGTTTCAATATCACTACATCTGGAAGTGAGCCTTTATAGCTTACACTTTTCCTAAAAGACTACCAAACATTTATCGTTGATAACTGGTAACTGCCACACGCTCTTCACTCACTGTCGATAAAAAAACAGCGAAATTGTCTTCTTTTGAGGTTAATTATATACAGTGATTATAGCCGGGTTTCTTCACGGACATGTCCCCAGTTCAACTCATTTGCCACGCCGGCCTGTAAATGGTCATTCACAAGTAATTTCTCAAGTTTCATTAAGAACAAGGGCGTCCAATTGGCATTACTAACCACCCTTGGCATTACTTAAGACAGCCGTGTACACTAAAATTTCCTCTCCCTTATCCCCTTAAGAAGGCCTGATACTTAGGCTAGTAGAACCCACGTAAATCGAACTCTGAAGGAAAACGAAAAACAGTTCGATTTAGCGGGGAATTCATGCGCTATCCAAGTTCGAATTTAACGAGTTTCTACTGTATATTTACCTAAAAACGTCCGCTGCTGATTCAGATTGGCTTAAGACCTTCGGCTACTACTTCACAACCATCTTGCTTTTCACTCTTCAAATGTACAAAACTTCTCAAATAGTTTTTGAAAGTGGATCAATGGTGATAATTAAAATCCATTACAAAACAATAAGTCATTTGTCTTCTCATGCAACGGTTGGCTGAGTTCTGTAGTATTTTCACTTAAAGTTTAAAACCACAGGTTCTATTTAACCCTTCAACAGAGGGGCCAGTAGCTGGACAAATCAAAGAAAGTGTTGACATCAAAAAGTGTTCAACTACAGGATAAGTTTGATATACCAACAAGGCCGCCGTTTCAATGTTTCGGTTCACCAATTTGGTCACGGAAGCGTTGTGTTTAAACGTTCCAAGTGAACAAAAGTTATTAGTCAGAAAGGAAAACAAATTCCGTCTACTAAACTCTCTTAAAAACTTCTCTTTCGGTTGCAGCAAAACTTTTCCGCCAACTCCCTGTTCTGGACCAGTTTGTGACATAATGCGTCATTTAGGACCTTGTATGTTGCCTCTGACCCATCTCTTGCTTTCCACTGCAACAGCATTTGGTAGACCTTCTCGGACACTCCTTTTTGGCTATCAAATTCATCGAGTTTGGCATCCGATTTGATTAACCTTCGTCCAAGCTTTCTCCAATCCTCAGCACGTATGTTCTGTGCCAGCTCTTCAAGCTCCTCATTAGACGGGTTGCCTTCCTTAACTGAAATAATATAACGATATAATTGTTTAAGCATTACTAATGCATCCGGTGAGAGATATATTGTACACTGAGTATATTGTATATTGAGGCTAAAATTTGCGAAATTTTAACAATATTAAGAATAAGCCCGAGGGTGCGATTTTGAAAAGGATATAATTTCGAGTGTTAAAAATCTGTAATGCAATCACATTTTTTTTAACTTAACTGTATCAAATTATCCCTTTGGCAAAACTTGCCAACAAAACGAAAATACCTGTACTTACTGTAACTGATACGTCCAAATACCGTAATGATTTGATTTAGCGCCCGGGGCGCTTATTTACTTTTGGTACCTCAAAGGACGGCGCTTATTCGAGACAGGGCACATATCTCTTTTTCTGAGAAGCAACCTGATGTTCAAGACAAAACTTAAATATTTTTTTTAAAAGGGACAATAACAGAAACTGTAACAGTAACAAATATACGGTGAATGTTCAGACGAAGACCACAGTGGTAATGTGGCATTACCGTTCGTTTGTGAGCAATTAAAGAAAGATGAACCTCGGTTAATGCGTACCCGTACTCTAATATTATAGTATTAGAATGGGGGCGCTTATGGAAATGAGGGCGCTTATTAACAAAAACACCTTTGAAGGGGGGGAGGGCGGTAAATCGAGTCATTACGGTACATTCTAAAACGGAAAAGTCATAAGCTATAATTTTTAATAATAATACAAGAATATTGTCAGCCTAAAATCGGCAGAAAAATAAGAATATTCAGCCTAGGCCGACAAAATCCCCAAAAAAGAAAAGAGTGTATAGGAGAAAATCTGATTGCGGTCAGTAAATATGTAATTTTTCGTGGTTTGATTAGTTTATCAGGAATATATTAACACTTTATAATCAAGCCGAGGCAAAATTTAACGCAAGTAATAGACGAGACAAGAAAATTTTTAATAACAAAACGGAAACTAAATTTTCATTTACGACCAGTTTGAACTTCTACAAAACTTAGCTTGTTTGAATTTGTGGACATTGCTCAGCGCTGAAGCAGATATTACTATCATCTACCTACGACATGATATTACTGAGCAAATTTATAACGTACACACACGCGCACTCTGGCTTTCCACTCTCGGTCTCCATATAACCTATCTATCATGTCGTAGGTTCTAATCACATTACAACGTGTATGTGATAAGCTTGTCGAAAGCACATCAAATAGGACAAGGTGGTGACGTCCAAGGCCTTGCAGGGCTAAACGTAACGCTAATGAGCGAGAACGACAGATTTGGCTTATTAAAATTTACAGGTGTGTCATACAGTTTAAGTGAAGTTCGACGTTTGACTCAAAAGCAACGAGCACTGAGAGCTAAAAAACAGCTTTAAAAGCTAATTAAATTAACAAATAGCTTACCCATGAACCGGGAGGTCCGAGGGGCCTTGGCTGGTGGTGGATGAAAAAAAGCCGTTTCCATGCCTGCACAAAAAAAGAATTTGTTTTACAAATCCGAGTTTTTATACTACAGAAATAAAAAAGATGCGGTGGCAGATCCTGGAGAGGAGAGGTTCAGCGCGTCCGTGGGGCCTATACATCCATCAGATCGAATGATGCAATCATGATAACGCAAGAAATAAAATCACGAAATCCATAACCTTAGCTTCTTTCACAACTTGCATTAAACAGATTAGTCTTTCTTGCTTTTGACTTTATTACACATATTCTTTCTTTTCTTTGCTATTTACTTCTTATCAGGTAATATCTGTTTTGTAATAGAATTAATTTAGTACACCACGACTAACATTTTTGGCTAACTGCGTACCAAGAAATTGTACACAATATTTTGATAATAAATGTCTTGTCTTGTTTTGTCGAGTGATTGTTAACTAACTAAGCCTGCGTAGCAGGCGCGTGGAAGTTATGGCTGCGATCAGAGTACGGGGAGGGCGCCGAAAGCACGCCCGGGGAGAGGGAGCTTACTCTTCGCCCCTCGTGAGCCCCGTTCTTTCTTGCGCCCAAACTTTCTGCAAGCGCGTGCCAGGCAGTCAAAGACTAACTTCTTTAAAACAACATTAGTTACCAGCGAAGAACCAAATCAACTCATTTCTAAGAAATGAGACTCGCATTGCAGAATGCCTTTCAACCATACTCTGCCATATCACGGGCTTATATCCAAATTGACAAAATCTGCAACCAAATGTTCTTCTAAACGCAGAGAGAATAATGTTTCAAAGCTGCATGGCGATGGTCAACGAAATATAAACTTGATTATGTTGTCAATGAGTTGAAACGAATGTGTCTAATGCATACGGTTGTCAAAAAGGATGCATAAACGGCCAAACTGTCTCTATATATACCAATCTACTACAAAAAGTTTTGGCACTTACCAAGGTTTTCCCAAAACTCGAGCTTCCCAAGAAGTTTACTTCTCACTTCTGATGCTAAAGGCAGGACTCCTACCAGTCGCTTCATTTCACGAAAGCTCTGCAGGGACTTAGCTTGATCCCAGTTCACAGGGTTACAATGAGCCCATTCCTTTACCAGCATTCTAACGGTTTCTGCAGCAGCCTTTACATCTGGCTTAAACGCGGGTACCTTGCTAAGCAAGGCCAGGGAAGTTAATAAATCACAGTCTTTAAAAGAAGTAAAGTTGCACATGCCGAGTTCAAGGAACAGCTTGGCAAAGTCAACTTCAGATTTCACTTCACAGTCAAAGTGGGATGATTTTTTCTCCAGACGGGATACATTTTCGTTAATGCCCAAATAATTTAAACTGCCACTTGATATGTTATTTGGCAGGAGAAGACGATTGCTCTCGGATTTCTTGTTTTCTCGGTAAAAGACACCAATCTCAGGCTCAACCACATCTTCAAGTACCACTGAACGTAAAGAAGAAAGCGCTCTTGCCACAGAAAGCCAAAGCCAATACCTAAGTATAAAAGAGGTTTAGTGTAGTGTATAAATGAGGGTCCTCAATAGGGTCCTCCATCCCGTAATCCCAACCCAAAATGTCGACCAATCCCGTAATCCCGATAGTTTTTTTGGCATCCCACCTCCTACGCACACTTTCAATCCCTAATCTCGCCCTAATTTGGCTTTCAAAGCCCGATTCCCAAGCTTCAAATAAGAGAAATCCCGCATCTCCAACAAGGTATTTGGGACCCTCATAAATGAATCAGCATTACTGCTTTATTTTTAATTCCTACTTTGCTCCCTCGCACAAATTTCGGGGAAAAAAAAAACAAAATGCGTCAAAGGCCCATAGGTTAGCCCCTGGGTCACTCTGTGAGGCCCAAGCTGTAGAAATGGAAATTTATTCAAAATTTAAAATTAATAATAAAATTCTTTTTCAAAACTACATGAAACAAGAGTAGGTAATTAGTTGTGGTAACAATATTTTGCAACATGAGATGTCAGTTGCAAGAGAGAATTGAGATCCATCAGGAAAATTGAAACAAACATTAGACTCCTGTAAAAAAGAAACTATTCGGATTGGTCTCACATTATATTATCACACCTTCAATGGCATAAGTTCTTTACTAACTAAACTTATAAATAGGTTGCCCTTCTCTGAGTACCAAAAAAAAAACTCGACACAAAGCAAACCTCCTAAACAAGGTTTCGAAGACTGTTTTAAGGATTAAGAAAGAAAAGGAAAAGACATTGGTGCTCTTCAAAATAGCTTTTGATAATTATTCGTCTTTAAGTGTAGGGTGTTACGAAAGCTAAGACCCTCGAAAACTAAGACCTAAGACCTAAGACCCGTATGAGTCTTCGAGATTACCAAAATTAAGACCTCCTAAAACCAAATCCGTCGAAATATAAAGTCAAATTGTTACCGAAATAGGTCTGATCTGTCAAGTTATCTTCTGTCCGATCCTTTCCACCCTGGTTTTGGTCAAATTTAACGGCAAATTCAGGAGTCTTACTTTTCGTAATTTCGAAAACTAAGACCCCTCTTAGTTTTCGGTGTTACGAAAACTAAGACCCCCCCAAAAAACTATCCGTAAAATATATATGAAGTCGAATTACGACCGTTCAAAGACTATAAACCGTAAAACAACCAAAAACTATCATCCGCGTGCTGAGGATCCGCTTCTTCTAATAATTTGCAGCCATGTCAGGATTGAGGCTTTAAAAAGAGGATGAAAGCCATAGACCACCTGTGTATAATTGTACTCTGAAACTATGCCTTACCCCGCCGATTGGTCTACAATTTTAGTTAGTTAAATTTTAATTTAGCCAGACATATCAGTATTCTCGTTTCCAGTGTCATCTCCGGGATACCGCAACTATTAAAATAAACTCATGAAAAACGCAATGTAGCATATACTCTTTTTTTTCTCTGTTTTTAAGAAAGCATTTTTCTAGCTATAGCCTGGCCAGAAAAGGAAAAACTCCGTATTTTTGTGTGATGTTTGACCGATAACGCCGTAATGACCATGCATCAGGGTCGCAGCGACATGTCAGCCGGAAACGAAGACAAAAATCCACCTCCAGTGGAAAGCCAATTTTACGCAATTTTATAATTTTAACAATTATACAGGAAGTCTATGGCTTTCATCCTGTTTTAAAGCCTCACCACTGATATGTCTGCAATTTTGAGAAGAAGCGGGTCGTGATGATAGTTTTTGGTTGTTCTACGGGTTATAGCCTTTGAACGGTCGTAATTCGACTTCATATATATTTTACAGATTGTTTTTTTGGCGGGTTAGGCTTAGAGTTAGGGTTAGGGGTCTTAGTTTTCGAAATTACGAAAACTACGACCCCTAAACTTGCCGTTAAATTTGACCTAAAACTCGGTGGAAAGGATCGGACAAAAGATAATTTGACAGATTATACCTATTTTAGTTACAAGACTTTATATTTCGACGGATTCGATTTCAGCGGGTCCTATTTCTTGTAATCTAGAAAATTAAGAAGGTCTTAGTTTTCGAGGATTTTAAGTTTAGTAACACCCTTAAGTGTAGCCACATTTAAACATCACTGTACAAATACCTTTAAAGTGATTCTAACTGAATTAGCCAAGACCTCACCACAGTGTCTATGCTACTTTATAAGTACCCTTTAATTCTGTCATACCTTTCGAAGGGATGTGTGTGGTAACACCACCATGGATAAGTCCTAAAGAAATGTAAAACTATCAATTATCCTTTAAAAAGAAATTTTGCAGGTACGGTAAATTACTTGAAGGCAAAGAGAGATTGGAAATTTTGAATATCCTTTAAATAGTTAAATACCTTTTCAAAGGAAGTGTCAAAGTAGATTTTTTTATAATTTTTACTTGTTTTTAAAAGTACTTCTCATCAATAGATTTTAAAATAAGATTCTATACAGTAGCCTTTATTCACTTATTTTATTTAGTTTTAGAATTTTTTGAACAAAACATTAGACTCCCCTAAAAAATAGTCTGATTAGTAACACATTATGTTATCACACCTTCATTGGCACATGTACCAAAAAAGAGAAAATGTCTGCTTAAATGGCACAAAGTCAACGTCCTAAACAAGGTTTTGAGGACCGTTTTAATTAATACAGACCACTGAATCGGGCACCCCCACTACAAAATTTCTTGATAAAACCGTAAGAAAAAAAGAAGGACTGAGAAAAAAAAGGAAAATACATTGATGCTCTTCAAAAGGACGGTACAAATACCTTTCAAGTATATATTTATATCTGTGTGGATTTCATACCAGGTGCCTCTACTGAGTCTCTAGACAGCCAAGTCCAAGGAGCAAGTACTCACCCTCCCCACCCATGAAGCTTATGACTAGTCAATCACTATCCCCAAGCTCCGCTAGTAGTGTTATGATTATGAGTCACAGCATTGATTTGGCTGGGCTAGCCCACAGGAAAAATTCTCTGACTTTGCACTGCTGTCTGACATGAAACTCTAATCAAAGTGACAAACTCTCACCTCCCTACCCCCCCTGGTTCTCACACAAAACAAGTCAGCTTCCCACCCATCAATAGGTCTGGGCCTGGGCTCTCTGCTGACACCTAGCAAGACAGCAAGCACCCTGTTTTTTTTCCGGCTACACTGGCTTGTGATGGCCGTGTTCAAGCGAAACCTTAGCGGGCACCTTTTAGCTAAATCACACACATATATATATATATATATATATATATATAAGAAATGAGAGATACTGCCAAATATAGACTAAACAGGTATGTACCACTGAGAAGGGTATGGTTTTCAAGATTTCTACTCTCTGGGATGGAGTATATAGAAACCAGAGAGTTTGGGTCTAGAATAGGGTATTATTTTCCTGTAATCTTGTCAATAATGGTTGAAGATTAATTTAGTCTAGGCAAGGGAATCTTAAAAAATACCTTATTAACGATGCACGTTGACAACGCAAAGAAAATTTACATTACACAAAATTAACGTGAATTTTCCAAAAGTTAGGTTTACATGTACGTATATAAATAAAATTAACGCAAAATTTTCGAAAACAATTTACGCCTAACTATATTTTACTCAAATTTGCTGCAATACAAACTTCTCAACATACATATCTAAAGGAAAAAAACAGCATTTCAGTCATTTCCAGTCATCCTCGGGGAAAGGCAAAATCTAACTGATGTTTGCGTATTTAGGGAAAAGTGGTTTACTTCAATGGGTTCAAAAGTAGCCTGCAAACGGCAGATGTTTCTCCTCGCTCATCACCCCTGAGGAACGTTTCGCGAGGAGGAACGTCTGCGACTCAGCGACAGAAATTCCATACTGATGACGCAAAGTCTGTCCGGAATCCAGTCAGAAGCGCTAATTGGTCGACAGAGTAGATTCATTGTTATAGCTATTGTTTACAAATGACAGACAAAAGGCCGCAAAGGTCAAACGTAAACGCAATGAATCTCTAACAAAGCAGTCAATATTTGTGGAATGTAGTCTTCTCTACAAGTAGCATATGAGTTTTGCTGCAGCTCATTCGCAGATGAACACAACACTTCACCAAAATCGACCAGGAAAAACGTAAAATTGAGCAAATTTGCATTTGGAACCCCATGACTACCGGATTTATTTATGTAAACATTGATTTACGTCATCAGTATGGAATTTCTGTCGCTGAGTCGCAGACGTTCCTCCTCACGAAACGTCCTTCAGCGGCAAAGAGAAACGTCTGTCGTTCGCAGGCTAGTTCAAAAGGTCATTGTTTGTGATTTTTGATTGGTGCATTTCGATCAGTTTTGTGTGTATCTGTGTTTTGAGGTTTGTTGCTTGTGATCATAATAATTATTATTATTGTCTCGCGCAGAGAAAAACGCAGTTGTAAAGGCGGTTTTAGAACTTCAGAGTTCCCATGTTTTTGAAAAGCGCAGTAAAGAAAAACTGTCCTGAAACTGTCAGATAGTGACTCCAAGGCATTGACCGAGGAACTATGAGCAGACGAAGTTTTGTTATTAAAATAAAGGTGCTGATCGAAAAACAACAATGATGTAAAATAGTGAGATATAAATAAACATGGACGTAAATTAAGATGAAAAAATCGCGTTAATAAAGTGCATCGTTAATATCCGCTGTGCATAAAACTGGGATGGGGACATTGGGGCACGTGTGTGTGGACTTGGGACTTAGGGACGCAAGGCGAGGGACTTGGGACGGGGATGCAGGACGTTAAAATTTAATACGGGGATACGGGACACGGGGACGTTAATGATTATTGCAAAAGTTGGAAGTCAATGCAATACACTGTATTTCTTTCTTCATGAAAATGTGTTATTGGGTGGTGAACATTAGATTCCATCGTCCAGAACCACATTGAACACCTTATGATGTTTAAACAAAGTATTTCCTTATATAGGAGTAAGCGCACTGACTATTGTGATAAGGGTTACGCACTGTTAGCAAGCATTTACTGTTAGGTTTGCCACTAAAAATATGTAAAACAAAATAAGATATTGTTGCAATAGTTGAATCCCCCGTGGTGTAGTGGTACAGGCGATGGTAAGTAGTTCAAATCTGAATAATCTGGCAACAAAAAATGCAAATTGTTAAACTAAATATTGCATAGAGTGTTCTTCAAGCTCAAAATTTACAAGATTCAACAAGGATCCTGGATGTGTTAGGATTTTAGTGACAATCGAGACAAACACAGCCTAACCTTACCTAGGAAATCCTCCATGACGATTAACATGGTGAAGACCCCCTGCATTGAAGACAGTGAAAACGCTGAAACCATAAGGAGGGTAGGGTGGGCTGCTTCACCAAAACATATTCACAAGGAAAGTGACTGATATCTGCGGTGGCTCGTAGGGACAAAAAACACTTCCCACAATCCAAAACACATCCCAGAATCGATCCAAAACAATTTTGGATTATGGGACGTGTTTTGTATTACAGGAGGTGTTTTTACGTTCTGGGAAGTGTTTTGGATCCTGGGACATGATTTTGGATTCTGGGATGAATTTTGGACTCTGGGATGTATTTTCATTTCTGTGAAGTGTTTTAGATTCTGGGAAGTGTTTGTCTCTATGAGCCACAGTAGATCTGGCATTTACCTCTGATTTTTGCAATGATCATTCCCCGGGGAGGGTACTCCCATACATTAGCTATACGGGTATGTGCCGCCCAACGGGGTAGTGATTTTGAAGCTCCTGATTAAGAACGGGGTATCCATTTCAGAGGCGTTTTCTAGAACGGGGTATAAAAAATTGTGGATCACGGCTTTATCTTCTGCTTAAAATTGTTGCCGATTATGAAGAAGTATTATTTGATGTGTATCTTTTTAAAAAAACAGGGCTATTTCAATTTACAAACTTTCTAGGACGGAGTACAAAAAATTGGCCCATTTCTATAACGGGGTATCAGTTTTAAGGCGAATTCTAGAACGGGGTATAAAAAATCGGCCCATTTCTAGAACGGGGTATCAATTTTAGGGAAAATTGTTTTTAGAAGGGGGTCCCAATTTGGAGTCCCGGGCAGCACATACCCACCCAAAAAATACCCAAGTGCCCCCCCGGGGATCATTCACATCCCTACGTCCCCCGCGTCCCTGTATTTGACGTCCCTTGGCCCTTGGCCCTTGTCCCACATGTCCCATACTTGATGTCCCCAAGTCCCAGAGTGCCCACACACGCATCCCAATGTCCCAGTCCCCTTTAGTCCCATCCCAGTTTTATATACAGCCATTAATTTCCTATATACATGGGTGTAATAAGGTATAATATTTTGGAAACGCTGACTGCAATATAGACCAGAGACAATGAACATTAAAGTAAACCTATTATTAAGACTTTGGAAATACTCATGAGTATCCATGGATAAGGTTCATTTATAGTATTGTTAAGATGAACCTCACTATAGTGTCTATGCTACTTTATGAGCAATCTTTAATTTGTCATACCAGCAGGGTTTGTTACAGTTGGAACGCGCTGGATCAGCAAAGGGCTCCATTTACAGTGTGTGGTTGATCCAAAAACTGAACAGCCTGTGTACCTGTAGATTTAAAATATGTACTAGAGCTTACAAATAATATTGTAAGGTGCTGCGAGTGGATCTAAGTACTGTTACATCAGTCATAACGAATGTGAATTAATTATTACAGAAACAACAAGAAAATCTGTTTGTTGTAAAAATAAAAATGGGTTTCACTACTGGGCTGCCTGTGAGGCCCAGTCATAAATTTGGTTTTCGGTCGTCGGTGTCGAAAAACGGTCATCCGGGGGAGGGAGGACACGAGGGTCTGGTACCGAGAAGCCATGTTCTCACAAATGGTTTCATAGGATTTTCTCTTGCACGGAGCCTTGCACGGATACTTTTTGTACCTCATCTCCACTCCCCCTGAAAAACCCACCAGGCGTTGCGAACCTGAAGAAGGCTATTTGCATTGTTCGAAGCGATTCGATCATGGGAGTCACTCTATAATTTTTTTAATGTTCGAGTTTAAGTCAGGTAGATGATGTTGGCGCTGGGAAACTCAGAGAAATGCTCACGTTGCATACAAACCGACACGCCGTTCACTGTAGGTTCACACCAAAAGATGACTGTGAGCGTCAGGTTTGGAACGCCTGGGCCGCTTTGTGAACTCAAAGAGAGAATTATTTCACCAGTTGACGACACTATGGCTGAAGACTTGATTGTAAGCTGTCGTAGTCAGTGAAGCGAACAACTCAGTTGCCGATGAAGGGCAGATGAATCCTGATGTTACGCACGTCCATGAGCGAGGGACGTGACAACTTTGCCATGTTAGAAGACTGGCTTTTCCTTTAAATATTTCCTTCTATTTAATTTGGAGGTCTAAATTTCGGATACTGAGGATAAAGAAGACACGGACAAAAATAGGAACTCTGCAAATTTCGCACACAAGTTCAAGGCTTGACTTGAGGGAAATAGGAGCTATTACTGACAAGGGTTGGTGACTGAGTAGAGCATACAAGTGTAGCCCACGTCGAGGTTTCAGGGGGTTTGCTTTTGTTTGTATCTGTATCTTGCTAAGCTTTTATCGTTAAATTTGTACATGATCTTGTGATCACAATTCTGTGTTTTCGCCCATTCAGCAAGCACGCTATATTGATGTCAGCATTAGCGAGTTCCAGAAACATGCCTTTGAAAATTTTCAGCTCTTGTGATGTTTCTTGATATTTCTTCTACCATTTTATGGAAATGTTAACTGAAGCACAGGCGGCCCAAATTCACGTTGCGAGAAGAAGTTGTAATGTAATTTACATAACATAGGTGACGCGCCGGTGTCACGTTACAGGCGACCGTTGAAAATATAAGAGACTTTGTATGAGAAATATATTACTGAGATCTACGAACGCTAAATAACGCTAAACCTTACTTTTGCTTAAATGAAATGAATAAAAAAGTCTTACCTGCATTCTATTCCACTGCGTTTTGGTGTCTGTTTGTCGTTTTACTGTTTTTTTGGCTTTATTGCGTAACCGCTGTTACTCCTTTCATAGAACGAAGTGAAGGCTTGTCACTTCTATCTGGCAGGGTCCTGGACCAGTCGCAACAAAAATGCCATTTTTTTCGCTGAAATTCAAATCCGCTGCAAATTTTTCAGCTCCAGCCCAAGAAGGAAACCTCTTCTTCCTCTATGGGAGATCGGCTCGAAAAAAAATCCATAATTTCCCCATCAAATCAAGCCATTTGTGCCGGACTTCGAGGCACGTCTGGCTTTCCTCTAGTGCCTGTGACCACTGTTGCGCCTACAAACTAATTTGCATTTGAAATTGGAAACCTTGCTAGGGTGACAATTAGCACTTACGCGACGGGTGCAAGGGCAGAAATGACCCGTTAACTAGGCTCCTCGCCCCACCACACCAAGGGAGTAATATGACGCTCGCGCTATGTAAGGGATCGCGTGTCCAGGTAGGCAACGAAAGGATCACAATTACAATAATGGGAGTATGTTTCAGCGAGATGAAGAAAAGAGTGTATTATTCAATGCACAACGCCAAGCTTTGAATAGGTTATTCCTTTTTCTATTAGTGAGAAATCATTCCGTCAAAAAAAAGGGCTACCAGTAACTCCTAGAAAACTACACGCAATGGTGGAAGGATGAGTATGACAGAGGAGGACATACTGGTTCTACTGATCCACGCTTTATGATAAACATGATCAGCCTATAAATTCTAAAACGGTGATAAGAAGCTGGAAAAGCCGCGTTAAAATTTAAGTTTGATGAAATATTACTCTCTTGGCGTGGTGGGGCGAGGAGCCTAGTTAACGGGTCATTTCTGCCCTTGCACCCGTCGCGTAAGTGCTAATTGTCACCCTAGCAAGGTTTCCAATTTCAAATGCAAATTAGTTTGTAGGCGCAACAGTGGTCACAGGCACTAGAGGAAAGCCAGACGTGCCTCGAAGTCCGGCACAAATGGCTTGATTTGATGGGGAAATTATGGATTTTTTTTCGAGCCGATCTCCCATAGAGGAAGAAGAGGTTTCCTTCTTGGGCTGGAGCTGAAAAATTTGCAGCGGATTTGAATTTCGGCGAAAAAAATGGCATTTTTGTTGCGACTGGTCCAGGACCCTGCCAGATCGAAGTGACAAGCCTTCACTTCGTTCTATGAAAGGAGTAACAGCAGTTACACAATAAAGCCAAAAAAACAGTAAAACGACAAACAGACACCAAAACGCAGTGGAATAGAATGCAGGTAAGACTTTTTTATTCATTTCATTTCATTTAAGCAAAAGTAAGGTTTAGTGTTATTTAGCGTTCAAAGATCTCAGTAATATATTTCTCATACAAAGTCTCTTATATTTTCAATGGTCGCCTGTAACGCGACACCGGCGCATCACCTATGTTATGTAAATTACGTTACAACCTTTTCTCGCAACGTGAGTTTGGGCCGCCTGTGACTGAAGTCGCCGCAAAATGGACACTTAAAAAAACGTATAATCCATTTATCTCAAAACATAATACACGACTTATAAGACCTTTATTTTCCTAAACGTGTTTTGAATATGAACGAACACCGTCAATGTGAGGGGCAAAAACAGCATTAATATACTCAGTAAATGAACCATAGGGTTTTAACTCATATAAGGGTCAATTATTGTGCATTGAGATGAATCGCTTGAAAAGAGAGACTTCGCTTGAAGATGTGATCAGAAGTAAACAAAGTCACAATAGTGCGTCACGTTCAGTCTTTTTAATATCCAAGGACTGTGAATAGTGATTCCATATTGTTTAGCTGGCACAGAAACTTCCGAGGAGTTATAAAGCAGCATAGTTATCGTCCATGAGGAAAAGTTAGTCATGGGTGAGACAAACAATGAACTCGAGCGAATTTTTAACTCATATCGGTATCAGGTAAAAAATATGTTGTCGATCGTCTCATCTATTTACATTGTTTGAAGTGCGTGCTGATGAAAGCAACATGCGAGCAAGAAATCTTTAAACTTTTTTACGTCACAAAATGCAAAGGATTTTATTCCTTTAAGTTAGAGAAAAACACCAAGAGGAAACTCTTAAAACTGAATATTTTTTATCTTGTGGAAAAAATAGTGCCGGTTTTTATGTAGACTGTAGACTGTAGACCGCAAATTAGGATTCTCTATTTACTGCACGTTTCACAAACATCGAATTCTAAAGTTCAAAAGCCAACCGACGATTGCGTTTTTTGCTGCTGTCAATCATCTTATCTTAACGGACCTCTTAGGAAACAAAACTTTACTTCACGGGTTCAAAAGGTCATGGTATGCGATTTGTGGATTTCGATCCATTTTGTGTTTCTCTGTTTCAAGGTTCGTCGCTTGTGATCGTAATAATGATTGACGGCAGCAAAAAACACAATTGTGAAGGTGGCTTTTGAAGTTTAGAGTTCGCATGTTTGTGAAAAGCGCAGCAAAGTCTCAGTGCAGTCAGAGGCCCCTGGATCAGGCGGGATCAATGAGCAGTTGGCTGTCTGTTTTAGTATACTTCTGGTTTAATTTTCATACAATACAATATTTCTGTCTAGTGTAAATCAGCTCCGTCCGTCGCACTTTATGCTTGTAGAACGACAACAATTTTTGGAATTTCCGGTTACGTCAAATTAGTCACGTTATACTGTCACGCTATATTTTGGGGCACAGAGGGATTGGAGGGGTGCATGAAAATAATGCAAATCGTTTCCGGCTTAGAATTAATGGCTAACTTATTTATTTTTATTCATAATGGTGGATTTTAAAAGTACTTATACAGCCCCCACTTAAAAATGGTACTCTTTTTTTTTGGTTAGGAAAGTCTTTCAAAAGGGTACAATGTTCTGAATGAGTTTATGTTTCAGTCTCACATGAGATTCTGTCGCATGCAATGGTCGGTGACAAGGTTTTGTAGTAGCCTGAGTGTGTATAGCCGCCCCCTCCCCTCAGAAAAAATAGCCCCTTTGCAGCCCAGTTCAGAGTCGCCTTTCGGCGATTCTTGCTTTTAATATAAATCCAGACTGTAATTTCATGCCATTGCCATGTCTAAATAAGCTTGCCTTAGTTATTCTTTAAAAAACAAAAACAAATTGGCATTTATTCCACCAGAAATTCTGAAAATTGTTGTTGTTGTGAGTTTATCAGTCCGGGGCATAACTATTTCTGGTCAAAATCAAAAGAAAACAAACTTCACTGAGAGATACCGTAAAAGATTGATTAACCGCCGCAACTCAAATAAGCGCCGCACCTTTACCAAAAATAATTTAATAAGCACCGCTCTCGAATAAGCGCCGCGGTGCTAATTTGGGTATTTACAAATTTGCTATCAGCCAATAGGAAAAGCCAACTCAGCAGGGTTTAAAACACAAAATTTCCAGGTTCGTTTTCAAACTCTTTCCGGTGAAGGGCTTCGCTCTTTCAAAATATTCTCCTGTTACTTTACACTATTCTCCTGCTACTGCAATATTCTTAATGAAACCCCTGGTTGCATAATCTGCCTTGATGCATTCTTGGTTTTTACATCCCGCTGCATTTCTTTTAAAGGGCATAAATGCCGTTTAGTGCTTCTTGTTGATTCCCTTCCTCCTTGTTCGTTTTCGCCTTAGGTTTGACGATTGGGCTTGGAAAAGAAGGGCTGTTTGTTCACTGTGCAGAGGGCAGCCATTTCATTGGTCAAGGTTTCATCTTCTTCAAGTTTGTTGTCCATCTATGCTTCGTTTTGTATTTACTGTGTTATCTGTAGCTTCTTTTAACGGTTATAAGCGCTTGTTTTCGTTTTTCACTCAATTTGTTGTTCTACATTCAATTTCATTAAGCCTACTAATAGACCTTGTCACGGTTTTCGACGCCATCTTGACGAGTAGGCAAACGCACCAAGAAACTACAGTGTTTGTATGAGAATCTAATGTCCAATAATTTCCGTAAAACAGCTGTTCTGAACAAAATATCAATTGTAAACTAAAGCTACAAACCAAAGGATTGTCCTAAAAAAATTGGGGGCGTACCTGTGCTTAAATTTCTCCAGAGGCTTTCTTTGGATTTTCCATATATTTGTTTGTAATTTTCCGGGGACTTTCTTATTGACAAATGTATAGAAAATTTTGAAAAGTGGTTCTAGGTCTTCTGGTACATGTAACGCCCTCAAGTTTTTTCAGGAGAATCCTTGGGAGTGAAGCTTTAGTTTACAAATCATATTTTTGTTTTCAGAACAGCCGTTCTACGGAAATTATTCGACATTAGATTCTCTTACAATCACTGAGATTTCTCACGCGTTTGCCTACTCGTCAAGATGGCGTCGAAAACCGTGACAAGGTCTATTGATGACGAAACATGGAAAACAAATTCAAACCACAGCGGGGAATCCCAGCCAATTTCCGCGAAATATTCCTGATATTCGCTTTGGAGATAGCGAAACATCAGAAAGCGGGAATCTTGGAAAAGACCAGCTTTGTTATATTCATTTGGATGTCTAAAATAAAATCATTCAAGCTCGAGATTTTTTTTTTTTTTATGAAATATGTTTGTCTTCAGCTTACCTTCTCCTGTCTAAATCAGTGTCTCATCAGCAGTACCTAATTTCGACTCCTCCAAAGTTCTTTAGACCCGCAGCAAGGTTAACGAACTTAAGCGTAACTGTGGTTCAGTACTGATCAAAGGAAATGAAAACTCACTGTATATCCTATTTTGAAAGGAGCGTCCCAGAATGCAAATCTCAAAAAGACTTTTGGAACACTTCCAAAAGCTTGGTAACCATTCAAGTGTTTACGAGCGGAACCTGGGCTCCAATCAGGCTCTGTCCTTAACATATGTCCCATCTGGCGTCATTTGGGTGAAAGTTCTGGGCCAAGTTATTCGAAGGCCGATTAACGCTAACCCAGGGTTAAATTTTAACCGGGGTTTCTTTTTCTTTTGCTCAAAAAGCATTTTCCCCGACAATTTTCTCTATTCTTTTTAGAGCATCCAATCATCAAATTGTAGGCAAAAAGAATAAAACTGAATTTGCTTTTTATGCTTTCTTATCTGAATTCAAATTTCGCACTAACCCTGGGTTATCTTAAACCTGCTTTGAACAGCCCGGCCAAGGGTGAAAAATTCTATGACCGAGACCAGAAGGTTGGCAAGGTGGAGATATACCAGTTTTTTAATACGGTCCCAATTTATGCTGGCATGTTGATAGTTGGTTAATTTAGTCGTATTATATTGCATATAAGCTTAAGTATTGGGGACTTATTGCCCAAGCGTGCGATCTGCTTCAAATTAATCCTTAATATATTATAAATGCAATGACAAGTTCTGAGAATTAAGGAATGAGCACTAGTGAATTTTTTTTTCTCACTCCTCCCTACCGGCTGTAGAAGAAATGTGTAGAGACCAGCAATGATACGAGTAAATAAACCATCCCATCAGCATGCCAGCAGAAACCGTAACTGGTATACTGTATTTATTCGATTAAATGCACGGTTTCCCTCACTTTGTGCTCGCCAACGTCCACGCCACGTCTACTGAGACCGTAGTCATGAAGCCGTCGTTTCAAAGTTTGAAAGACTCATTGTGACTGCATGTCGATTATTAAGGAAATCAACAATAACTCGGTTTTGAAATCCACGATGAAAATAGTGTTCAATTAATCGCCTTTCTTCGAATTCTCTGCTGTCTATTACATCTGTATATCAGAAACACTAAACCTGACGGCTTGCGAGAACTCAGGCCCTTTGCGTTTTCCTTTCTTGTTTGCGTTTTCCTTTTTTTTAATTTGCGTTTTCTCCTTTTTTTCTATTTGCGGTTTCTTTTTTGTTTGCGTTTGAGCCTTCCATATTCACTAGGACAGTTAAAAAGGAGTGTAAACGCAATATCAGACAAAAATAAACCTAAAAAATTTATTTGCTTTGTTAGTTTTAAGAACCACAATTGAGAAATGTAATGCTGGTTAACAGTATAGCTAACCCTGTAGTGTTCGTATGAACCGTTGAATGACAATAATTTGTGGAATTCCCCTTAGGTCAAATTAGTCACGTTATACTGTCACACCATATTTTCGGGATGTCAGAGGGATTCAGGGAGGGGTGTGTGAAAATAACGGTTATTATCATTCGAAGCAAATTTTTCTTTGTTTTCATTGGCCGAGATCCCACCGCGTGAACGGCAAATAACTGCCTACAAATAATGGTCTGCTCATGTGCAATGCCGTCCAACAGTGTTTGGATGCAAATAATATTCTGCTCATGCGTAAAGGAAACCGTGCTTTTCTTCTTCTTGCGATCGCTCTTGCTCTCAGTGATCGAATGATAAAACAATTACTGAACACGGTTATCGCAAAATATCGTGATTTGTCAGTGTCTCGCAGATGAATTATTTGCCTCAGCCCTCAGCTTCGGCAAATAATTGATCTGCTTGCCACAAACAAATCACGATATTTTGCTCAACCTCGTCCAATAATTGTTAATTGTTTCCTGCTTGGAATGGCCAACTTGCTTATTTTTATTCATGCGGGTGGAATCTGCAAAGTTACAATACAGCTCCGACTTAAAAATGGTACTCATTTTTCTTGTTACGAAAGTGTTCCACAAGGGTACAATGTTCAAATGAAATTATGTTTAACTCTTACATGAGATGCCACAAGGTTAATATGTGGTGGCCTGAAAAATGTGTACAGCCACCCCTCCCCCAGGAAAAATCGCTTTGGCAGCCTAGTTAAAAACGCCTTGCATATTTTATGAGCCCGCGAGACTGAGCACCCCACCTACCCAAACCCTTGTTTTCACAGCAGAGATAATTTAGTAACACTTTGAAATCGAGACTACGGGGGATCGAGATACTATAGATATGACGTTTCTATTTACATTTGCCTCCTCTGTGATGCCTCTGTAACTTAATATTTTTGGCGAGAATTTCGCGCACAGGTCTTTCTGTTTAGTTGGCTGTCAACGACAGTTAACAAAGTTGTTCTGTAACAGTCCGGTACGTAATTTTATGGTCTGTCACCCCATTTCACTTCCCTAAGGATCGGTGCCCAACATGTGTCTGAAACCAAAAGGCATTCAGTGTTTTGCAAGCTTTGTTGTCAGTGAAAAGCTTTTCAAAAAGCTGCGAAGGCACTCAACATTGCAGAGACAAATCTTTTGCCAGAAGAAAAGGCGAGATGCAGTTCCCTTTTTTCTGTCTCAAATATTTTTTTTTAATCAAAGTAGACTGCACAATGAACATCATGCAAGAATGTCTGAAGTTTTCCCAGACCGAAAACGTGCATACTTACATTCAACTATTTCAAAGAATGAGATGTACGTTTGCGAGTGCTAAAGAAAAGCATCAAAAGTAGGTTCAGCAGCCTACAGTGTAGATTACCGCGAGCACATTTTTTCCGACAACCTTTCTCGAAATAGCTGTATATCATGAAAAAATTCTAACATGATTCCAAGGCTTTAGGGGAAAAATTGAAATTTTTTTCATGACTCCATTGTCTCGCAATTTCCAGAAAAGACTTGAGTACAAAGAAAATCAAAACACACAGAAAAAAATGACCAGAAAGGAATAATGTTAGAATTTTAGTATATCGAACGTAGCTTATTATGTGATGTTACCGCGAGCCAAAGAGCTTTAATGTTCAAAATTTAGGTCAGGTCAGTGCATACTAATCATGCTTGCAATCAAGAGAGTTATAAACTAGAATTTTTAGGACATGTGGAAATGAAATTACCGGCGGCAGTGAGCCAGGCCTAGAACTAGTAGAAAAGTTGGTATGTGCTCACTCGAACTTTTCAAAAAATGGTTAATTTTCCTTTTTACGAGTTACCTATAATACCTTTTGTCCCCTCTTCGTCCCCCAAATTTTGCACAATGTGCTTAGTTTTAAATTTCTCTCATTCTTACGACAGTTGTAAGTCCCAAGAAGAATTGGAAAGTACCGGGAGCCTATGGGCTCCTGGAAGTACTTATGTCAGATAAAGAGAGTGAATTATGAGCGAATCATGTTTGGGGGTATTAATGTCCTGAACGAAATGATATCTTCTTGAAACTTTCAGCAAAATGCCTTGTGAAATATACTTGAAAACTTACAAAAATGTTAAAATTAGTACAGATCATAAAAATACCTTTTGCCATATGTACATGAATTTTATACCTAAAAGTCACCACAGTATTTTTTCGCTAATCTGTCTTTTCCAAGAGCCTTTAACGATCTCGACAATTCACTGAGTGTGACTGATTCCCCTCTGTCAAACCAAACCATCAACATTTGAAATGATTTTTCCCTCACACCCGGATATTGCACTTGATCAGCTTGTATCTCATCAATGTTGGCGTTTGGTACTTTCAATTTAAGTCCTAAAGATTTCCAAAATCTGCCGATGTCGCGTGATAAGTCGTCAAGAACTTCCTCTGTGAGAACTCTTTCACATTCCTCCTTCACAACCTTTGACCTTTTGGTGGGGGGTGCATCTACGAAAGAGAATGATAAACTTATTCATGACTGGCTCCCCGCTATGGCAAAATGAAGCGGGTCCTAGCTATGTTCTGATGGGCGAGATAGGCCTATTTTGTCAGCTCAGATTTCCAACTTTGTTCTCGCAAGGAAAAAATATAAACTTTGTCTCTGAAGATTACTACCGCACAGGTTGTCAAGACGTCAGTCAGTGTCAACAACAGTCCTAAGAAGGACTACACTCACCACCACCCCCCCCCCCCCCCCCCCGGGACAATCATAGTCTACCTACTTATGACATGACTCGTGGCTTCAAACCATATACTATCAAAAACATAGTTTACCTTTGGGGCACAGAATAAATCCTTGATAAACCAAACCCGCTCGGTACAGGTGGCTGGATATGCATCTTACTCGTCAATAATGCATATATGCCAGTGGTCAATCCTAAAGGTTTTAGTTTATTAACCAAGATGATGAACTAAAAAAGTACCAAACGTTTCAAGAACTAGCCTTCGTTAGAGGCTCCACTTCTGTTGTTACGCAACAGAGAGAAATCAGAAGATCTACTAATTTGAAACATAAAATTTGTCATGATCTATTTTCAGTCATCGTTAATGCTAAACCAGGCGCTTTAACAACTCACCCGGATGTTGATTAGACATGATGTCCTCACAAAGTGCCTACAAAAAAAGACTGGTTTAGAAATCTAACTCGAGGAAAATCTTCGACGGACGCAATAATAGGTAAAGCATAGGGAAAACCAGTGACACACAAAGTGAATCAACAACAGTCACGTGAACTTGATAAACCAATACCCTTTCTAAAATAAAAGTCACAAACCCATCAAGTGCCTTTAGAAAACAGCCGACATTACGCGACGCTACCGCTGGTTTCCCCGCGAAATGACGTCTGAGGAACGACCGCAGAAATTCCATACTGATGACGCGTTACTACCCAGATCTGGGTAGTGCTTTTGATTGGTTGAAGAAAATATCCCTCACGACGAAACCAATGGGAAGCACTACCCAGATCTGGGTAGTGACATGTCATCAGTATGGAATTTTGCGCTTGTTTCTCAGACGTCATTTCACAGGGACACCAGCGGTGGTATCGCGAAATGTTGAAAGTTTTCTCAGGCTACCGAGAAAAAAATTGAACACGATCAAAACAGATATGACACTAAACTGGTCTGCTTCAATACCTGAATCCAAGTCTGAGATATCCGAAAGTCAGGTCCTTTAGCATAAGCACAGCAAAAAGGCGAACTGTTAACAGGAACATAATGAGCACAGTCATCATGAAAACAGTCTGTTGTTTGATGCCAGTAACACTTTTTAGTCTCAGGGTTGACTCTGCCACGACACAGTTTACATTGACCACAAAGTTGCCATGACACGGCACGCAGCCAATGACATTCACGTTTTAATCTCTCAAGGCTCGATCTTAACACACTGAAAAGAAAACGTCAAGATAAGGTTCACTCAAATCAAGTAACCAATAACAAAAAGTTAGAGGCAAACTGGTACACAAGACACGTCTCGCGAGAAGTTGCACCGTAACAATGGATGACCATCGATTCAAACATCCTAGGGGGCAAAAAGGCAGTTAATTGGAAAGGAATTTTCAAGACGGAGATGCCCCTGAGCACTTGTTTTACCGAACGAGGTCCAGAAGCAATTCAATTGCATGCGTCTGATTTGCCAGAACTGAAATATCCGTTCTCTTAGTAAAAATTCGGCCGCGAACGTTCTGTCACGTTTAGGGGCCACCAAGTCACCGAGGGGGCCGCAAAATAGCCAGCAAAACAAGTGTTACTTTTTCGCGTTTTTCAGGCGAGCGAAGGTAAGCGCGAAGCGAGCGAGGAGCACCAGACACGCGCGGCGGGTGAAGGCGCAGAAGAAAAAATAGCGAGCTATTCCACGCCCCCTCTGTCACGCGTGTCTCAAATCTGTCGCAGCTCCTCGCTCGCTTCACGCTTGCCTTCGCTCGCCTGAAAAGCGCGAAAAAATCGCGCCTGTTCTGCAGGCAAGCCGCAAAAAGACAAGTAAAACCAGTCGATCTATGACAATGCTCAATCGCCAGGACGATTTTACCAGATAAACAAATGAAACCCACGGGTCCAATCAGTACCTTTCGAGAGGGAATAAAATAATAAAACTATCGCACGTGCGTCTATCTAAAATTATTCACGTTACCTTGACACTTCTGAACAAAGCTCCGGCTCCGTCTCTGCTGGGTTGGAGTTGTCCATCGTCCAAAGGTGAATCTTGATGACAGTCTTAAAGCAAGCAAAACCTAGACACGTAACTTTTCCAATGAAAAACCGTGCCGCGTTTGCATAGAATTGTTGCTGTTCACAGCTGGTCTTACATGCAGCCCACTCGCCAAAGAGAACAAGCAACCTGGAAAACAAGCCAGCTGGAACGTAGTTGGTGTCAAAGGTGATGAATACAGGTGCCGACCCGTGGAATACCGGTCCCATTAGGTCGTCTGCTGGCTTAGTTGTTAGCATACAGGGTACCAGGTAAATTGATATGCCATCCTTGTTCTTGCATTCACAAAGAAGGTTAAACTTCTTCATGATGAAAAGAAGGGAGTCTTTGATACGATCTAGTTTCAGATTCTTACATACATGTTCAAGGAGCTGTGCGTGAAGAATGCCTTTGTCAAGAAGGTCTTGTCGAAGTGAAAGAACTCGTAAGCTCTCTTCTTCTTGTTCTTTAACTGTCACTATTTTGCACAGAACATCAATAAGCCATTGCGGATCTAACACAACAAGGCCATTTGGATTGTTAGCACTATCATGATAAACTATTGTGCCGCGATCATGCAAAAAGTTTAACAGGTGCTCGAAATCATCCTCCTCATCTTCTTCCTCCTCCATTAGCAACCCTTCCTCGGTGTTATCGTTTACATTATCAACACACACTTCGCTACAATCATCATATCCATCAACATCATCGTCATCATCACCATCATCATCGTAAACAGAGACCTCATCTTCATTGCTATCATCAAAATCATCCTCATCTTCATCATCTCCTAGGAATTCTTGATAGTCAAAGATTTCCATCTTGAATCTTTGCCTTGTCATATATTTTTCTCCCTGCTTGGATAGCTCATACACCTTGTTTTCCACCTCAAGCCATTTCAAGGGAACTCGTATGTTTGTGTGGGGCATGGTGTCCGCCGCGTTGAGTATCTCTTGACGTAACTTCACAATCTGTCGGTCTTCTTGGCTGGGAGATTCACCAGCGCGCGTGTTATCTACTGTTAAGGTCTGTGCAATACGTTTACTTAAAACTCTGGCATTTCTACTAAGGAATTTCTTAAGAGCAAGCATTCTGTCGCTGTTTGCGCAGTCAGCGTGTGTTCCCACAAGTACCACTGGGGGTAGAGTCTCCCCGTTTGAAGATTGTCTTAAAGAGTGCACCAAGTCCAGCCACCTCATAATGTGATCAAGGTTTGTGTCGCCGCTGTCGGGAGCTGCAATTTCGACCTCTTCACAACCCTCTGTTCTTACTTTACACTGAGCTGAGGAGGTAAGTTCTTTTACAAGATCAAACACCAGGATGTAAACTGCCTCGGGTGACATGAAAATGGGATGAATGGCACGATACACAGCCTGGCCAGCTAAGTCCCAAATGACGGGCCAAACTCTATCTGGAAGGGCAGCAAACTCTTCCTTTTGTTTCCCATCCAAGAGACGTACAATTTCGTCTGGTATGTTGCCATCCTCCTGTTCTGGAATCTGTGAAAGATTAAAAAATAATGAGCATCATGACCACAAAATTGTCATGAAAGGCAGAAGGCAGAAGCAATGTTTATTACCTCACCAAGCTGGTTCCTTGTTGATTCAGAGCCGAAAATATCAGGAATTTCTGCAAAAAAAGAAAAGAAGACCAAATCATTAGTCCAATAACAGCATGAAAGCTTAACATTAAAGCAAAAAGTTTCCTACTAAAGTTTCCTACTATGCATGTAGTTGCAACCCTTTCCCTAACCTACAATAAAACCAGTTTTCGATGATACAAGCCTACCACAATATTATTGTTCCTTCTTTGGAGAGAGAATTGTAATTTGGACGTAATACTTCAAACAATTAAAGGTCAAATTGTTACTGATGTGCATGTTTCCTTTAAAACTGACTATTTGTAAGGAACATTGTATCTAAACAATTGTGGATGGAAAGACCCACATAGTAATGAACGAAAGCTATGATAAGGCAATAATTATTGCAGCTACCACTAACCTTACTGAAAGAACAAAATCATAATGCGAAAATTCTGAGGTTTTTTGGAAAGGACAGATTAAACACTGGGTCTATTTATAAATGTTTAATTCATACCTGTCAGATCTAATATTAGATCCAAGGACTCGTGATTAAGTCGATTTGTTGGTCTTGGTCGTTTAGTTGGCCTTGGAAATTTATTAATAAACTCTTTATAAGCTCTAGTCTCCTCAGCTTTTGCTTCAGCCAACAATTCTCTGCCAATGTACTCAGCACATTTGTGGTGATACGCAGTTGTTTCCTGCTGCATGACAGAGAACTTCCATGGCTGAATTCCCGGATTCTTTAGCGGTGTATGCATTTGCACTCCATCAGTACTCGTCTCATTCGCTCTGAAGGGCTCACCCTTGAGTGACCTCCCAACACTTGTCTTTCCCACACGATCCTGACCAATCAGTACGACTTTCACCCGCCTGTCGAGTATCTTTCCTGTTTCTTTTGCTCTTTGATAAGCTGCTACCGCCTTTGGTCCTCTGGCTATGACATAGCTTGGAGGTGGTTCAAACCAGGACCTAAAATGGGAGCGCTTTAAAGCTGTGGAAAGACGAAATGCTCAAGTGAGAAATGATTCACCAAAATGGGGGATTTTACTATCTCTGGACTGATTCTGGAAAATGGGAGATTGCTCAAGCTTGGTGGCTGAAAACAGGATTAATTGGCTTTGAAAGAAATAAGAGACAAGAGTTCTGACATTACACGTATGTAGGTCTTCACAGTGAATTTTACACAAAGGATACCTCTGCTCAGTCTCCCACACAGTCGTTTAATTTTGTCTTGTCACACAAAGCTCCCCCTGTTGCTTGAGGAGACAAAAACGGCTGCAAGGGAGAGTAACCTCCCATTGTTTGACATATGAAAAGAAATGAGGACAATTACCTGACTGTACACATGTACATTTAGAGACCAAGAATGAATGTACAGAGCTTGCTAACTTATAGGTGAATCAAAAGAAACTACACTGAAAGCTTTCCTAATGGACACTCTTGTAAGCAGATAGCTCTTCTTACGGCCGCTTTCACAAAACCCTGCTTCTCTCAACTCCCAAACAAACTCTGTATTTTTACATTTCCGTATGTGGCCAGCTCTAGTTATGGACACCTTTCTCACATCCTAAGGGTGTCCGCTCATCCTTGACAATTTGCTAACTATTATTGAATATTACTTCTAGTTTTCAAAATCACACCTTCAAAAATAAAACTAAGTCAGAACTGTTCAATAGATATATTCCAGAATCTGGGTAATGAAAGGAGATAAATATCCTAAGATCCTTGCTAAGATTCAGGTCAGTACAATTATTTTTCATATGCAAGATATTCGGAGAAATGATTTTCCCAAATATGTGTATAGAGATGCAATGCTGGTGCCCATGGGCGCCAACAAGGCAGCCGGAAACCAATAGAAACATCAGTCATGTTTTTTGCAATGAAAGCAGGATACATCTCTCAAGGAACTCATAAACATTAAAGTAATACTTTTTCTAATACAATGACTGTTCAGATAGCAAAATGCCCCAAAATAAATCACTTTTTTCACCTTAACATGTACATAGCCGCTCTGTCAGCCACTATGTGAATGCCATGTCATGCAAAGGCCTACATACGTGTGTTCAGGTATAGTGTACCACAAAATGAAAAAAGCTTTGCAAGAGAAAATTTGTCTGAAAATAAGTTTTTAACTGCTCTAATACTTTATGAAAGTAAAAACTCAGGAGGATCAATAATTCTCTTTTTGATGACCTTGTTATTAAAACCAGCAAAACTGAGTTAGGATATAAATCCAATTAACAGGAATTTTTTAATCACACTTTGCCCAGCAGACAACATTTTTATTTATTTTTTTTTTAAGGAATGGTTATTTAATATTGACAAAGACAATAAAATTAGTCCAATAGGGTTCTGGAAAAAAAATGGAGCTACTTGATAGAGACAAGGTTAATTGCAACTAAATGAGGAAATGCTTGTATGAGACTGGGATGTAACTAAGAGGCGGTTGACTACTAATTTTGCAGGCTGAGTAAAAGAGCTGGGAAGCTTGAATAATCAAAAACCTGCTTAGCTTTTGTTTGGCAGCATCCCAGTGAGAGATAATTAAAATTGTTATATAGGTGGAAATTTCTTTTCAACAGCGTGCAGTCTAATTGGTTACTTCAAGATCACATGACATCTAACAATGAAACTGTTTCTCGCCAAAATCTCTGAGCAGGCAACACTGCAAAAAATCTATGATGTCAGAGGGTAACATTTCACTGTTACCTGCGAATGTTGACTGATGACCTCTGTTACAGCAAGGTTAGATGAATGTCCAGCTTCAAAATTTCCAACTACATAACAAATCACTTAAAGACTGGTCCCTTGGGAAACAGTAAATTTTGTTTCCCTTGTTACCAGTCATTAAGTGTTTATTATCTCTCACTGGGATGTATTAAAATACACAAGAATGATTCTCCTCTAGACACTTACCTTTTAAAGTTTTTCTCTTGATCTCAGAATTTGTCTCCATAATCATACATGTATGCAGCTGATCGTCGGGTTTAAGCTCCTTCCATGTTTACTGCTGTTATGAGTAAATCCTTTTAAGCTCATATCTTTGCTTGCAAACAAAATGATTAACAAACGTTACTGATATTCTACGATAAATAATACTTGTTTTGTTAAATATTTAAACAAGTGCCCCTGACACTGCAATAAATTATGATTTGCCTCTCAGTACTGGAGTGTTTTGATGGCTGGAAGAGTAAACAAACTTTTTGAAATGTAGAAAATACATTCAGATCTGACAGTAGCTATGTGTGCACTTTTTCGTCCTATAAACATTCATTAGCTGTGTCCCAAGATTCTGAATACTTTTTCTCTGTCAATTTTCCTTCTTTGAGGAGCCAGTAAGCTTATAAACTTATATGTTAATAAAGCTGTAGAGAGTCAACAGTGATTTGCTCATAATTTCAGAATAAGCTTTTAAAAGCCTATAGCAATTATAATCTTTGGCCAATCAGGACTTAAAAGATGATCAAATCAGGGGAAAATCAGAAGTAAAGAAAACCTGTCGAGCGTGATTCGTTTTTTCCTGGTTTAAAGCGATAAGCTTTAATGGATCGTTTACGATTACCTGCGCTCAAAACGTATGTTTATAAAAGCTGCTATCTAAGCTCAAATTATTGTTGTCAGCTGATGTTTATCTCCAGTTATCTCTCTCGAGCGTTCAGTGGTTGAGGAAATAGATCAACCTTCATCGTTTTAATAATACATTTGCCTACCTTTTAAATCATAATGACTAAGCTGCATCAATTCCATCGGATCGTAGAAAACATTCGATTTACAACATAGGATTTAGAAGCTCTTAGAAGCCCCTATATAGCTATCGACGACGCGGAACGCAACGCGGAACGACGCGGTGAATCCAAAATGGCGACTAGGCACCAGGCCTCCCAGTATTTTAAGGCAAAAGCAACAACAACAACGGAAACCACAGACAGCCCAAGCTCACTAGTTTTGTATATATGCTTTAATAAGGGGATTCTAGGATTAGAAAAGAGTAGAAAGAGACACCCAAATTCCTTTAAAACAAGACAAATCGCAATCAAGCCTCCAACCACTCTATTATCCAGTCTTCTTTCGCCCCCACTCCCCCCCCCCATCCGCTAAAAAAGAGAAACAGCTGACAACAACAAAAAGTGCTCGACTCAAGAACTCTACAGCGATCGTACTTTGTTAAGTATTTGAAAGTAAGCAAGCTTAAACATACGGCAGGTAGAACTTTAAAAAGAAGTTCAAAAGACTTCAGTTTATTCGGTAAGAGTCTGGAAAGTTTGCTCCCAGGCAAAGGACGCTGGCACCCACCACTCCCCGCGTTCACTTTCAAATTGTTGTTGACAGTCCAACCTCTCTTTGGATATGAGACCCCCCTGTTGTTAGTCTCAAAAGATCGATGCAAAACTATATTGAATTCCTACCTCTATAAAACTGGTTCCTTGTGTTATATAAACAATTGTGAGAAAGCCGAGAAGGGACTTCTGAAGTCTGAAGTTCGTACAATTGACTTTGATTGCATCAGCTCTGGCCTGTAAATAGAGCCGTTTCCCCCGCTCCTCGCCAGTGGGGACGTTTCGTAAGGAGGAACGTTTGCGCCTCAGCGATAGAAATTCCATACTGATGACGTAAATTCTGTCCTGAATCTGGTCAGGAGCCCTGATTGGTCGACATAGCAGCAATATTGTTTTACCTATTGTTTACGAATGACAGACAAAAGACAAAGGGCCACAAAGGTCAAATGTAAACAGGGTCGTAAACGTGATAAATCTACTACAAGGCAGTCAATATTCCCGGAATATATTTTTCTTTAGAAAAAGCATATGAGTTTTACTGAAGCTCGTTCGCTGTAGAACACAAAACTTTACCATAATCGACCACGAGATACATATAATCAAACAAATTTGCATTTGAAACCCCATGACTACCGGATTTACTGGTGTAAACATCGATTCACGTCATCGGTATGGAATTTCTGTCGCTTAGGCACAGACGTTCCTCCTGGCGAAACTCTCTAGCGGCGAGGAGCAAGGAGAAACAGCTGTGTTCGCAGGCTACATCAGTTCAAGTTTCCTTTTTTCTTTTCTTATGGCAGAGCCTCTGGAAAGAAGACACACTTGGTTCTTCATGGACAACAGTCATAAACTTTAACACCACACAGATACCATTTTTCGTAAATCATTTATTGATTCAGAGAATAGGCCATCTCCCAGACTCAAATAACCTCCTTTTCAAAATGAGGCCAAATATGAAAATGAGTCTTATCTTCATGAGAATAGGAAGTCATAGTGAAATCAAAGTCTTCGCAGTTACTCTCGTTTTAAAACAGGCTTGTGATAATTCGATAATCGTCTATTACTTTTGAAGCCTGAAAACCTCTTATATTACAGGGTAAAAGAAAGTAAAACTAAGGACAAATTACCCAAATAGCCTAACTACTAGCGCTAAGTTATTGCCCAGTCTTAAAATGGTAATTGATAAAGGAAAAAACTTTTTCTTGCTAAAGAAACTCTTGACGATTGCCTTTTGGGTGGTTTCGCCTACCGAAAAAGGCAACTTTTTTGTCCAACTGTATCATACTATCACGAGGTCATTCCGAAAAGTTCCAACTTCCCAGTTTTCCGTTAAAAGTTTTCTTTTTACACTATTCGAGCGTTGCAGAAAAATTGTACTTCTGCTTAATTCTTTAAAACATTCTCACGGAAATATGAGTGAAATTAAAACTACAGTGCACATTATGAAAAGATTAGGCAAAGGAAAAATTCTTGAAATCTCACAAAAGTTGCAAAATAAAACCGTAAAATTATCTGATTACAATATCTAAATTTATTTAAAGCCTGGAACAATAGCTTAAAAAGATTGTATCGTCTAAGAAGAGTTGTTTTGCTGTTTTTGAACAAAACGTTTACTCTTTCGTGTTTACGAAAAGCCAGTAGGCTTCGGAAAGTTCAATCAATCTGAGACTGACGTCACCAAGATGACTCATTCCTAGATGTGTGTTGTTAACGTCACTCATAATACCACCGAGCCACTTACTCAAGCATGACCTGAATTCTTGCCTTGTTGAGTCGGTAACTTGCCTCTGTTAACTGCTACGTGGGTAGACAAGCTAAAATAGACTTTCTATCGAACTTAAAATTTAAGAATGCCGGAGACGTGAACTGGAACTCCTTATCTTCCCAGCTATGTTCTGATGGGGTCGCAGTCCGTTGTTTATGACGCAAAGATGAGGGCGGGGTCGAAGGGGTAACACGTGGCGACGCATGCTCTGGGCTGATACCAATAATACCTTGCGGGTGGAAATAAGGATGATGCGTGGGCTCGTAAGAAGTGGATACGCCCATGGGTGTAGGGGGCTGAGTTGGCGTGATGGGACCATAGCCCAGTTTACCAGACAACAACTGTTGTATTGGATTAAATGATTTCTCGTTAACTGCTTCCTCCGCAGGTCGTTGTAATATCTTGTACATCGGCTTGTCGTCCCGGTCCTTCATAACTGGAGAAACTCTATGCCCTAATTCTGCCTCCTTCAACGACTGATAATCTAAAAAGACAGAAAGAGAAAAGAGACTCTCCGCTGTTTACTCTATCTTATTACATAAGACTTGTGGTCAAGTTCGACCCAAAACCAACCAACAGGAAAGCAAGACAAAAGGACAAAGGGTTAAAAGAAAACTATACACACATTCTGAGGAGGTGGCCTACCTTTGAATATCTTTGACCTCTGCTGTGTGTGAGATTGTCGCAGAGGATGATTAAGTTCGTGTTGAAGTTGGAACCGATCCTGTTGTTGTTTTCGCCTTCTTTCGAGGGCCGCTCTCTTCTGTTCCTGCTCTAAGCGTTGCTCCTCTTTAGCTAAAAGTTTTTGAAGCTGTTTATTTCCCGTTGATTCCATAGTATTTGGCTCAGAGGATGGGTTTGTTTGTTGTTGTCGCGTCGCTGAAATCCACTTCTTTAATCCCCTGCAACGGGACTTCACATCATTATCATTGGTTGTAGCCTAATCTAGAGCAGCCTTCAGTCGCGCTTAGTAAAACCTAGGTCAAAATATTCTCTCTGGCTTCCAAATTTACTCAAAAGAGCAATGCAGTGCTCATTTAATATTCCAACATATCAGTGTGGACGCAAGACTTTCACCAAGTCAACCATTTTTTTTACAAGTAATACGGGGTAGAAGTTCGTCAGGAATCCTAAAGCAAGCGAAGTCAGCGAGCAAAAGTGAGGTGGCAAAGGGACCCAAGCGGGCGACTTAGTCGAGAAACCGCCCGACTACGAAGGACTTTGTGAAAGTCTATGCGGACGCTTATTTGATGGCAACGCTTATTCGGGAAAAGCGGTTAATTTACAACTCCCGCAGTACACGTATTTGTTGCGTACTTTTCTTATCATAATTTTCTCGCAAGTTTGAAGTTTGTTTTGGCATGAAGAGGAGAAGATGTGGAAAAAAAGACAAGCAAACAAAGGCAAGAAACTAGCTCACGACCACACCACACCCCTTCTCATTTACCATCCTTGAAGATAAACTTACTTAACAAACGGCATCACCATGAAAAAAGCATTGGGATTCAATCCTAAGTTCTCCCGACTAACTGTGTCTTTCTTGTGGCTTGGAAGGTCACCAATGTAAAACCACTCTATACCCTGTAAAGCAGGCAAACCAGTGTAGGACATTTATTAATAAATGAGGGGGGCGTAAGGGGGGTACGAATACCGCAATACCGCACATGGTAGCGCGAGAATACCGCAATACCGCATCAAAATTTAGCCAAATACCGAAACCGCAGTTACAAATCGGAAAAAGTTGACATTGTCAATATTAAAAATCCTCATTTCAAATAGAAATAATACTTTTATGTCAGTCTTTCCAAACTAAGGTGCGTCGATGTCAAGCGTACGATAAACATAAGATCATCGCACTCGTTTAACTTTGTTCATTACATGTATACGTTTACATAAATGATACAACAGGAGTTTTCTAGTATTACTTTATATATTACGACCTAGATCATAAACGGACGGTGAACAGTTGACTCTTATGAGGTTGTTTCAGATTCACAATTAACTCGGTTCTTTGTTGAGGATTTCAAAACGTCGACCCGGGCGGCCTTTGGGATTCGAAGGGCACACAGCACACACTAGCCTGCGTAGCATGGCGGTTTTGGTTGGGCGCGCTAAATAATAAAGGCCGGTGCGGGCGAGGAGATTGGGGCGGGAACTGCTTCGCCGCTCACAGTCGTGCTGCCGTCAAAAACACGTAAAACTGCCATGCCCGGAGGAGTACTTGGGTTAATTTTTGCTTGGTATGTGCCGCTGGCCTCTCAGAGCCCCTACCCCATTATAGTCTATTCAGTGGCCAATTATAGACCCCATCTTAATCACTTTTGGACAAATATTTAATTTTCGCGATCCCAACTTAGTCACCTTCTATTTTAATGAATTGACCATTTTTTAGATTGAATGAAGAACACTTTACTTTTCATCTACAATACAAACATTCTGGTACGTTTGCTGACCGTAAATATGAAGAACTGTCTTACCCCAAAAGAGCAGAAAATGTGCGACCCCATTCTAGTAACTCTCTGAAAATGCGACCCCATTATAGTCAATCCAGTCGTGAAAATGCGACCCCATCCAGCGGCACATCCCTATTAGCCTCTTATAAGGAAGTACCCCCGCTCCCCGGGACCCAAGCTACGTAGGCTAAGCACACACGAATACTAGTACATTCTATATTCCTGCATGCACAACGAGAAGGACGAGCAATAATTTTTAGACCACACCATCTTCATAGCTTATCTTTCGACACTACCCAATTGATAACGACCACACTGACCTCACTATTTGCTGGAATATCTGACTGATCACTTAGTTGACCCTCTGGATCGCTCGCCATTGTTTTACGACCGGCACGAAAGTGGCGGTAAGATTGGTAAGGAGGTTAACCAAGCTGACTATTCCCACAAGGTCCATAAGGTTATAAATATTGCGACATGTTTACGTATCATTGGATAAAAAAAGTCAATGTCGTTAATCATATCAAGTATTAACTGAAATTACAAGCCATACGATTTGTCTGGACTGTTTGCGCAAGTACGATCCCCGACTGTGCAACTATAGGAAGACACGCAGGCTAGCTAGGGAGACCTTTTAGGATTTGTATCCTCTTGTCATGAAAAAGAAGCAGATCACCGCGACACAACGATTTTTTCACCGCCTACCGCGACATAAAATTTAAACTTACCGCACACCGCTTGGACTCTGAAAACCGCAACACCGTACTTTGAAACAAAAATTACCGTAACACCGCACCAAAAATAACCCAATACCGCAATACCGCAAACCCTTACGCCCCCCTCATAAATCACTGAAGAAAAAGACTGCACAAAAGACTGATCAAACAATGTGTATTATAAACTCCTTAATAACATTTTGGTCTGCCTTAATGAGCTAAGAAAGGGTATGCATACTACGAGAAAAAAAAAATGTGGAGCTGTGTTTGTAGAAGAGTGAAACACTAAAATTTGGATTTATCAACTGACATGATAAAATTCATTTACCTCTGTAAGGGGATTGAAAAGCTGACATGTATTTGGAGCACAAGCTCCTTGCCAGACAGAATCAATTTCTGATGAAGGGCAAGTACTCATAATGCTTTAATCACCCTATGTGTGGTTTGGCTGCCACCCACAATATGAGAACCGCCCCTAATCACAATCTTCTTAAGGGAAACAAGAGAATCTGAAAATGGCAAGTAACTAATAATTTTACAGCTTTTTGAAAAAGAAAAGTTAAAAGTTTTCTTTTTCCAGTATATCTGGAATCATACAAAGTGCAATATACATTGTATTATATGATGTATATCTCAACCTAGTCAACTGCAGGGGGTGGGGTGTCCCAGAAAAAATTTTTTTGGCCCATTGGGCCTCAGTTTGGTCTAAAAATAAGGGGTGGCCCAGGCCCCCGGACCCCTCCCCTGGACCTGCCACTAAGCTGTTTGATGATGGGTAAATATATGTTAATGATAACTTTAATGACACCTATTTTCACCTTAATTTCTCCTCTTGTTTGTGCTTGGAACACTGTTTTCTCAGGAACACCAGGGACAATGTAAAGTCTAACCTAACGGGAAAATAATTACGGATACATAATGAAAAGTTTAAAAGTTTAGCCTCTTCAGCTACAATGTATGGAAAAATAACGATTTATTGACTTTAGAATCCACAACATGCATGTACAGTGGAACCCCGCTTATATGGTCACCAATGGGTCAATAAAATTGTCTGTATTAACGTAGTGGCTATATTCTCGGGGCTGGCTCAAATTTCATGACCTGAGGGCCATAATGACAAATACACTGTACATCGCATTTGCATTTCTTGAACAACTGTTCTCATTAATAAACAACCGGAATGTAGATATCGCATACAGTAATTGAAAAAACTACTAAACATTTTCCTTCAGTACATAAAACACTTTTAAAATTCGGCTATAAAATTGCAACAAGTGCACTTCACGTGTACTGTAGTCTAAAAACAGTACAAGAACAGGCTCAGAGTACTAGGTTAATAAAATTGACATGTCACAGGCATTTTAATTTTCTAAGCTTCGAACAAGTGGCCATATTAACAGGGTGAAATTATAAGAGATTCTACTGTTTGGGATTTTAAAATGTGGCCGTATTAATGAGTGACCGCATTAACAGGGGTTTTTTATAAGGAAATGTATGGCTGTTCCACTGTAGTCATTAACATTTATGTTTCTTGTGAAAGGTTTGAACCCAGGAGTCATTTCAAAAGGTTGCGTTCCTAAACAACAAATTATGTGCCCAGGGCCAGTCAAGTTGAACAGTTCTAAGGACCACTAAAAAGACCACTAAAAAGTGATTAAATTTCTGCAGAACACTGCAATGTGTTTGTCTAAGGCAGGCGACCTGCTATAGAGGCACAAGAAAATCACGGGTAACAATATTTATGATCACAGATGAGAGTATGCGTCACTCTGTTACAGGTAAATAAAAAGGACCAATAGTGCATTATCTTTTGGATAGCAGTTAGGGAAACGTCCCTAATTGCTATCCAAAATATTAAACAGAGGCTATTTGGCTTACTTAACAGGCACTGTTACATTGGAATTCTAGAGTACATGTACCTCAACAACTGATATAATAGTACAAAGTATGTTGTAGTCACAAGCCTGCAATAGACTTGGCACGCAAGCAGTTACAGCGTACATGCATGTCGTTAGCATTAGGATCTTATGTTTTATCACCTGATGATCCTGAAAATTGTGTTCAAGATATGCATCCGGGTCAGCGAAAAATGACATGTCAAATCCTGTCTCCTCTAAGACCTGCAAAGCAAGTTTTAGACACATGAATAATAAATTAATGTACAGTTGCAATACAAAAACATTCCAGAAACATTTGTGGTGTAAGAGTGTTGAGAGTGCCTTAGACTTGAAGGATGTACAGTGTATATGTTGACATCTCACCTCTCTAACAGCACAGTCAAATGCACTTTCATCCTTGTTGACTTTTCCCTTAGGAAAACCCCAGCTGGTCCGGGACATGAATGGCTGCACTAAAACACACTAAATCAAACACAGTACAGATCTGTATCACACAATTATTAATCATGAAAGAAGGCCTGAAGGGCCAAGCATAGTCGCTGTAAGTTTATAACTCTCTCAGAATTCATATCATATGAGGATAGCTTGACGCGGTGGGATCTATCGTTGACTTAATTCAAGGAGCTTTGGTGTCCACAAGTTGTCTAGTGACAAACCATGACAAACAAAACAGCATGATCAAAATTCAGATATTGGCATTTACCATTAGCAAAAGCATTGTACTCCCCTTTGAAAACACCATTTTTGTCAATTTTTGGGTATAATTCAGGGTCAGATGGTGACCAGAAAGTGGATTGACTTGGCTGAAAATGATATGTTTTTGCAGGATTTCTAGGCATGTATGGGTTCCATAGCATATGTTAGACAATTCTAAGTAGCTAGGTTTTCGTAGCTTGATAGCATAGCTGTCTCCTAATGCACTATAGATCCTGGGTTAGAGTCCCAGCTAAGTTTTTTCTTCTTCCACTACTTCTTTTTTTTGCATTTCCTTTTTTCCTTAAAATCTATGTTTTCATTCTTCCATAACTTCATAAGGTTCTGTAAGACACTTATTTCTCATACAAAAAAGTACATAAGGACAGAATGATAATATCTTCTGTAATGTATCTGTACTTCACTAATGTTCACCTTATCTAAACTTTGATTTAATAAAATTGCTCCATAGACAGGGACACTGTATTTATACTTCTTCCAGTTTTCAAACACTTCATCTATGTCTTCTCCAGTTTTATTAAGAAAAGGAAACTGTCGAAAAAGTAATCAAGTTAAGGAAATTTTTAACTACATGAGGGACAATCATCATAATTATTACCCTAATGAGAAAACACCTACAATGAAAAAAATTTCTGGGGAAAATAAGGCTTGAACGAGACATGCACACTGATGAGTTTGAAGCTGAACCTCAGAAATCCCAGCCATTCAATTGCAAGTCACTAAATAACAAAGGAGTTTGCTGACTGAGTTTCACCGTAAATTATGCCTCATTAAGCCTCATTAAGCCTCATTCTAGGGCTGGAAATAAAGTCTGATCTTTCTGGTCGTCTTTGCCAGTTAGTTTGGCCAAGAGTCCAGAGAGTCAGTAATCTTGTCAATAAATCAGTAACTAAACCCTGAACTTTATACGGATAAAATCGACAGGCAAAACAAATTGTCCATCAGATTTCATATATCGCGTATGATCACTACGAACTGTCACGATCGATCATAGAGGGGGGCGTAAGGGGGGTACGAATACCGCAATACCGCACATGGTAGCGCGAGAATACCGCAATACCGCATCAAAATTTAGCCAAATACCGAAACCGCAGTTACAAATCGGAAAAAGTTGACATTGTCAATATTAAAAATCCTCATTTCAAATAGAAATAATACTTTTATGTCAGTCTTTCCAAACTAAGGTGCGTCGATGTCAAGCGTACGATAAACATAAGATCATCGCACTCGTTTAACTTTGTTCATTACATGTATACGTTTACATAAATGATACAACAGGAGTTTTCTAGTATTACTTTATATATTACGACCTAGATCATAAACGGACGGTGAACAGTTGACTCTTATGAGGTTGTTTCAGATTCACAATTAACTCGGTTCTTTGTTGAGGATTTCAAAACGTCAACCCGGGCGGCCTTTGGGATTCGAAGGGCACACAGCACACACTAGCCTGCGTAGCATGGCGGTTTTGGTTGGGCGCTAAATAATAAAGGCCGCGCGGGCGAGGAGATTGGGCGGAACTGCTTCCAGCTCACAGTCGTGCTGCCGTCAAAAACACGAAAACTGCCATGCCCGGAGGAGTACTTGGGTTAATTTTTGCTTGGTATGTGCCGCTGGCCTCTCAGAGCCCCTACCCCATTATAGTCTATTCAGTGGCCAATTATAGACCCCATCTTAATCACTTTTGGACAAATATTTAATTTTCGCGATCCCAACTTAGTCACCTTCTATTTTAATGAATTGACCATTTTTAGATTGAATGAAGAACACTTTACTTTTCATCTACAATACAAACATTCTGGTACGTTTGCTGACCGTAAATATGAAGAACTGTCTTACCCCAAAAAGAGCAGAAAATGTGCGACCCCATTCTAGTAACTCTCTGAAAATGCGACCCCATTATAGTCAATCCAGTCGTGAAAATGCGACCCCATCCAGCGGCACATCCCTATTAGCCTCTTATAAGTAAGTACCCCGCTCCCCGGGACCCAAGCTACGTGGGCTAAGCACACACGAATACTAGTACATTCTATATTCCTGCATGCACAACGAGAAGGACGAGCAATAATTTTTAGACCACACCATCTTCATAGCTTATCTTTCGACACTACCCAATTGATAACCACCACACTGACCTCACTATTGGCTGGAATATCTGACTGATCACTTAGTTGACCCTCTGGATCGCTCGCCATTGTTTTACGACCGGCACGAAAGTGGCGGTAAGATTGGTAAGGAGGTTAACCAAGCTGACTATTCCCACAAGGTCCATAAGGTTATAAATATTGCGACATGTTTACGTATCATTGGATAAAAAAAGTCAATGTCGTTAATCATATCAAGTATTAACTGAAATTACAAGCCATACGATTTGTCTGGACTGTTTGCGCAAGTACGATCCCCGACTGTGCAACTATAGGAAGACACGCAGGCTAGCTAGGGAGACCTTTTAGGATTTGTATCCTCTTGTCATGAAAAAGAAGCAGATCACCGCGACACAACGATTTTTTCACCGCCTACCGCGACATTAAATTTAAACTTACCGCACACCGCTTGGACTCTGAAAACCGCAACACCGTACTTTGAAACAAAAATTACCGTAACACCGCACCAAAAATAACCCAATACCGCAATACCGCAAACCCTTACGCCCCCCTCATCATACATTGACGCAAAGTAAATTTAATAAAAGGATATTAATGTTGGTAAAATCTTTAAGGCCACAAGGCGGAAGATCTGGCTGCTCCTGTCTGTGGAAGTCTACATAAAACCAATGGGCTGTTTCGATCTGAAAACACAATCGAACGATGTCCTTTCTTTCTTCTTCCGGGATGTTGATCAAAAATCGACTGGAGAGGTAGAGAAAGCAAAGGGTGAAAATCAAGAATATCAAATAATTCATAACATCACGTAGCTTCTACTTACCTACAGAGATCTTCCAGAATTGTCTGTGGAATAGCAGAACCAGAGGGAAAGAAAGGAGAATCACTTTCTATCAGTTCGACCTCATCGGACGCCATCTTTCAATGGTGCCAGCCTCGTTCTTAAACATAGTGGAGAGGACCTGGGCAGTAGCTTAGCCACCGCGCAATAATCCATCATGGCGGACAAGCATGAGTTTTGAGGTTACAATATTGAAAAATTCGTGATCACGAAATGGGTTACGGGCTAAAACTTTTGGCTTTATTCTCTTTTGTCTCGTTTCTCTATGTTGCGGGAATTTTTCTCTTCACGCGCGGTTTTCTTCTCAAGCGACTGGTTATCAACGAATACAGCCAGTGCAAGGAAACCCCTAACTTTTTGCTCTCGGATATACAATATTCGAGTGATGCTGACGGATGCTGGCTTAAGAAGAGATACGAAAAGGCCGTGATCCTCATCATCGATGCCTTACGCTACGATTTTACGGTATACAATGAGACGTTAGACGAGCAAGAGCCTCTACCGTACCGTAACAAGTTGAAAGTCATTCATGAAGTGTTGGAGAAAAAACCTGAAAATGGAGCGCTCTTCCGGTTTGTCGCTGATCCTCCGACCACTACAATGCAGCGGCTGAAGGGAATCACAACTGGTGAGATACCTAGGGCTCTTTTAGTTGGACCATATAATAAGCTGCTACAAGTAGGCCAGGACATGGAAAAAATAAGCAGTTTATACTTGTGTTTTCTTAAACGACCATACTAGCCAGGGAAACAGCTGACCTCCTATTAAGGCTGGTTTTTACCAACTGTGGAATCGAGAGTTCGCGACAAAATAAAAGCAGCCGAGAAAGCAGCCAAAATTTCCTGAAAATGAAATTTAAGAAAACGGAGGCATAAAAAGATTTATATGTTCAACAGACTTAAGGTCACAAGAATCAGAATGTTTCTGTTTTCTTTGTTGCCTTTATTTCATCCATTCATTCATTCAGTCAGTCATTCAGCCATTCGTTTGTTTGTTCATTCGTTCATTCATTCATTCATTCATTCATTCATTCTGTTACTGATAAATTCAATAGTGCATGACCCAGATGACAGCAGGTAGTTTAACAAACTATTATTGAGAAGAAAGAGAAATCTAATAGCAGAAAGCTCAGAAAAATTTCGAAGCTCCAGATGAGATTCGAAGTCACGACTCTCTGAGTTCTAGATTGGGTGCCCTGTTCTCAAATCTAATACAGGCTACATGGCTAGAAGGGTAAAAATTTAATTATATTATTAAACCAGCTGTGGTGAACTGTTGCAAAATTTATCTCCCACAACATCTTTTTCAGGAAGTCTACCTACATTTGTAGATGCTGGAAGAAACTTTGCCAGCTCAAATATCACGGAAGACCACATTATTTCTCAGCTGAAATCTTTGCAGAAAAACATAACCTTTATGGGTGACGACACTTGGGAAAGTCTATTCCCTGGCTTGTTCCACAAGTCCTATCCATTCCCATCATTTAATGTCATGGATCTACACACAGTAGACAATGGAGTCATTGCACATTTGATTCCAGAACTAAAGTCAAAAGACTGGGATGTGCTGATTGGACACTTTCTTGGTGTTGACCATTGTGGGCACAAATATGGTCCTAATCACCCTGAAATGGCCTCTAAGCTTACTCAGATGGACACCATATTACGGTACAGTGTACGTAGTGTTAAAAACAAGCCATGGGCTCATAAAACTTCGTAAGGTGTTTAGGAAGGCTTAAATACATACATGCAGAAGCTTTGTAGGAATCCCCTTTATATATGACTGGGATGCCTGTCTGAGAAGTCAACAAAACCCTCCTTAAAAGTCAACAAATTGTTGTTTTGTGGGTGTGGCTAAAAGTTCATTTGGATTGTATGCTTTACAAGTAACTGAACAGTAACGGTGGCTCAAAAACTCATGGGCTAACTATTGGCTTATTTATGGTCATTGGCCAGCTCGTAACTTTCTTTCATCGTAAGTTATTGTTATCATTACTATGTCCTTTTATTACACATCCTTTCGTGACATTTTTTGCGTTTTTTTCTTCATACTCCCTTACAGCTCAGCAAACACATCTTAACAAATGGACAGACAGTGTCAATTTTTCTGTCACTTTTGAGGAAAAAATTTTTGATATTGTATTCCCTTGAAGCTTTTCTTATTCTTTTACTGGATTCTTGTATCTGAGCCAAAACAACAAAGGCAATAAAGCTTTTTGCTACATGGTTACTTATTTATGTTGCAGTGATGTGATTGAAACACTGGATGAAGATACAGTGTTGTTTTTGATGGGTGACCATGGTATGACACGTACTGGTGACCATGGCGGTGACAGTAATGATGAGGTGGATGCTGCTCTATTTGTCTACTCACCAAAGCCCCTTGTCACTTGCAACATGAAATGGGTGAGTGTGTACAATTGGTTAAATAACTATCTTTTTAAAGCCAAGTTGATTTCAAAATTTATCCATCATCCACGCGTCAAATGCCACATTAGTTCACAGGCAATGGCAATATTTGGCTCATACATGATTTAAAAACAAACAAACAAAGTTCACATTAGAATTTAATGCTGGCTCACAGCCAATGTTTCTTCAGAGGTTTGGAGCCCAGCCAGCCTGGAAAGAAGCTGTATTTTTGGGTTATCACACGCAAAAAGCGTTGCTCATTCATGCAAGATTCAAGCGGTCTCATGCGAGGAGCATTTTCTCTCACACGGAAAATACGAAGGTTCTTAGTGCGAGGTGAAATAGTACAAAAGCAGGAGCCATCATCGTGGCTAATGGAGGATGGGTATTTCATAGAAAGCAGGCATACACTTCTGTTCCTTTTTTTTTTCCTTTGAACCATCATTTCCATAACTGTATTTGTTTCTATCTTCCTTTGTTATGCTTAGAAAAGAACCACAAAAGTCTCTCAAATCGACCTAGTCCCAACCTTCTCTCTGCTTCTTGGCCTTCCAATTCCTTTTGGTAGCTTAGGGACCATTATACCGGATCTTTTTTGTCACGAAGATGCAGTGATCTCTGAAGCTCTTTCAACAAACCACCTCAACCGTTCAAAATTACGAGAAGTCCTAAACTTTCTACAGAGAATTGCAGCTTTTGAGCTTAATGCTAAACAAGTTCACAGATATCTCTCTACATACACTTCGCTCTCAACGGAAATCTCCATGAGTGCACTTAAAGAACTCGAAAGAATCTTAAACAACGCAACTTCATTTGTTTCCGAAATTAAACACGTGATGGACCGCGTTGAAGGTGTCGAGGGGTTAACTGAAAAACTAACTGACGAAGAACTGGTGCATCTTCATGAAAGATTGACCTATAGCGAGGAATTGTTCGTTGATTATCTCTCGCGGGCAAAGGCGTTATGTCAATCATTGTGGGCAAAGTTCGATCTGAATTTGGTATATGCTGGTATCTCTGTGTTATTTATTGCTATTACCTCAGTGGGGGTGATATTGGTTAACAGGAATGTGAAGTTGTCAGTGCTGGTGATAGTTTCTTTATTAAGCCTCGTTATTTCCTCCGTAGTAACTTCATTTAACTGTGAAGTCGTTATCGTCATTATTACCTTTTTTATTTCCGGATTAATACTTGGCGTTTCTGTCTTTCTTCGGAGGATGATCGTTAAAAAGACTTTGGAAAGCAATGGCGGCTTCTTTAAAAGACTTTCTGCAGACAGCATTTTAGCACTGGCTTTATGCGTTTTTCAATTTGCTGCCTCGTTTTCTAACAGCTTTGTGGTGAATGAGGACAAAATTGTCGCGTTCTTCATTCAGGCATTAATCACAGTTAAATGTGTTCAGGGCCTATGGAAATCTGGCCTGTGGGAAAACAGAAGACTCTTGCAAAGACAGAGTTTAAAGAAATCTGGGAAAAAGGAGGCAAGGCGGCCCAGTGTAAATGGGTTTCTTATAAGGCTGTCTCTTACATGGATAACCTTTGAAATTATTACTAGAACTGCGGAAGGTCTGAAAGGTTGTAGAGAAGAACAGTGGTATTGCGTGCCTTCAGATTTTCTTAAACCATTATCTGCTTTAACAGAGGAAAGTTCTGCGTCAAGTAACCGCTTTTTACTTACCGTACTTTGCACGGGCGTGGTCCCGCTTTCTGTCCAGCAATGGCTTCGTTACCAAGGAAACTTAAACGGACCTTCGTTTTTAGTATTGTGCGTGAAGTACGCTCTGCCGTTCTCTTTTTTATTAATGTGCGCTCACTGGGCTTTACAGATTGTCCCGCAGGAAATGAATTCTTTGCTGCCGGAAATTCAACTCTGGCAGCAAATCATTCTGCCACAGGTGGTCTACTGTCTTTGTGTCGTGACATTCGTATGCCTTCTGTACTCACCACTGTGTATCTACACCGTTTTCAGAGGAAGAAAAAATTCGTGGACGGAGACTATTGACTCCTTGCAGAATGTCGAAGATAGCTCTAAAATAATCCATGCGTTATTTAGAGAGATTAAGCAGAAAATGGATGATGTAGATGGCAAAAAACATCATGTTGAAGATGGTACTAGAGATGGAGAATCCACGCCAATGGTTTACGGTTTAGCAACTGTATATTCATCTGCAGTCTTGGTTTTATCCTTGGCTATTTTATTGCCTTTGATGATGCTACTTGGTAATGGAATGTCATTGTCTTTGGCTTTGATGTGTGCACAAATCCTCCTGTTGTTGGAGGTTCATGGACTGTCTCAAGATCTCGAATCACAAAAGATTGATGGCAGTATTCCAGGTTAGTTCGGCGTTATCACACGGTGCTTATTTCAGCTCAGTGGCGCTAGATTTTGCGTGTCACTTCTTCAAAAAATAGTTCTTTTACATGTAGAAGCCATGTAATAATGAAGTGTTTGTTTGTCCTACCACCCTCTTCTAACTATTTGTCCGTTTAGAAACGAAAAGGGAACTGGGACGAATTAACTTTCGCAAAGAGTTCTGGAACTATTATTAGCGACAGGGAAAAAAATAGGCCATTTCCGAGTTGCAAAAAATCTCACCTTCAAAACGAGGCTAGGTGCGAAACCTTTGTTGTGAAAATGAGTTTTATTTGCATCATAATTAAAAATCATTTTCATATCAATAGCTTCGCACTTAGCCTCGCTTTGAAAGTGAGATTTTTTTGAACTCGAAAATGGCCTATTGGCCAAAAGCTGACCTGCGCATTCCCAGAAGCAATTGCGGGACGCATCTCGACCCCAGTTTCCTTCGCATTTCTAAAGTTTCGACTGCTCTCCGGAAGTACTCTTTTGTAGAGCTACATATATCAGTCGGCCATCAGACAATGTCCGACTAAAATTACCCATGTTCGACTAAAACCCTCGCCGGAGTCGGACATGATGACCACACTGTCCAAGTGCCAAAGACTGTCGTTTTGACGTCGAAGATTTGCGTTGTATTTAAAGAAATTAAAAGGAAATGCAATGTATTAATGTATGACCCAAAGATTTTTGGCGCGTTCGACTCAAACGGAGACTTGGTGGGACATACGTTCTTTCTGAAAAGATAAATTATATGCAGCACGGTTTAGATCTGGACGTTTCGACTCCGGTACTTGTCTTCCTTTATTCCTTGCTCATACATAGTGATGTCATCAAGTTTACAAACACTGCCAACTTCAATTGTAAAAGTGAAGTCATCAACCCTAATTGTTTACTCAATGCTGCTTTATCAGATCCCTCGTGGAGCGTAGTTGTCCTGTGGCACTTCCTCGCGTCATATTACTTCTACTGCACAGGACACCAGGCTACAATCCCCTCTATACGGTTCGAGGCTGCTTTTATTGGCTTTCCAGGAGATATGGAAAATATCGTTTTACCAGGTTAGTCAGAGAGCTGTATACTAACATGCTCCGGCAAAGCTGTGAGATTTCCTACAAATTACACCACGTTATAGTTAAACCAAGGCCGAATTGACTTCAGGGACGGAATCATACTCTTAATGCTGAGATTAATTACCGTGTACTCGTTAGTTTTGACAGCCCTGTTTATTGTTTATTGTTTATTGTTTTGTTTGCCAAAAATTAAACAAATCAAATAAAATCTAATTACCTTAACTCTCATGGCGAGGAAGCTCAAGAGAAGCCACCGGGCTTATAAGGAATGGGCTCCCTCAGTTAGATAAGTAGAACAAAATATTATCATAATTACACACGGGAAAATCAATGGCAGAGCTACAGTAAATCTTAAAATAAGTATATTAGATAGTCGTACTAATCATAGTTCTAGGCTGAAAAAAGCGAAATGACAAAAAGAAAAAAACAAAACAAAACAAAAGAAAATAAAATAGCAAAGGAAGAAAAAAAAATACATATATATGTATATATAAGTTACTATTTATGATAAGAGGAATGCTTTCAGCTTACAGCAAAAGGAAGCGGTACTTGTTGCATTTCGAATTTCAAAACTAAGAGAGTTAAAAAATTTAGGACCTTGGAAACTGATGGAGAACTTTCTTATATTAGTCCTGCATTGTGGTAAATAAAAATGCTCCGAACTTCTAGTGCCATAAGAATGCACCTGGCGTGTCACCAGAAACATGTTAAAAGAGGAAAGAATACAACTTCGAACCCTTTTCTTATCCCGAGACTAAACTAACATGTTTTTTTTTTGCTCAAGTTTCTTTCATTCTCGTGACAAGTAATATAGCCATTCTATTGGTCTAACAAATGTTCACCTTTTCAATTCAAATTTCAGGTCTTCTTATTCTCCTCAACACATTCGCCGGGCCAGTCTTTTTTGCCGTTAGTCTTCCTCTTCTCCTGTTTTGGCCCCAAATTCCGAACCGTCTACTAGGGACTGGTAACAAGAATGGACAGCAGTCAAGTAAAGGAGAATTTGATTGGATCGAAGCCCCGGAACTGCTGAGAACCCGGATGTTTCGCCTCATTGTCATGTACCAGATGCTTAATGGCGTTAAGGTTGTTCTATATTTCCCTTTTGAAAATGGATTCCAGTCTTTGTTTCTGTCGCAGTCTGTTTCTGTCGCAGAACTTCCTAGCCCATAGCCGTTCCCTTTCCTGATTATTTTGGGACAAATGCAATAATTTCTAGCAATGAAATCGCGTGAGAGGAAACCTAATAATCTTGTAGCCTTTGAAATCTTTACTGAGCGCGCAGTAAAAACCTTTGTTAGATGTAGAGGGCAGTTCGCGTCCTTTTCCGCTTACATTTGAAGTACGAAATTTTTGACCGTACAGTAAGATGACCCCGAAACGTTCTTGCGTTGCCCTGGTTGCCCTGTAAATAAGCTTTTTAGAGAGGGTACGCAGTTGCTTGCTTTACTCGGGCTTTACTTTACCTGGTATTCCCAACTAAAAGGCAAGTTCCCGTGCAAAACATAAACCGAGAACTCACCGAGTTCTTGGCGAGCTTAGAATGCGGTCAAAGAGATCTCGACAACCGAGGGTTTAGAATCTCATCGCAAATCCTCATATATCAGCGGCTAAAACTTTTGCCTGGAAATTGCCTTCGGTGTTTGTATACGTACGTGATGTATTACGCTGATAACGTTCCAAAGAAGTCTGTGTGTATTTGTTAACAAATTTCGTCCACCAAGACGTTCCTAGATATCCATATGTATTGAATGCATGATCAGTGGATTGCAAAAACCAAGACCTAAGTAAATTGAACTCTAACTGAGAAGATATTAGAAACTTTTTAAGAAAACCTGCGAGAATGCTTTAAGGTCTTCATTCTTTTATCAAATAAACCAGCACACAAGGCACTTCTTAACTGATTCACGGACACGTTCTCGTTCATGCACGAATTCTTCGTCTTGCTGCTTTATCTATTCATCGTACTTTATCTTAACTTGGATGATTTGTTTTTACAGCTTTTGGGAACCTGTTGCTCTGCCGCGTTGCACCGTCGTCATCTTATGGTGTGGAAGATTTTCGCGCCGCGATTCGTTTTTGAGGGCGTCTCGTTCCTGTTGACCACAATCGTGCTGGCTGCCAGTTTTCTGTCAGTTCTTAGAGTGGATCAGGCGTTGCGAAGCTGGTTTAAGAGACTTGAGACATCCGATGAGTGGAAAAATAAGAACAGATAGTTCATTTATTCTTCACATCCTTTGGTGTGTAATCTTAAATCACAGTTTAATTCTCGATCTTTAAAGGCGCCTTTGTCTAAGTACCGTTTATATGAAATGTTTCTTTCTTAGCCAAACTGATGACGACAAGAACAATAATTTTTTTTCAAACTGTGGAATTGTAATAAATATAACTTCTTATGCTTTTATATTTACTTTTCAAATTTTCTTGTACAACTACTGCAGGCTTCTGTGTACTCTTTGAGAGCTTATCCCTTAGTTTTACCTCCAAAAAATTAATTTTGCGACTAAATGCGACCTTAGCGGGTTTCACTTTCAAATTTCAAAGTTCAGCATGCAAACTTTTTCTCCAAATTCGATCGGTATTTCTCTTAGAATTAACCAGCTTTGGATAAAAGTAGGTTACTTCCGGGATTCCTTTTAACAGCTTGTCTATGACTTCCACTCCCTGCATGAACGAGTGGTCCTGACTTGAAACCTCGTACCGCCAGCCGCCGAACCGACCGCGGGAGTAAATGTTCTTGGATTGCAACCAAGGTTGGACGTTTTCAAGAATCATTTCCCTGGCGATCGAAGGAACCGGGTATCCATGACCAAGCCGCCGGTAATACTTTGAAACGATCATTTTCGGTGATTTAACAAATCCGTAGGCGATTAGCGCTTGAATGGTACTTTGAATTAAATGCCGTTTTGTCCACTTTTCAGGGCTGGAGTTATGTTTTGGCTCCGCTATCTCGAACATGAGGGACCACTGTTGACCAGGCTTTGACACGTGACCCTCTGCGTAACTTGAAAACACTGTTACTCTGTAGAATGGCGAGTCAGAATCAGGGAAATATATCCAGGTCATGTTTGCTAGCATCGAAGGAGGTTGACCTGTTAGTCCAATTCCTATCACATGTGTGCGCGAATAAACTAACTGAGATGCTAGTTTTCTGATCTCCTGTAAATATCCATCTCTTCCTTTTATCATATCAATAACCAATAAGTCGAGTGGTGCAGTTGATATCAGTGAAGCGTACTTCATTTTGTAAATGGTGTTATTGCTTTCGGTTCCCAACTTAACAGTGACAGTCATTGAGTTAATATCTATGCCAGTCACGGTGTGATTGTACCTAAACCACTCACGGGGAAGGCTATCAGCAACTGCCTGCCATATGCCCCCTGTTCCATTGTACCTTGGAAATCGAAACACTTTATTTGGTCCCCATCCCAAGTCTCTCGTGGTAGTTCCATCGACGTGCTCTGCGATCTTTCGCTTGATTTTAGCAACATCTGGAACAGCAACTCGCTCATTCACCCAGTCAGAGTTCATTTCCGTGGTATTCACGGTCCAAACTTTCCTGTTGTATTTTCTCATGAACACCTCACAGAGACCGATACCAAAGTTGCGTAGAAGCCACTGGTCAAAATTTGCGGGTTTTTCTTTCACTGGATGTTTAGCGACTTCTTCGAGGCCTGCCAGAATTTTCTGTTGGTCCACTTTGGCCATCACCTCGACATAATTCTGCACTGGGTACGGAATAAATCTGCGTTTGTCGTCAGATCCCTTCATGAATGTATATGCACCTCGTTGTATCCAATTCCACTCCTTAATGACACTGTCAAGGGTGGCGTGGAAATACTCGTAATGTGAAAATACTACGTGGCCCCCCATGTCCCAGAGGAAACCTTGTTCGTCTCGTTCAGAAGACGCGAGTCCCCCAGGCTTTGCACTTTGTTCCAGAATGATCACTGATATGTTTGGAAACTCGTCTTTTGATTCATATAGACGTTGAGCGGCTCCTAAAGCTGTTGGGCCTGAACCGATGATGATGATAGGGAATTTACTGCTACTATATGTTTTTTGTTTACGCCGGGACCCAACTCGATCTGTAAAGTATAATTAATGGGGAATAAGCTGACGCCATTTGAGCTAACAATCAACAGTCTTTTGAAAGACCGCAGACTAATTTTTGGAGCCGTAAGCAGTAACAAAACAACACAGACGCAACTTTTTTCACGAGGTATGTACATTTTAATGGCTGTTTAATTTCATGTGCATTTTAACCGTTTTATCGATTTTACGATACATCCTTACACAAATCCTTAAAATTTGTCTTCGAGTAGGCTGTTTTCAGTCTGGATTCGCTGTGGTTTAATCAAAGGATTGGAACAGTTCGCCCTCGAATTTTTAACCAGTGATAAAACGCTGCTGTTTGTGTTTAAACATTACAAAAATCGAGTAGAGAGATTAGAGTATTTTGCAGGTTGAGGAAAAGCATTCTATATGTAACTGGGTAGATCTAAAGTAATTGAAAAAGAATGTACACGTTTTATAAGTTGATATAGCAAAAGAAACTTCGCGTTCAGAACGAAAAAAGTTACTTCTTGTTCTTGTAAAGATTGACCGTTTTTATGCTAGAGAGGTTAAAGTCATCTGAGACGTTAAAGTCGTTTTAAGACGACTTTAACGTCTAGTATAAAAACGGTAAATAAGGCAGACGACTTTAACGTCTCAGACGACGTCTCAGACTTTATAACGTCTTCTGTTAAGTGCGTCCGAACGACGCACTTAACAGACGACTTTAACGTCTCAGACGTTAAATGCGTCTAGACGACTTTAACGTCTCTAGGATAAAAACGGCCATTGTCTACTTAATTGCCCTTTACAGCGGCGAATGTCATGGCATGTTTTTCTTCTTTCATGTCGTGTTTTTCCAGTGCTTGTCTTACTACAGTGTAAACGATAAATATTCGCGTCATATTTTGATGGATTCCTTGTAATTTTTTGTGTTACTTATCCTTTATCATTCTTGAAGCTTGTTGGAATCGAAATAGACCTTGCAACGATTTTCGACGCCATCTTGACGAGTAGGCAAACGCGTCAGAAATTACAGTGATTGTATGGGAATCTAATGTCGAATAATTTCCGTAGAACGACTATTCTAAAAAAAATATATGATTTGTAAACTAAAGCTTCACTCCTAAGGATTCTCCTGAGAAAAATTGAGGGCGTTACATGCACTAGATGACCTAGAAACTCTTTTTAAAATTTCTATACATTTGTCTGTAAGAAAGTCCCGGGAAAATTACAGACAAATATATGGAAAATCTAAAGCAAGCCTCTGGAGAAATTTAAGCACAGGTACGCCCCCAAATTTTTTAGAACAATCCTTTGCTTTGTAGCTTTAGTTAACAATTGATATTTTTTTCAGAACAGCCGTTTTACGGAGATTATTCGACATTAGATTCTCATACAAACACTGTATTTTCTCACAAGTTTGCCTACTCGTCAAGATGGCGTCGAAAACCGTTACAAGGTCTATTGACACGTAGTAATACGTTAATAGAACGAGGATCGAAGTCCACACGCTACCATGCATCTTTTTGGTGTATACTCGAAATTGTAAGGGGTACTTGACTTATAGAACGAGACATATTCGTGTTTCTGTTGGTGCCAACTAGTTATTGACATGTCATCTTCTGTGCAGTGGAAATTAACACACCGTAGTTGTTGATATGATGTCATCTTGTGTGTAAGGGACACTGAAACGCCGTCGTTCGCTTAAACTGAATCTAAGGGTTTGTTGCAGTTTACATCACAAATGATAAAAAAAATTCCGTAAAATTCGCAGAGGGCGTAGACGAAAAATCGTTAATTTGTAAAATCTTGCCATAGATCTCCAAGCTTAAACTTGTATCTTTCGTTTTCCCAATGGAGGTCTCGGGAATTCCCCCCTTTGTCTGTTCAAAAGTTATGCATACCCGTATTTTCACGGAAATATGGCTAAATTTCAAGGAAACCTACATTGGTAAAACAAAACATACAAGCTAAAGAGGTCTATTTCCGTAAAAATTGTACGATCCACAGCGCCGAAAGAGAACATTTTTGTCAAATTCGAACTAGGTTTTGACGAACTTGTCAAACATGTAAATCTTAAATTTGAGGCGTGTTGCTATATTTACATACCTTGGTTACTTTCGCGTTTTTCGCAATTGTAAAAAAAACAGTTCTGAAATTATGTCTTTGCAAAATTTTTACGCATATAGAAAATTCAAATCATAGGAAAAATGATAAAAATCTAATAGCAACAGCATATACAGAATATGTTTCGTCAAATACGTAAATTGTCAACTAGTTTTTCTGGGAAATCCCACTTTCGTATCTTGCGTTGTGAAAGATCATACGTACGGAGCAGATAAATAGGCGTTTTCCTTGTTCCAGTTTATCTAGCAATTTAAAAGATTTAAGATTTTCCGAAAAATAAAATGAACTTGAGAAAGCTTGAATCACGAAAGAATGCCTATTTTTCACATTTTTCTATTAAAATCGCGAAGATAATATTATTCATTTTTGCCTAGGCCATCCCAAAAAATTCCTAACCTTGCAACTTTTGCATCGGTCAGTCTTGGACATGAGAGCAACAAAAAATATATATGATAAGCCAACAAATCATTTTAAGCAACTTTGCTAATTTAAACAATCCGACGTCTGATCAGATGCAAGTCATTCAATTGACAGTGCGGAAGTCAAACTTACCGAAGTAATATGGCTGCTGCCTGTCGTATTTCTTCGTCCATTTTCCACAGAAATATAGAAAGCCAAGTGCTAAGACTACACTAAAAAAGATCACTACTTTTAAGCTCATGTTCGAATACAATCAGCCGAAAAAATCCAAGGTGGACTGTGGACGATCAAACTCAACCTTTTGGACTGTAGTACTGTTGATTTTATGGTAATTCATTCACCGTTTTTTGCATTAACCATAATACACCTGGCTTATCCCCCCAAATTTTATGTAAACATTAATTCAGTTTCTCTTGAGACGGCACGATGCCCAGGAGAAACTGAAAACAATGGCTATGCAAAATGTTGCGGGAGGTAAACAAGGCGTATTCAGGTGGATGTGAGAATGTTGAATCCCATGGCGTTGGTCGCATAACCAGAAAGTTGAGAGGCAAGAAACGGCAAAGTTTGTGTATCACGTCACCAGTTTCCCCCTTCACTTCAGTATTCTTTTCTATCTATTGTATCTACAAAAAACAAAGTAATTTCATGCAGTTTTATCCACGAGAATTATTTTCGACCCTTTTCATTGATCATGTAGAAATTTGAGAAACTGAAAACCTGATTCTGTTATACTTGAAAACCGAAAAACATAAAAACACGACATAACCAGGTATAGATACAACAGAACCAGAGGAAACTACTGTTAGTATTTATTCGATTAAACGCCGTCCTCGAATATACGCGGCCCTCGATCAAACGCCGCAGATGGAAACAAAATTACCAATAAACTCCGCACCTAATCAAAAGAATGCGGCGTTTACTCGAGGATAATAAGAAAAACCTCGGTACAACTTGATAATTTACATCATCCAAACATTTACCGTTCTATCCCAGCAAAATAATGGAGACATTGGAACCGTTAAATTACATAATATTTACAAACGATTTACAAGGAAACGCTAAAAAATTTAATAAACGCCGTGGCGTTTAATCGAATAGATACGGTATTTAAAGTACTTTACGGTAAAAGCGACTACCACCACTGTAATTCAATACGTGGAGAATATAGTATGCCAAAGTCTTTCAAAATAGTGCCCTTCCTCTGGATTTACATGATCGTCAACGAAGGAGATGGCTTTCCTATAGAAATCAATTGGATGCTTTTGGATCATTTCTCGAGTTGCAGCGATACATGCTTTGAGGCAATAGGTATAGTTCTTCGGGTGTGGAGAGTAAAACAGCTCTTGAAAAAATTCTCCAAATGTGAAATTAGAAGGACGCATTTGTCCGCTGATTTTCTCCACAAGCCATTTGCCCCTGTGCCTTATTAACGCCCAGTTGTCATCCATTCCACGCAGCTTACAAGGAATATTATTTCTCGCTTTATTAAGAATTTCATTTAAAGTTTCAAAGCAATACTCAGAGGGCCCTTCGCCCTGCATGAAAACGGTGATGTCAGGCAACTTTTCATAGTGTTTTATAATGTGGTAGAGGTAAGTGTGACTCTCTCTTCCACCTGTGATAAAACGCAGCTGTTTGTGTTTAAACATTACAAAAATCGATTAGAGAGATTAGAGTATTTTGCAGGTTGAGGAAAAGCATTCTATATGTAACTGGGTCGATCTAAAGTAATTTAAAAAGAATGTGCCCGTTTTATAAGTTGATATAGCAAAAGAAACTTCGCGTTCAGAACGAAAAAAGTTACTTCTTGTTCTTGTAAAGATTGTCTACTTTATAATTGCCCTTTAGAGCGACGAATGTCATGGCATGTTTTTCTTCTTTCATGTCGTGTTTTTCCAGTGCTTGTCTTACTACAGTGTAAACGATAAATATTCGCGTCATGTTTTGATGGTTTCCTAGTGATTTTTTGTGTTACTTATCCTTTGTCATTCTTGAAGCTTGTTGGAATCGAAATTGACACGTAGTAATACGTTAATAGAATGAGGATCGAAGTCCACACGCTACCATGCATCTTTTTGGTGTATACTCGAGATTGTAAGGGGTGCTTGACTTCTAGAACGAGACATATTCATGTGTTTGTTGGTGCAAAACTAGTTATTGACATGTCATCTTCTGTGCAGTGGAAATTAACATACCGTAGTTGTTGATATGATGTCATCTTGTGTGTAAGGGACACTGAAACGCCGTCGTTCGCTTAAACTGAATCTAAGGATGTGTTGCAGTTTACATAAATGGTAAAAATTCCCTAAAATTCGCAGAGGGCTTAGACGAAAACTCGTTAATTTGTGAAATCTTGCCATAGATCTCCAAGCTTAAGCTTGTATCTTTCGTTTTCCCAATGGAGGTCTCGGGAATTCCCCCTTTTGTTTGTTCATAAATTATGCATACCCGTATATTCACGGAAATACGGTGAAATTTCAATGAAACCTACAATGGTAAAACAAAACATGCAATCTAAAGCGGTCCATATCCGTAAAAATTGTACGATCCACAGCGCCGAAAGAGAACATTTTGGTAAAATTCGAACAAGGTTTTGACGAACTTGTCAAACACGTAAAACTTAACTTTGAGGCCTGTTGATATATTTACATACCTTGGTATTACTTTCGCGTTTTTCGCAATTGTAAAAAAAAAAAACAGTTCTGAAATTATGTCTTTGCAAAATTTTTACCCATATAGAAAATTCAAATCACAGGAAAAATGATAAAAATCTAATAGTATATCAAATACACAACTTATCAACTGGTTTTTTTGGGAAATCCCACTTTCCTATCTTGTATTGTGAAAGATCATACGTACGGAGCAAGAGGTACGGAGCAAATAAATATGCGTTTTCCTTGTTCCAGTTTATCTAGCAATTTAAAAGATTTAAGATTTTTCGAAAAATAAAATGAACTTGAGAAAGCTTGAATCACGAAGTCTGATCAGATGCAAGTCATTCAACTGACAGTGCGGAAGTCAAACTTACCGAAGTGATATGGCTGCTGCCTGTCGTATTTCTTCGTCCATTTTCCACAGAAATATAGAAAGCCAAGTCCTAACACTACACTAAAAAAGATCACTACTTTTAAGCTCATGTTCGAACACAATCAGCCGAAAAAATTCAAGGTGGACTGTAGTACCGTTGGTTTTATGGTAATTCATTCACCGTTTTTCACATTAACCATAATACACCTTGCGTATCCCCCCCAAATTTTTAGTAATCATTAATTCAGTTTCTCTTGAGAAACAACGATGCCCAGGAGAAACTGAAAACAATGGCTATGCAAAATGTTGCGGGAGGTAAACAAGGCGTATTCAGGTGGATGTGAGAATGTTGAATCCAATAGCGTTGGTCGCATAACCAGAAAGTTGAGAGGCAAGAAACGGCAAAGTTTGTGTATCACGTCACCAGTTTTCCCCTTCACTTCAGTATTCTTTTCTATCTATTGTATCTACAAAAAACAAAGTAATTTCATGCAGTTTTATCCACGAGAATTATTTTCGACCCTTTTCATTGATCATGTAGAAATTTGAGAAACTGAAAACCTGATTCTGTTATACTTGAAAACCGAAAAACATAAAAACACGACATAACCAGGTATAGATACAACAGAACCAGAGGAAACTACTGTTAGTATTTATTCGATTAAAGGCCGCCCTCGAATATACGCGGCCCTCGATCAAACGCCGCAGATGGAAACAAAATTACCAGTAAACTCCGCGCCTAATCAAAAGAATGCGACGTTTACTCGAGGATAATAAGAAAAACCTCGGTACAACTTGATAATTTACATCATCCAAACATTTACCGTTCTATCCCAGCAAAATAATGGAGACATTGGAACCGTTAAATTACATAATATTTACAAACGATTTACAAGGAAACGCTAAAAAATTTAATAAACGCCGTGGCGTTTAATCGAATAAATACGGTATTTAAAGTACTTTACGGTAAAAGCGACTACCACCACTGTAATTCAATACGTGGAGAATATAGTATGCCAAAGTCTTTCAAAATAGTGCCCTTCCTCTGGATTTACATGATCGTCAACGAAGGAGATGGCTTTCCTATAGAAATCAATTGGATGCTTTTGGATCATTTCTCGAGTTGCAGCGATACATGCTTTGAGGCAATAGGCATAGTTCTCCGGGTGTGGAGAGTAAAACAGCTCTTGAAAAAATTCTCCAAATGTGAAATTAGAAGGACGCATTTGTCCGCTGATTTTCTCCACAAGCCATTTGCCTCTGTGCCTTATTAACCCCCAGTTGTCATCCATTCCACGCAGCTTACAAGGAATATTATTTCTCGCTTTATTAAGAATTTCATTTAAAGTTTCAAAGCAATACTCAGAGGGCCCTTCGCCCTGCATGAAAACGGTGATGTCAGGCAACTTTTCATAGTGTTTTATAATGTGGTAGAGGTAAGTGTGACTCTCTCTTCCAACATTTGGTAATTTTTCCCAAGCGTTCAGATGTAAAGGTGGAGGGCGCGACTTGTTTCCCTTATGGTATACATAGCTGTGATTGGCTATCGGTACAAGCCAAGTGAGTTTTTCGTTGTAGTGCGCGATTACAATTTCATACTCCATCACACTCTTTCTTAAAACTCTATCGGTATTTCTCCTAGAATTAACCAGCTTTGGATAAAAGTAGGTTACTTCCGGGATTCCTTTTAACAGCTTGTCTATGACTTCCCCTCCCTGCATGAACGAGTGGTCCTGATTTGAAACCTCGTACCGCCAGCCGCCGAACCGACCGCGGGAGTAAATGTTCTTGGATTGCAACCAAAGTTGCATTTTTTCAAGAATCATTTCTCTGTCGATGGAAGGAACTGGGTATCCATGACCAAGCCGCCGGTAATACTTTGAAACGATCATTTTTGGGGATTTAACAAATCCGTAGGCGATTAGCGCTTGAATGGTACTTTGAATTAAATGCCGTTTTGTCCACTTTTCAGGGCTGGAGTTATGTTTTGGCTCCGCTATCTCGCACATGAGGGACCACTGTTGACCAGGCTTTGGAACGTGACCGTCTGCGTAATTTGAGAACACTGTTACTCTGTAGAATGGCGAGTCAGAATCAGGGAAATATATCCAGGTCATATTTGCTAACATCGAAGGAGGTTGACCTGTTAGTCCAATTCCTATCACATGTGTGCGCGAATAAACCAACTGAGATGCTAGTTTTCTCATCTCCTGTAAATATCCATCTCTTCCTTTTATCATATTCATAACTAACAAGTCGAGTGGTGCAGTTGATATCAGTGAAGCGTACTTCATTTTGTGAATGGAGTTATTGCTTCCAGTTCCCAACTTAACAGTGACAGTCATTGAGTTAATATCTATGTCAGTCACTGTGTGATTGTACCTAAACCACTTACGGGGAAGGCTATTAGCAACTGCCTGCCATATGCCCCCAGTTCCATTGTACCTTGGAAAGCGGAAAATGTTATTTGGTCCCCACCCAAAGCCTCTCGTGGAAGTTCCATCGACGTGCTCTGCGATCTTTCGCTTGATTTTAGCAATATCTGGAACAGCAACTCGCTCATTCACCCAGTCAGAGTTCATTTCCGTAGTATTCACGGTCCAAACTTTCCTGTTGTATTTTCTCATGAAAACCTCACAGAGACCGATACCAAAGTTGCGTAGAAGCCATTGGTCAAAATTGGCGGGTTTTTCTTTGACTGGATGTTTAGCGACCTCTTCGAGGCCTGCGAGGATTTTCTCTTGGTCAACTTTGTCCATCACCTCGATGTAATTTTGCACCGGGTACGGAATAAATCTGCGTTTGTCGTCAGATCCCTTCATGAATGTATACGCACCTCTTTGTTTCCAATTCCACTCCTTAATGACACTGTCAAGGGTGGCGTCGAAATACTCGTAATGTGAAAATACTACATGGCCCCCCATGTCCCAGAGGAAACCTTGTTCATCTCGCTCAGAAGACGCGAGTCCCCCAGGCTTTGCACTTTGTTCCAGAATGATCACTGATATGTTTGGAAACTCCTCTTTTGATTCATGTAGACGTTGAGCTGCTCCTATAAAGCTGTTGGGCCTGAACCGATAATGATGATAGGGAATCTACCGCTACTATATAATTTTTCTTCATGTCGAAACCCAACTCGATCTGTAAGTATAATTTAAAAAGGGAAGTAAGCCCATTTGAGCTTTGAATCGACGGTCTTTTTAAAGACAGCAGATTATAGATGTCTTATTTGCATACAGATCGCATAAAGGAGCTAGGTCAGAGTATTTTCAATGCTTTTCCCCTCTTTCGTTGACCAGAAGTTATTAACAAATTGATGACAGAGTACCCTTTAATTTCATGGTGGTAACAAAAACTAAGCGCCCGCTGTCTTCAAGGGTATCTCAGTGCAATCCGATTAAATCATCACTTTTTCTCCTCTGTACTCTTTTTGACTTTTACCCATTTCTCTTGTTTTGTTTTGTTTTGTTTTTTTTTTTTTTTGTGAAACTAATAAATTCTGGCTCTAAGATAAAAATAAACAAAGGGCCAGCTGCCTCAAAAAGGCAGAAATTCTTACTGATGACACTGTGTTGTCATGGTAATGGCTGTACTTGAGGTTATGGGGCACACAAAGTGTAAAGGTGAAGCTTGCTGGTAAAGAAAAAGAGAGACAAAAGAAGACTAAACGAATATTAATAAGAGCTATAAAAACCCGTGAGTACGATTGACAAGGATTGACAGTTCAACGAACTGAATTTCGGCCGCATTTTTTCTTTGCTCTACACTCGATCGGGCTCGTCATGGTTAAGAAAAATGAACATGACTCAGCATGATATGAGAACAAGCATTTTTTTCGGACTTCGTAACCAAAATTCACGTAAAATACAGTCTGAACTCTGCAAGGCAGAACACTGGACTAATTATAGTTCATAAGTATTTAATAAAACATTTTCACTTTAACGAGAATATTTAAAACTGAAAGCCATTTAGTTATATTCAAGATTGAGCTTCCACGATCCAAGGTATTTTCGCTCACCTCTCACATAATTTAAATTGAAAATAACAACGCAAAATTTTCATTATTTACGAAAAGTGCTTGCCAACAAGAGGTCGGGGTCACAAGATTAGACAAAAGTGTGACATTCCAAAATTTGCAACAAGCAGTCTTCAATTATAAGTGCAGGCTCGCCTCTCCTCTGTTTAGGGCTATTTTTATTCACAATTTTGCATTATTCTTTTTAAATTAGAAAATGAGTTGCTAATTTCTCGTTTTTACTTTTAAAACATTGATTGTGAAGCTTCTTGAGCCTAGAGGGCGCTATAGAAATATTATAATAACAGGTTCACGAATTAAATCAGCATAGGATTATATGTACGAAGAGTTTGTCGCACGATCGAACGACGAGGTTATTCTTCTGTTCTTTCCCTTTTTTCCTCAACAAGATGATGGATTGAATAAGCCAGCAACTTTGCTTGAAAAATATCTGATCTGATGCAACAGCGTTGATGTCAAACTTACCAAGGTTATATGGTTGCCCGTTGTCGTTCTCTGTCCATTTTCCAAAGTAATATAAAAAACTAAGTTCTAGGACTACAATTACACAAATTACCGCTTTGACGTTCATGTTACAAGACAGTGAGCCAGAAGCTGGTGGCTGTAGTGTTGGTGTCGTGGACAAACAGGTTTAATGGCAATACATTCAATGGCTCTGATCGCATTAGCGAACACTTGATAGTCAATAGAAAGATACAGAATC